TACCAAACTCTTCTCTGAGGGGGTAAATAAGGCCCTCAACACCTATATAGGCCCTGTCGCTCAATTTGGGGGAAGGTCGAAAAACTCACTACACCATTCCTATAGTCCTCTTTTTAAGCGGAAGGTTTATTTTTAGGAGTGTGCGCCTTTCAATGAAGGTATCTGCAGCGACGTTTCCTAAAAATTCTACAGACTCATCGGCCTCGTCCTCCGTCAAAGCAGCATATAACATCAAATCAAATATCGATCCAATGGAGCATTCAGCTTCTTCTTCTACCATGGCATACCCTTCTAAGAACAGTACTATCCCCGCCATTAGTCTCAAGCTTCTTGGGTCTGCTACACAAAATGGAAAATCACCTCTAGACCTTTTACTCGCAAACCCAATTCAGTTCGTAAAAGCCTCCGTCATGTCGCCGGTTTATAACAGGCCACAGACCGAAAAATTCGGCGCGTCGAATACGGGTTCTGAAAGTCCAAAATGGATAAAGGTAAGTCACGAATCTAAGTAATTATAATCATTGAACATGGAAACTGATGGCAAAATACAGAAAATGTCGCCAAAGTCTCGAAATGGCTCTCGTGTTACAGGTACTAAAGAGTACAAGATTTTGCCAGGCGCACCGGATGCGGCCAAGGCTAAGGTCAGTGTTAGGTGCGCCATTACCGCAGAAACACTACATGAGCTTATGTATGCTTCATTTAGGTCACTGTGACCCCTTCTGAGGAATCTTCCGCCCCACCTGTGAAGAGACCTACTGGGTTTTCTGTTGTTATAAATGGGAAAGATATTTTCCCACCATTTGCCAATGAATATAGAGAACAAATGGTAACTATATGCGTATTCATATCGAATAATCATAACGGGACTAATATTATGCAGCGGAAACTAGAAGCAAAGGTTATCAGTAAAGTTCTAACTGATGCTACGGAAAATGGCGTTACAAAACATCACCAAAGTCTTACAAATGGGGAAACTAAAATGTCAGAAGTACCATCCGGTGATAAAAGTCCTAAGTTGCGTACCAATGTCTTGACAAACGGCGATGTACCAACGGCCAAGACCCTCACAAATGGTGATGTTGCGCAAAAAAAGATAAAAAAGAAACTTGATGATACCACAGCAGTGATGGAAGAGCCCGTTAAGGTTTGACATTAAATACCCACTCCTTTCCCTTTTTTACAAACTCATTACTCCCCGCCTTTCGTATTTTTAAAATTAAAAGTAATACCTAATTCCGAAGCTTATATGGTTCATCTCTTATTCAGCCTTCAAAAAAACGAAAAGCCGAAGAACTAGACGGCCCGGCCGCTCAAAGACCTCGCAAGGACATCAACGAGAAATCGAAACAGAAAGAGTCTTCAGTGACAAGATCACCAAGGGCTTCATCACTCAAGACAAAAGGCTTCCATAACAGGGCTAACGATTGTTACCGAAACTCGGTTCTTCAATTGATTTGCAGCATTCCTGAGCTCGAGGAGGAAATTGCAAAGCACAATTCTGACAAGTGTAATTTTGGTCATACAACCCTCCAACGATTTCATTTTCTAACCCGCCTTGTAGGCAGGATAACCTCATGCGTATGTTGCTTTTTAGGCGAACTTATCGCCGAACATCATTACGAGTCGACATCCCGCTCCCGGTCCAAGACAAATGAGGTGTTGAGGGGAATTAATTCTCGCCTAGGAAAGGGTACATTCTAATCCTATTTCCATGTGTTTCATATGCACGACTTTGGCTTATCTGAAGTAGTCCTTCCTAAACAGTTCAAGAGTATGCGTCAAGAGGATGCCACAGAGTACCTCCATGCTATCTTACACACTTGTAAAGACCAGCTGAATAAACGTATCAAAGACGTGGCTGAAAAAGGAAAAAAGACCCCCAAGGAGGAAGACTTGAAAAACAACCCCATTGACAGGACATTCGATGCGTCCTTCCCGTCAGTTCTTACGTGCCCTAAATGTGGCCACAGGTCTTTCAACAGAACCGATTTACCGTCCTTAATGCTGCTACCGTCCATTAGGCCCAGCGAGAATCGGCAAGGGAATGCGATTTCCGTCAAGGAACTCCTCGACGACCATTTCAAGCCAGAGAGAGTCGATGCCACTTGCGAGAAATGTAAATTCTCTTCCGGAAAGAAATTTATCAAGCAGGTTGAAGTGGAAAGGTTGCCGAGAGTGTTGGTATTGAATGTAGTTAGGTGGACCTCAGTTGTGATGAATCGGGGTTATATCAAGGCCGACAAGATCATGAACAGACTGAAGTACGATGAGAAAATGACGATGCAAGAGAAGGGAAAGACGGTCCATTATCAGCTCATTTCTGTAGTGGCACACTGTGGCAGGAGTTTGTCAGCCGGTCAGTTTTATTCTGTGGGATTTTGTGGGCAGAGTTAGTGTTTACTGATACTATCTACAGGTCATTACATCTCCTTTGTTAAGCAGCCAGACGGCAAATGGGCATTATGCAATGACAATTTTGTGAGTTGATATCTTCCTCCTATAACCTTTCTGTTACTGACTGGTTGAGCAGGTAGATGAAACCGGGTGGGATACAGTCGCGAGAGCGGATGGCATGCAAGCGTCAATCCTCGGATACCAGCGCATCGAGTGAAATATTTCCTTGGTCCGATTCATTTTATTCGTCTAATTCGCATTTCCAAGGGCGTTTAGAAATTTTAAAAGTCTGGGGATTCTTATTTTTATTTTTCGTTTTCGAGGGAGGCCAACGTCATTAGTTTTGGTTTGCATCGAACTGGCCATGAGGTTGGGGTGTGAGATACCTGCCGTGTTATTTGCTCCCCTTTGATAGCGTTTAGCACTTGTGAATAATTATTCGACCTTTTGTACCCCGTTGGCCTCTGTTTGGGTTGTGGATATCAAGAGGATGGGTTATGGAATTTCACCGAGCATATTTATCAGCTGGTGATGACTGGAAGGTCGAGGAGATGGCTATCTTTTGTCTTGAAATAGATTTTTCTTTGGGCTGCGCTTCAGCATAGATATATATTCAATAATCTTTTTTTATTCACTTTAAAAATGCGCAGATGAAGTTCCACAGCCTCATATCAGAATAACCTGTGCAAATCTATATTGCGCATTATGCCGGAACGGAGATCATTTGGGGGGACCAGTATATTTATTGGTGACAGCGAGAACTCTCACAAAAAAAAAAGGTCTCTGCTTGGCCCAGGATCTGAAAGACCAAATCTTACACCTGGAGTCCTTGCCATTGAATCAAACTTGTCCATTTCTCTCCCTCATCCTATAATGTATATAAGCCGCCTATCTTGAAGAAAACCCCTTACCTGGCCATAGAAGAGGAATGTATTCCTTAATCATCAATAATATCGGATACAGGGTGTAGGCATGTGCGAATATCAACGACTTCAACAGACTGTAATTTAATTAGCTGCAATGTGTTCTTTTAGTAGACGTACTGAAGAAACTATGTTTCATATCATGCTAGAGTATATATATGCATTGGTGATCAAAAGTGCATGCCTGCATGATAAGATATGACAGACTTTTGGACTGCTATGACATAAAAATATGTATATGCAAAATTAAAGAATCTTTTAGGCAAGAAAAAAATAAAGAGGAATGTGTTTCCGTGTTCTGGTTAACACTCGCGTGTCTGCCTGGTTTTTTCTTCTGTTTTTGGTGGCGTATGTTCCACTGTTACTGGAACATGTTGAGACAAGTTCTATAACTAATCACAAGACACTTCTTGTTTTTTTGTTTGTCTGTTTTATCTTCTGGCTGTACGTATAGATCCACATGTCGTTGTTGAGGCCCCAGATGGAAGGTGATGAGGAAATATATGGATGGTTAGTTGTAATGATAATACCGGGTTTCCGCGTTTGTCCCTCATGCTGTGATAGATAGAAATCTGAAAGGTGACAGGTGTTCAAAAGTTGTGAAATAACATTCCCGGCGTTTTCTGTCCTGTCGAGTGCTCTCAGGCGCTCTTAAATTGCTCGAAGCTTCTATCATTTCCCCCTCCTCCCCGAAAGTTTGAAACGTTTCGAAACGTCAGATCTAGAAGAACCAGGACAATGTACCATCAGGACGGACTTCCGGTAGTTTTGATGTTTGCTGGCCAACTTTATGGAGCTTTGGAGCTATGGGCCGTTGGAGGTTAAGTGATCCTCTGACACGTGAAGATCAGAGAACCCACCGTTAACCCCACCGCCCAAGCGGGTGAAGCATGTGAAACGACAAAACGGCAGGATGAGATCGAGATGCCCCTCCATCATGGTACGTTAGCTGCAGCTGGCTGCCCTTGTATGGTGTCAATGGGCAAGTGGATGCTATCCCGTTGCCACTCTGAAAGGCTTCAGGGCAATCTGAGTGTGCTTAGATCGATTACCTGAACAACATCTCTTCTCGCAGGGACCAGCGAGTGATCTCCAGTGATCAGGAATGGCCAAGCGGATGGTGATTATGGCACGTGCATCTAAACCGATACAGAAGCTCGGTCCGAGGCCTGTCTAAGGTACTGTCTGTGATCAACGATACGCCCAATCAGACCCAATTTTACTCTACAGAATCCAAGCGCTGGCGAATAGACAGCAGGGAATCACAGCAGCCAACCAGCCCCCTTCTGAGTCTCAAACCTGCCTCTTTCATCATCAATTGGCAAAGGAAGATTGCCTACAGACGCAAGAAAGAAGTCAAGAAATAAGGGAACCACGGGAGCGAAATCTCGGGCTGAATCTCCACTCTTATCCTGATCTTCCTCCCGATTCCATCCCCTCATCCAAGCATGAGATGCGACTGGACCAGCTCACACATACCACACCACACGCATAGATAATAGATCGAAAACACTTCTCCCACACTTACCCACGCGAGTCGCCCCTCTCCCTCCTATAACATCAACACACCCTGCCCACACCCTTTCCCCTTTTCTCCTCCGAGCAGCACCTCCACACACCTTTAGCCCACATCCCATGGGCAGCGTGTCCAAACTAAACGCTTTCCGCCCATATCTCAACATGTACGGCGATTTCATCACAAAGAATGCTGGAGCGGTCTCCCAGATCGAGAGTGCTCTGCGCTCTCTTACATACATTGTGCCTGGTACATATGCTTCTCCTGTGGCTCCGTGAAACAACACTATCGCGATAGCCGTTACTGACATATTACTGTTGTTGAAGCTCGCTTCAAAGATGTAGAGCTTGCATCTGAGTCCATACACAGTGGTATCCAGCTTCTATCACTGTACCATGACTCGGTACTCGCGCGCGCAGGGGCGCATCTCCCTGCGCCTGGACCGAAACCATCACCGCATTCCCGGTACACAAAGTTTTGGACACAGAAAAGCCCCGGGTACAAGCGACTTGCGTTGATCGTCACGATGATCCAGTACACGGAGCTATTGTGGGAGATGTCAGCGAAGAGGCGTGGGCAGAAGATGAGATGGAGGACTGTCATTATCTTGGAAACGGCAAAGTAGATCTACCCGACAAGCATCATCCTTCCATATCGTAATAAGCGATGAAGGAATAAACAACAATCCAATACTAACCTTGTATACAGAGCCGTCTGCCGACTCCTTCTCCTACGCCTTACAAACTCGCGCCCACTGCTTACACCCCCGCTCCCAGAGCGCGAAGTCGACCCCGCAGCCCTCGAGGAGCAACTTGACCCAGAGTCACCCCCTCCAGAGACAACATGGCGCATGCCTCGCACAGGCCTCTCGCTCCCATCCCTCCCGGCCAGCGGCCAGGTTTCACAGTACCTTTTGACTAAGGTCCTAACCGCCGAGGATGTCAAGCCGCCGAACCAACTTCTTCACCGCGTGCAAGGAACCGGCTACTTTGCTGAGGTTCTCTACATTATTAGGCCAGTTGTATATGCGATTGCAATGAAGCAATGGGCGCATGATAAGAAAAGCTGGCGACCGTGGCTAGTCGGTGTATCACTTGAGTACGCCGCTAGGCAGCTGGCGAAGAGGGACTTTGAGTTGACGGTGCCGGGTGGAATGAAAGGGTTGACTGCGCTTGAGAGGGAGGAGTTGACAAGAAGGGCATGGTCGATGGGCTGGTGGGCTATGAGGGGAGCGTTCTATGAGAATGTTTCTGGGTATGTTTTTCTTCATCTCTTTTATTTGATGAAAGGATGGGGACTAATGATGTGTGTTATAGACCCTGGTTGAAGACTATAACATCAAAGCTCGCCGATAAACCGGTGCTTAATCTCGTAGCGGGCTTAGTCGACGATTACCAATATTTGTGGGACAACTATTATTTCTCGACTGCAACTCTATAAACGGACATAAACATAACGGACTTTTATACAGACTTACACATGCCGAATTCAGCATTGTTTTCTTCTAGCGATATAATTCCGATTACGCCTCATTTTGCTAGCTAGCCTTTACCTCGATTTAGATCCTTTGGATCATTTACATTCTGACAACCCACCCTTCTTCTTTGTTTTTTCTGTAAAGTAGCTCTTATGACGAATTTTCTTTTCTTCTTACATGAGGGAGGGTTCGGTTTTTTCTACTTCTAGGGGGTTTAGGGTGTTTTGTGTTTGGGTGTTTTTGAAAGCGTGCGTTTTTATTTTCGTGTAATTTTTTAATGGGGAGGGGGGCGTCTTTGGACGTTGCGAAGGGTTTGGTGGATGTTAGTTAGGACTTTGCTGATTGTTTTTATTTGCTTGTTTATATGAACCAAAACAGTTCATTCTGAGGAGGCGGGGGTTCAAGGTGAAGGATAGTGTATTCTACAAGTAAAAAAAAATCCTGCGGGTACGGTTGCGAAGTATTTTTTATTTTTCTACTTGATATTCATCTAGTAAACTCTATCGTTTCCATTACCATTATCATACCTACTCCCTTTCCCATCATCATCCATCGTCCCCGACCAAGCACCACCCAAAAAAAACTCTTAATCTACAATATCCCCTCACCGCTCTACCCTTTAGCCCATAGCCGGGGGCGGGGAAAGCAAAAATTTCACTGCGGGCCTTTGCTTTGTGGACAAGTATCATTGGCTCCCTACTCGAGCATCACAAGACAGCGTGCAGGGATGCTGTTTGTTTATGTAGTACGAGGGTTCTGGTGTTGTTGTTATTGGCTCCGACGAGCTGGGTTAGGTTGAGTTGTTGCTCATGAGTGGTCACTCGGGCCTGCGCCATATATTAACAGCTGAGATGTGGTGTGTTTTGCTATTGGGGGAGATTAATGAGATTAGTTGGTATCGATCAGGGGCAGGGCTGGGGGATGATATGATGGTGGAGTATCCTAGTCCTTGAGCTGATCTGAGGTACGGGTGTTGCTTGAAGGGCTGATTCAGATCAAGCAATAGGGATAGTTGCGCTACTATTTATCCAATGAGTACTGGTGATCAGCGCAGATACTCTACGTAATACTACTGCTACTAAACTTTGCTTAATTGGGCTCCAGAAAAGTAGAGCAGCCTCCCGCTGGGTAGCTAAGCGACGGCAGATTCTTTGCATTAGCACTGCCTTACCTTATCAGAGCACAATGTATGGTCAGAGTGAAATATTGCCCCTGATTAGATTAGAATGTGAGTTTCGGGGGGTACGAGTGATTTTGACAGATGCCGTACTGGTGATTGCTAGACTGTTATAGCCAATGTAAATGATCAGTAAGCACATGTAAACTCACTCCAGTCAGTGATTAATACTAGTGTTGTAATTGCGATACTGGCGCCGGAAATGTAAGATCTTTAGTAGAACCTCACAGTGAGGGATGTCTAGCCAATAGATTTACTACAGGCCCTGACTGGTGATTTGGATGATGATACTGGAGAGTTATGATACGTCAAAAGCTCACATATGCTGCTAGTATTATGCATGTTGCGGCTATTTGGATCCGGAGCTTATACGTGGTATTCCAATTGTTCTATATCATTGCTCAAAAAGGCTATATCTCTCCCGCGGACGGATGGGGAGGCCCATCCACAAACACCATGGGTAATTCGTATCAAGCTGTAAAGAGGGTGAGGTCGGTTATTAAAAACTAGATATCGATTTGAGAGCATAAACTAACCATTGTTTAAAGACGAAGAGAAGGTGCTCTAATGAAAGTTCCAATTCCGCTTCTAATCCGGCGAATCAGATCTAGAGCGTGCTCATATACTCAAATCTTAGACCTCTCCCAAGAGTACTGCCACTACTTTGTTTAAAACATATCGCTCTCTAAGGACTACTGATCTCTCCAGGGCAGCAAGAAAGTTAATCAGTAGACCTACAAAGATTGAATCTTTTAATTTAGGAGATGCCTAGCTATCTCATGAACACTCAACCCTCCGACAAACTTACTTTACAGTACTATATATCTCCCGTGAGAAACGTAGAATACTATATCTCCATAATCTTGTCATATGCTCATAGTCCTATATCTATTCCACGGAAAAGTTTGTAGAGTTCAGCAGTCCTATCGCAATCATAAAATCATAACCAGATCGCGAAGTCTTAGAGGCGATTATTACCCTAAGATTACCCAGTGACTCAAGAAGATCTAGCCACTTAATGAATATCTCTAAGTTTTTGGTAAACCTTTTTAGCTGGATCTATCACCTGCGTAAGCAATTACATTGACTGATTTAATTGATAGTATCAATGATTAAATCTAGAGTGCATGTAGTCCCAACGCTCTGTAGTTAACGTAATTTTCGAGACCCGTCACCGGCCTTGATATGATATGTTCGATGCGTTATTCGACTGTGGAAGAGAAGTATCTCATCTCGCGATCGCGCCGTTAGTTTGTATATGTGCCTGGCCTGAGTAACAAAACTATCCTTACTGCGGCCTCGAGCCAGATAGTCTCGCATTCAAGGGTCTCCACGTTGGTCTAGGATAGGTATATAACTTTCATAGGGAAGTCTACCCCAATCTTCTTAAAATCCGAGAACTTAGAACCCAAACCCCCTAGAATCCAAAGGCTGTAGAACCCAAGATGGAAATTGCCTAAGAGCCGAAGGTGGACGGTAGTGTGAAGAGGGGCAGGCGGTGGTTGTCTCTTCACTTTGAATAGCCTCGTGAACTACAGTACTAGCCTTGTCTGATCCTGATCCTGGTCTTGATCCTAGAATTCTGATAATACCACTAGCTACTATACTACCTCCCTAACCTTCGATCTCCCGCGGTACTAGGGTGACCGTGAAGCCAGTTTGAGAAGAGAATAAACACGAGGTTTGTTATAATGGGCATATCCCTACTCATGGTCAACTAAGAATCACTAGAGAATGGGTGCAAGAAGAATTAAAAGAGGGACGGAGCAGATTATCAAAAAATATCGCCACCAGAACACAATGAGGTCCTAAGTCCCCGGTACGTACAAAGACCCAAAAACCAAAGCCTATTTAATTGGCACGTTCTGCTCTAGGGGAGAGTTTTCCATGTACCCGGCGCCCAAATGGGGCATGCGGACTGGTGATGGAGTGTGGCTAGGTATGAGTGCTGGCGTTGAGCCGGTTGGGGTATTCCACATCCTGCTGAAAGGAGCGACTAGTAGGCATAAGGGTGAAACCCTGTACTTGTACTGTAGATTGAGTGCTCCGCCATAACTGAAAGGTTGCATGCGAGTATGAATTAAACAAAAAAAAAGAATTGGCGCGTTCTTTGCTGAAAGAAAGAAAAAAAAACAGGATGTAGAAGGGTATAGGTTGTAGGATAGGCTGGGAGGCGGTGTACCAAGGCCTAGGCATGGTGATTAGCTTTAGTGTGGGTTTGCATTGAAGGCACATATAGATGATTTCGGGGCCCGAGGAGATTAAGGGCCCAACAAGGCCAAGGTATTTCGAAGTCACCATAGTAGCTGGCTCCGCTCTGGCATTTCTTGAAGAGCATTGAATGGCATTGTGGGCCACATGACATGTATAATGGCCACATCTATCAGCTGAATATGTGTACTATTAAGGCATTTCTTGTCGTATCATATGAGGGGAACTTCAGATCTAAGTTCCAACTGGAGCGTTCATATCTCTTTAACAATGGATTCGACCCTGGTTATCATACTCCTTATGGGTGTTAGTATTGATTGGTGTTGTATGGATATAAACTCCGATCAACTGAGAGTCACATGAGTACCTTCCATCAATCTTATACAGTTAGTATCGGTGGTAACTTCTCGCGAGTGATACCCTATGATCCGGCTACTTCTGGTTAACTATATAGGGTTCACACTCACAGGAAAAGTTCTATCGTCATAAACCGAGAGATTAAATATATAACCTATCAGGGTGTTTTAGGGGAGAGCATATGGAGACTACAGGGATACATTTCCCAAAGCGTAGTACATACCAAAGCCACCGAGTGATCTCTCATGAATCTCAAAATACCACTTAGTTGGTTTATCTATGAACTAAAGGCACTTTTGAAGTTATGGTGCTCGAATCTTCATTTAAAAGCATTAACAAAGTACATTGCAATAAACGCACAATCAAAGACTTGAATGCATCAAATTTATTACCCGTAACCACACCCTCCTTTCCAGCCAGATATCTATTCGGCCCCCACGTAATAAACATGCCGATGAAAGCTATATGTAGATATAATGAACGCAATACCATAACAAATGAAAATCATAGGAATAAAAATGCCCGTAAGAAGATTTTGGACGCCATATCGCTCGCTGAGCTATGATGATAACAAATGAAAGAAGAGTTGTGGGGGGGGGGGGGGGGGAAATGGAACAAGAAGGTCGAAGTTTGTCAATGCTGTTTGTTTAGTCGTTAGTGGCCACTTAATCGTCGTAATTGAGCTCGTCCGCGTTACGCGCAACGGGCCTCTTTGTGTGCTTGACACGTTGCGGGGGACCCGAGGAGGAAGAAGGGATGGCTGCTGGTGGTGGGGTGGGTGTACTCGTGCTTGGGTTTTTTCGTATGCGCGGGTTTGTTGTTGGCGGTTTGGGGCCAAGCACGGCAAGGCGGACTCGGGCCATTTCATCGCAGAATTCTTTATCGGCGATCACGTTCATTGCGGCACGGAGGGCGGCATCACTGGAGAATATTGGTTAGTCTTGTCACTGTAATTAGAGGGAGGGAGGAGAGGATAATACGTACTTCTTATTAGTTGCCCAGCCTCTCCCGATCAACCTCTCTTTGAACCCCACCCAGTGAGATAAACTTCAATGCTATACCCGCCCTTATTCCCTCCATACTTTCCATCCCACCTATACTCTATTGAGACACGACTACCTCCCGCAATTGTGTTCAGCGTCTGCTTCGCCATCTTATCAATGGGAGCGATGTTGTACTGCTTCGCAAACTCGGCCAACTTCGGGGCATACAGTTTCTCCAACCACTCCCTAGCAGTCTGCACGCCATGCACCGGGTCATCCAACACAAGTGCCGCAATATAAGCCTCGAAACAGTCCGCAAGCGTTTTGTTTGTTTCTGTCGGGGCTTTCTCCTTCTCCTTATCCAGTGGCTCCGACTCTGGCGACTCTGGCCCTGAAGATGTACTGGGCAGCGCACTCGGGAGCATCACTGGAGAAGTGTTTTCCTGACCTTTGCCCTCGCGGATGCGCAAGTGGAATTTGTAAAGCGTCGCGTAGGTACTGAGCGGCCTGTTCGCGACAAGTGACTGCCGCATTTCAGAGAGCGAACCTTCGCGGTGGGTGGGGAAATAGTCGTAGAGGATATGGGAGGCGATGGACTGCAAGTAGGAATCGCCTAGGAACTCGAGGCGCTCATAGTGTCGGTTCTCAGTGCCTGGGATAGAGACTTCTTCACCTTTGATGAAGGACTTATGTGTGAAGGCTTGCTGGCGGAGTTTGTGGTTCTTAACCTCCGGAAGAGGCGGGGGCCAGTTGAGAGTGGGTGCTGAGAGGGTGGCGGGACGGCCGAGTGAGAGAGAGGGCGTTTTGGGCAGTGCCTTGGGGAGTGCCTTGGGGGGTGGGGAGCTGTCATTGTCGGCCTCTTTTTCGCCGTCGGAGTCGCTGTCGGAAGAGCCGCTGTCGGAGTGACTAGAGAGGTCGCTGGTAGATGGCGAGGACAGCCATGGGAGGTCACCGGAGGTCTTCATTGTGCGAAGCGCGGCAAGGAAGTTGGATTTGCGGTCGCCAAGGGCGCCGCGGAGCTCTGGGATATCGGATTTGGTGGAAAGGAGGGTTTTAAGTGTACGGCGAAAGTTGTCGAACTGTTCGGCAACTGTTTCATTGGATGATCCACCGGTCTGTGAGGACGCAACAGCTGTGGGAGTACGACGAGGGGATGGAAGTGCTACAGCTTTGGGGGCTGGGGGTTCTGCATCCTTGGGTTTGTGCTGCTTGACCTCCTTGACTTCCTTGGAAGTCTTGCTGGCTTTCTCCTTCTAAAGAATTTGTTAGCAAAAGAACTTTGGTAAATTCATAGTTATGTAGCCATGTAGTTTTGTAAAAGGAGCAGAGACGTGCCTTTGATTTCTTGTGCCCGGACTCCTTATGTGAATGCGGGCCGACGAGCGTGATTGCGTCCGAGTCTTCGTGCTTTCTTTTCTTAGATTTACCCATTGCGTTGTTGTCGCGATGTTTCATTGCGATGTTGTTGAACGTGTGTTGAAGTTTATGTTGCCAGGCGCAGATCCTAGTTGATTGGCGGTTGCAGACGGTTGGTCGAGAGCCTCCCCTTGCTTGCTGTATGTGGTTGGTGGGTGTCTGAGACAAAAAAGAAAGATTTTGGACCTCCACTCCTCAACGCCGAGGGAACACTCAATATCCCCGCAATTTATCAATCGATCAATTCAATTGTCCTCTACTTCGAGTCTACTAACACAATCAACCCTATATAGAAAGACCCTGGTCCCTTGATATATATATATATTTGACTTCACGTGTTGAATCTCTAAAAAAAACTTTGGGAATCGCAAGGAGAAACTGAGACTGAGAAACCACAATTCATTGAAAAAAATGTTAAAAAAAATATAGAACTGCGATTTTTTTTCGCTACAACAACTGGAATGCACTGCTTTGCTGCTACTACTGTACTGTATCTCCCCACTTTTCTGCACCATGCCGCCCGTCTAAAACCATCACTATCAACAAATACACCCGCTACCAATCATAGCCATTACCAGGCCCAATTACTTTGACTGGACCTGTCCCTTTCCAGTGTATCCCTCGCTCGAGACACCAGTGATAGGCTCGACGTTTTGCGCCTTCAGAAACTCGTTAGATGCCTCCTCCCATTCGCGGTTAAGGGTCTTTGGTGGCGGGCGGGCCAGAATGCGGGTTAAGTAGAAGAGCATGAATGACGCTCCGAGACCGAACAGAGTGTACAGAACAATCTTCTTGTTCTCGCCGGCGGGGGGGACGGCGCGGGGTCCGTGAGGCCCGAAAGCGACCCAGTATGCTGGTTGAGGTGTTAGCAGTGGGGTTATAGATAGTATTTGTGGTTTGCATTTGTGGTTTTATATGGTATGATGAGATATCTCGTGATGATGATGATGATGGGTTGTAATGATTCAACTGAGGCTTTTTTGAGGTTGAATAAGGGAATACCTACAAGCTTTCTTCTCCTGCACTGTCAGGTTGCTCCATGGCTCCTTCATGCGGTCACGAAGGCTCATCCACAGGTCTGCCTGCTCACTTGGCGGCATCGATTCCCACCGCTTCTCGATATCGGCGAGGGTGACATTGGAGACCGCATGCGAAGCGCTACGGGATTGTGAGACGACCGCAGTCGCGGCACGGAGGGGGGTTGAGGCGAGTCTAGCAGACCGCAGGGCCGAGGTTCGCAGCATAGACATATTTTTTTATAATTTTTTTTTGGATGATAACGTGGTAGGTGGGTTGGTTGATGGTATCTACAGAGGAGGAAAAGGGAATGAGTGGAGATTGGGGGGGGGGGGGGGTCTAGGGTTCAGATCAGTCGGGGATGGGGAAAAGAGACGACGTCGTATGATTGTGGGATGGGAAGGTTGGATGTGAGAGGCTGGAATAGAACTTGTTAGCGAGAAGTTCCGGCGGGCAGCGTTGTTTGCTATTCCGAAGGACAATCACATTGTCCTGGTAACCTCCTCCTTCCCCTCCACCCCGCTATCGTCCCCCTAGCAGCCTTCCATCCGATGATTGCAATTGAACATGAATTATTATATCTGTTTGGTTTCTATATCACCTTTTGTGCGCACGAGAGTTAATTGACCCCTCCCCTTGTTGCCATCTTGAGTATTAATCAATACATGTAATCAATGGATTTACATTGGACGACTCGGGCAAGAGGGAGGGGTCTGAGCATCACGTCGTCAACGTCCACCCATGTGGTGGAGGTTCGGCATGTACGACATCTGCTGTTACCTTAGCCATCTGAGACCCCCATGCACTGGCCAAGCGTGCAGCAGCAACGCAAGCCCCACCAAATGTTCCGTTTGAACACCTTCTGCAGTGGGTAGCGACATCATGTTCCAACAGGCATCTCCAGCACAGGAGAGTAACAAAGTTGAGGCTGAATCCGTTGCCCCAAACTATATTAGGCGTAATATTAGTATCACAGAAATGGTGACATCACCTAAACGTTTCCGTACTCCACATCGGCCGGCATGTTTGTGAGAATGCTTTTACCAGATGGGAGAAGACAATTCCATCCAAGACCGGAGGAAGCTGCTCGGATGATGTGACAATTACAATATGATGCTGCATCGCTGTAGCTGAGTGGCAAAAAGGAAAGAAAGAAGCCGTCCGTTTATCTGAGCGTAAAGTATCATAAACACTGGTTGTGTGGAAATCCAAGCAAGTGAGCAGTGAGCAGCGGCAGCCCCGGCAGCAGCACCCTGTAAGGCTTTCTGGTGTGCGAGATGCCGCTCCGTCGATAGTCATCTCAATCGAATGACGCGGGAAAATAATAATGTGGAAGTGGGATGTTTTGTTGCCCCGCGCTAGTAGAGGGGTTATTTGTGTTGTAAGGCAATCCATCCAGTCCACAATCCTGGGCCAAGATTTATAGGGACATGTATATTGCTACAACATAAAGGCCATCCTTTCCTGCTGTTTCCCTTGTTCTCCTCTTCACTTTCTCCTCTTCTTCATTTTCATCGAAATTCTTTTCTACATCACGCCGAATTCTTTGCACAGTTAAATACCTTTCACAAGTAAGTTTGATACTCCATCAACGAATATACTAGTATACCAGCTTGTATACTCGATGATGTCATCCATAAAGTAGGATAACTAAAGATAACACCTGGATAGATAAAATTCCAAAATGGTTGTCAAGTGTGGAATCAAGTAAGTTTGAACTCGCAGGTTATTGATTATATCAGAGCTGATATAAATAACTGTATAGCGGTTTCGGACGTATTGGACGTATCGTATGTCAACAGAGTCTGCTTGAATTCGTTATTAATGAGTAGATTTATTAACCGTGACTTCTGGTCTAAAAGGTTCTCCGTAATGCGTAAGTTTTCCATCGCTTTTCTTCCGTTGATCTTGTCAAACACCATGTTTGTCAACGATGAGAACCTCAGCTTACCTTCTACTAGCATCGAGCATGATGATATCGAAGTCGTTGCCGTGAATGACCCCTTCATTGACCCCAAGTATGCTGTGAGTATCCTCAAGGCTCCATAAATCAAAGCAGATCTCACACATCACCCTCCTACAGGTGTACATGCTCAAGTACGACTCTGCCCACGGTAATTTTAAGGGAGAAATCTCTTCCAACGACGCCGGCGACCTCATCGTCAATGGCAAGACCATCAAGATGTACCAGGAGCGCGACCCTGCCAACATCCCATGGAAAGACACCGGTGCCGAGTACATCGTCGAGTCTACTGGTGTTTTCACCACCACCGAGAAGGCCTCTGCTCACTTGAAGGGTGGAGCCAAGAAAGTCGTCATGTTTGTCGCCCCATTCTACGAGCCCATATTTTCCGTGCTACCGTACTAACAACTCTTTCTCCAGCTCTGCCCCATCGGCTGATGCCCCCATGTTTGTCTGCGGAGTCAACCTCGAGAAGTACAACAAAGATATCCAGATCCTCTCAAATGCTTCCTGCACCACCAACTGCCTTGCCCCCCTTGCAAAGGTCATCCATGACAACTTCGGCATCATTGAAGGTCTCATGACCACCATTCACTCCTACACTGCTACACAGAAGACCGTCGACGGCCCTTCCGCTAAGGACTGGCGTGGTGGGCGCACTGCTGCCACCAACATAATCCCCAGCAGCACTGGTGCTGCCAAGGCAAGTACTCTCTTCATATCACCTAAAACACCTACTAACACCCCCTTAGGCTGTCGGAAAGGTCATTCCAGAACTCAATGGAAAGCTCACTGGTATGTCCATGCGTGTGCCAACCCAGAACGTCTCAGTCGTCGACTTGACCGTGCGCATCGAGAAGGGTGCCTCCTACGATCAGATCAAGGCTGCCGTCAAGAAGGCTTCCGAAGGCGAAATGAAGGGGATTCTTGCGTACACCGAGGACGAGATTGTATCTACTGATATAAACGGACACAACGCCTCAAGTATCTTCGACGCCAAGGCGGGAATTCCGCTCAATGATCACTTTGTCAAGCTTGTTGCTTGGTATGATAATGAATGGTAAGCTATCAAACCATCTAAGCAGGTGTGAACGAAGCTAATATATTGTTAGGGGTTACTCTCGTCGTGTCTTGGATTTGATTTCATACATCGCTAAGGTTGATAAGAAATAAACTGATGGGAGAGGTTTAATATTAATGATTGCATGAATACGCGAGTGGCTGGGAAAGAACAAAGAGTGCTGGCTGTTTGTTGTATTTAAAGCTTTGGTATTAAGAAATCGAGCTGTTTGCCGCCGTAAATTACTTCTTGCGCAGTTATGAAGAAGAATATTACGATGCTTTGTGAATTATGGGCTGTTTTGGAGTTATTTGTGAAATAGTGGAATCATAAGGTATCACTCGATCGTTGGTTGCCTTGTTTTGGCCTAGCGTGTAGATAATCGTAGAGGCAAGGTTTAAGAGCGCAAGACATGGAACGACAACTACATTTCTAGGGAATGTAGTAAAGCTTCTTCTTACGCAAATTTCGAGCGCAAATATATTGTAATAGCAAAGGTATGAACAAACCCCCACCTCCCCATTCCTTGAAATTGATAATAATTACAACATGAAAAACCCTGCTCCCACCCCCCCCCCCCCCCCCGGACACCAATTCCACGCACCGGCTGCAGCTTTCGATAGAGAAAAGCAAGATAAAGGAAAGAAACAAGTAGAATATAAAAAAAAATAAGAGCTGGCAAGTATATATTTTATGTCTTATATCAACAAGTCTAGCCGCTAGCAGCGTACGCAGCATCACCCGGTGCTGGGTCCGCCTCTACACCTGCTTTCGACATCTTTGCTGCCGAGCACCTCGACATTGTCGGTGAGCTGTGAGGAAGTGAAGTTAGCTTGTATTCATTTTTAAATCATGATATATCACTCATGGGGCCAATCATACCTTCTAGAGATGACGTCCGTGAAGTAAAAGTTCTCTATCACCTTCCTCATGACGCCACCCGTTACTGGCGCGCCCTTGTTCGCCTCTACAAGTCCAACCTTGATACCCTGTGCGCTCATTGATGTGTCCTCAACAATGTCGTATCTTGTAAGTGCAGGGCTGATCTGCTCCATCCTTGACCTCAGAGTGCTCAGGTCGTCGTAGCCAAGGTTTACGCCGAGTGCCTCTGCGGTGGCGCGGACGATCTTCCAGTCCTCGCGAGCAACGCCGGGCAGGCCGGTGGCGGCCCTAGTAAGCTGAACTCTTCCCTCGGTGTTGACGTAGGTGCCGCTCTTCTCGGTGTATGCTGCACCGGGGAGAACGACGTCGGCGAACTGGGCTCCAATGTCTCCGTGGTGGCCCTGGTAGATGACGAACGCACCCTTGGGGATATCTGCCTCGGTAATCTCGTCGGCACCAAGGAGCCAGACCATCTTGGGAGTGGTCTTGGCGGTCTCTGGGGATGGTGGGACGAAACCGATATCGTAGGCTGCAGAGCGTGATGCGGCACGCTGGAGAATGTTGTAACCGTTCCATTCGGGAGTAAGGAACTTCGAGCTGTTCTTGTCAAGGAAGGTACCTATGGTTTCGTACATGGCCCTGCCGTCCTGGTGCTCGGTGACACCGGAGCCGACAATGATCATGGGTCTCTTGGCGTTGAGAAGCTTCTTGCCGAAGGGGCCGGCGAGTGTCTTCTTGAGCGCTGCAGCGTCCTGGCCGAGATGCTCGTACTCGAAGGTTCCCTCAAACTGTTCGCCGACGAGACCAATCTCGAGGTCGGAACGTAGCCACTGCTTACGAATGCGGGCGTTGAGCACTGCTGCCTCGTGGCGTGGGTTAGTTCCAACCAAGAGAATGGCATCAGCCTCCTCGATTCCACTAATGCGGGAGTTGAAGAGGTAGTTGCTGCGGATATCAACGCCGTGGGCAGGAGGGAGGTTTCCTTGGGGCTGGTCGAGAGTCAAGTTCTCGGAGCCGAGCTTGTTAGCAAGGTCCTTGAGGGCGACGAGGGACTCAGCTTCGATGAGATGTCCGGCAATAGCCTTGAACTCATTTCCCTTAGGGGCGAGGCGCTGGTGAGCTTCGTGGATCTCTCCAAGAACTTGCTCCCAGGTGGCAGGAAGGAATTTGTCATCGCGACGGATCAGAGGCATTGTCAAACGCTGGGTTTTGAGACCATCGCAAGCGAAACGGGTCTTGTCGTTAATCCATTCCTCGTTGACGTCGTCATTAAGACGGGGGATCACACGCATCACCTCAAGGCCACGAGCATCGACACGGATGGCAGAGCCAAGAGCGTCAAGGACGTCAATGGACTCGACGGGCTTGAGTTCCCAGGGACGAGCACGGAAGGCATATGGCTTTGAGGTGAGGGCACCGACGGGGCAAAGGTCAATGACGTTTCCGGAAAGCTCAGAGTCGAGGTTCTTCTCGAGGTAGGTGCCGATCTGCATATCGTTTCCTCTTCCTGTAGATCCTAGCTCCGGGGCACCGGCAACATCGTTCGCGAATCTGATGCAACGGGTGCAGTGAATACATCTGTTCATCGAGGTCTTGATAAGAGGACCAATGTTCTTATCCTCAACAGCACGCTTTCCTCCAATCTCGTGGAAACGACCGCGGTCGCCTCCGTAACGCATGGACTGATCCTGGAGGTCGCATTCACCACCCTGGTCGCAAATAGGGCAGTCGAGAGGGTGGTTGGCAAGGAGGAACTCCATCACGCCTTCGCGGGCTTTGTGAACGAGGGGAGTGTTAGTCTTAACTACCATGCCGGCTTGAACAGGCCTGTAATTGGTGAGTTGGCTTTCATTGGTGATGCCGGGGGTGGTGAGGGGGAGCGCACCATGCACATGAGGCAGCCGGCTTGGGCACTCTTTCTACCTCGACCAAGCACATACGACAGTTACCAGCAATCATGAGTTTTTCCTGTAGGTGTTGGTGGCGTCGTCAGTAATCTGTATGCACCACCCCCCATAACTCCCGGGTGTCCGGGGCATCAGGGATGCAATTGGGAACTGTGGGGAAAGGTAAAGGAAGTATGAATAGAACATACATGGTAGCAGTACCGGGGGATGGTAACTCCGGCTTTCTCACAAGCTTGGATCAATGCCGAACCCTGCTCGATCATGATTTTTTTCCCATCGATGGTGACCTCGACCTCGGCGGAGGCTCGGGCGGTGGCAGCGAATGATCTCTGCGCGGGGCAATTAGTGAGAAGTCGGCCAGCCGTGGGCTTCGCACTCCGTAATAATTTCTGTCGCATCATTTTGGAAGATTTCGAGATGCGAAAAGAGGGAGTGGAGAGGGGGGAGAAGGAAGAGAGAAGGTAAATTGGCGGGGGGGGGGGCGAATTGATAAGAGGTGGGAGGGCGGGCTAATGACGATGAACGAGGATGGTTCGAGGGAAATCTCGTGTGAAACCGTCGACGTCCAGGGCGGCCAATAGCGGCGCGGCAATACAAATCAGATCGAATTAGTAAGCACGTAGCGCGTCACCAGAAATCACTCGCCCCTAGTGGCACATGGTTGCTGATTTCGACCATACTTTGATTGGGTCTGTACAAGTCATATTAGAAAAGAGTTCGTGGGTGGCAATTCCATCATGAGAGTGGGAGTACACTCTAGATTGAAATAGCAGAAGTGGAGGACGCTAACAACCAAGGCAACAGAGCTAGAGCTTTAGATTGAGGATCGCAAAAAAGATCTTACTTAGATAATATCCCGAAATTGTAAGAGCGAGGTTACCTGATATTTTGGGGTATATAGGTGAAATGTAAATGCACTTTTTAAATTTAATCGATCCGATCCTATGTAGCTACATGTATGTACAAGGACGATCAAAAGGATATTCCATGACCGCCCTTGAAGTTTTTTATAACAGATAATTCTGAACGCCGCAGGGCTATCGCTAGTACGTGTTTAGCAGCAAGAACAAAAAGGGGCGCTTATGGTGGGCCACATTTGCACTTCAACTCCTCTTGACTCTTCTTCTCTCCTCTCCCTTCCCCACCCTTAACCATCTGTTCGCAAGAGTTAGCGACTCTCAATATACAGCTGTCTTTGAAATCTTTTATTCACGTTTCAAAACTCACACACAACCTCAATCGCATGTACTCTATTATCTATTGTGATTGTTGAATAGAATCGGGTTAGTAGACTAAGCTCCAACAGACCAACAGGCAAGCTTTGCGCCAATCTGCAACCGAGATGGCTATCGCATATAATGAGAGAGAGAATATGTATAGAGGATGTAGAGGGCTCAAGCTCAAGGTCCAGATATATCCTCAACACCAGGGTACCGCCAAACTCACAACAGGTCGAGAAGTGTTCCCCTTGCTGCCGGCGGTTTGACTCTGGAACCTGACTGGAGTCAGAAAAAGCCTAGGAGCCTAGACTTCTATCGACCTACGATGTCTACTTGGGCGTTTAGTATTCAAAATAGATGTCTCAAAGCCCTTGTCAGTCTAACGCCTAGATCTGAGAGATCATTCTCAAGAACTCAGCGAACGTAAGTAACGTGTTTCACTGGGAACGCAATCGTCACTAGGAAAGCAATCAAGCATGACATGAACGGGATCGCGAATTGCTGTGAAAATTCAAAATCACCCAGAATTACAGAACTAGATACACTAAAGTCATTTTGAGATATCTTTCGAATATTTCTGATGATTGTTACTAATAGGTAGCGAGTATATAGCTGTGGGAGGGTCATCAAGGCTTGATGACAGCTGATGACCCTCTCACAGCTATATACTCGCTATGATCATAAGAGATAGTCAAAAACACCAAAAGAACTCTCCTATACATGTATGGCTTCATAGGTATTGTTTTGGTGCTCATAATGCCCTTCTGTGAGCTTCGGTTGCTTTCCCGGTGATGATCGCTTTCCCGGTGAAACACGTTATAGCCTACAACGAAAGCATTCCCTCTTCAATCCATCATCTGCAACCGCTTAATGGACAGCCAACCTAGATGGCGTAAAAATCGCTGAACGTTGCGTCGATCTCTTAAATTTAGCAGGAAATGGGAGGGGCTAGATCTTTAGAGCTCTTCAACTAATCGAGTGACTATGTAGCTTGGCACACATTTTACGATATATGGGCGCAGCTAGGAAAAGCAACCCCCCAACATCAACAGTATACCACTTCCATCGGCGTGTGGCTAGCATATTTATGGATACTAAGGTGACGTATATGGTGATGGGAGATCGACTCTGATATCAATTCGGTTATAATGTACCATATATTGTTCCTTCATAAAATATCACTCGCGCCCTACAGCGATTTGCGGTTTGGTCCATGTATTTAGTCAGGACTTATCGTGAAGTCTTCTTCTGAGAGAAATTACAAGTTTAAAAATATATATCCATATCATTAATGGCGGTACGTTAACGTTCTGGTATAGGCCGAACAACCCAGGCGAGCATAAGAATCAAGGAGAGATGTATTATATAGGGCCCGAACAAAGATACTAAAAATTTACAAGAAAAACGAAGAAAAACCTTCATCCTGTGACTTTGGAAGCCCTTAGATTGGGGACCTGCTCCGAACTATGCCTCGGGTTCCTGGGCCATTCCCGTCGATGCTTTCTGGCTTTAATTCTGAAGTTCCCGAACACTAGGCTGCTACTCGCCAAGAAACCAGCAGAACTGGTACTCCCGTCTTAGTCTCATAGCTATCCCTAGAAACAGCTCACTGCTTTCCGCCTCCGTTTTAATGCAACTACATGTAGTTTTAATAAACTCCAGTCACATCCATCGGCGTTTTCCCTTAGAATTCACCCTTGCTGAACTAGGTATCATCGCTCTTGGCCAGCCTTAGTATCTCTAACATAACGCAAAGCGCGAAGGTCTGTAGGTCCTTTTAATCAAACCGATCGCGAGCCAGCTTATGATCTACATTTTCTTCGGGTTCTTAATTCACTGGGGCATGCGGCTCGGTTTCATATTGCAATGGCACACTATGTAGTGTCTTGGACATATATACGATATTAAGAGGCTCAAGCTTCTTCAGCTATTGGATCCTACATGCATGTGACAAGATTTTTCGTAATCCCGTACGAGAATAGGTCATGAAGGACTTTATCCCCACAACCACAAAATCTGTCAGGGATAGTTATGTGATTAGAGAGCTGAAAATTGACAGAAAATATCTCCTAGGTATGAATCCCGATTCCCGACTTTCGGGGCTGGTTTTTTTGGGGCAGTTCCTGCTAGTTGCGAAAATAATGAGAACTTTTGTCACTCGGCAAACCTGGGTCCAGATACCTTAATTTCTTTGGCTGTTTTGGAATTGAGGACGCGGGGCTGGGTTGATGCTTTTCTAGTAGGGCTGGACTGCGGATCTCATGTACCAAATATTCTATGCAATAGATCCGTGCATGGTGTTTACGAGTAAGCCTTCAGAGGGTGTGGGTGCATCTCCAGGGGTTTTTGTGATCCAGCGGGTCATAAATCCCGATGGGAAGACACCTTTGAGTCATTCTGACCCATTAGATTCTCCATATACCTGATCGTTCTATAGACCTTCCTACCCTGTTGAAGAATTGATGCGATGTGCACTTTATATGACTGGTCTTTAGATGTAGGCTGGAATTGAATCTGGGGTTAAGCTGGCATGTTATCGGCTCACGTAATGGGGCAAAGACCAGCATTTATCATCTAATAAGAAATACATGTAGGTGTGCCGTGTATGAGATGTGCACTTTGAGGAATTTGATTGGACGAGTTTGATGTGTTTGATGAGTTAACGAGTTTGAAAGTTTTCTTTTTTTTGTAAATTTGATAGATACATGTATGTATTGTAGCTGCGCTCCAGCCAACATTTTCTAACAGCTTTGAGCTCTTTTGCCAGGGTATTGGCTACGTCATATCATACCAACCACGATAATATTTGAGGGTATGTAGTTGGTGGATCTAATGATGGTGAGATCTAGTCATTGCGGTCCATGCGATCCAAATTTACTGGGAAGATGGCTTTAGGATAAGATCGGTATACTAATATCGTGCAAAAGCCTGCTTCCGCCATGAGTCAGTAAAATAAGCAAGTTGTGATCAAAGATCAGAATACATGTAGTACAGGATGTGAGCTTAAGTTTGGCCAAAGAATAGAAGATTATAAGGTATATTCGCGAGGCTACTTCATAATTTACCTCACGCTCGGTGAACATTATTATGGTATACCCTAGCTAGCTTCGGGACCTATTTTCCAGTACAAATGGGAGTCCCTTAAGAGAAGCGTCTTTTGGGCGAAAAGACCTTCGTTACTCCATGTAATAAAGTAGATGTACTCAACAGACACCTAGTCCATAATGCCTAGCCGCAGCATTGCAGCACTGCGGCACAAACACCTCACACACCAAGTAAAGAGGGCCGTCAAATATTTAAATCACGTCTCGAACCTCAAGCGCTACTCATAATTGATCCGGCTGAATCATGGCATAGAATTAATACCGCACTCTCTTGGAAGTCAACGAATATATTCCTTTAAGAGGTACGGCTATACTCTATGGAGGGTCTGGCATTTCCCTTAGATTTCTTCGATTTTTGGGGCCTCACTGGCTACGAAAGTACTCGAAGGAATCCCGTGAACTGTATCCTCGTCTATAAGTACGTGCCACAACTGCTACTCTAGCGCCCTAAGGAGCTTAGGTACCAATTGAGATAAAGACCTTAGTTATGTAATGAGCTTCTTCGAACATTCCCAGCCATCAAATCACCCCCATAGATCAGGAGCTTGAGTTAGATTCACTGATACGTAGAATGTTTGTGTATATACGTATGTACTCGCGTACAGCATAAAGAACCAGAAAATGCAAGTGACGAAACAGGGATTATTTGTATGGAGTGGCGCTGATCTGCCATACAAAATACGCATTTGCATTTTCTGGTTCTTTCCCCTACACGCGAGTACTGTATCAAGAAGTTCCGGTGACGTACTTTGTACAGAGATATAGTTTTTTCTTTTCTCTTTCCTTCTTTTTTTTTTGTATACCTATTACCCTATTAATGTCTGCATCCGGTTTTTCTACTTAAGAAATCATCTTTGGCTTGCCATTCTTGAATTATTCTGGAAGTAGTATTGTGGGCTAGGTAATAAGTTGCATTATTATGTTGGGATATTTCAACTTCATGATTCAGTGCTAACCGCATGTTACTTAGATGGATGAAAGGCGATAACTCGTGGCACAAAATTTGGTTATGAGGGGCATTAGAATTGCAAGAAAAATCACCATACCGCCAAAACTCGAAAAATTGGCTATCTCCGTCCAGGGACTACCGCTTGAATAATTGGTTGGGTGGCATCGATCTACATCAGAAGTTTCCCATACAAGTAATTCTGATCTAGCCAATTTTTCGAGTTATGGCGGTACTTCAGTGCGATCTTCATCGAATCAATTAATTTGGGGGTTTCTCAGATGAGAACATAGAGATGAAGTCGTATTTAAGTATTAAGACAGTCTGTGCTCCCAGTGATAAGCATTCCCGGTGCGGCTAAACCCGAAGCGGCTACATTAATCAGCGGACGTCCTCAGTCAGCGCCTTCTCTCATTATTCACTCCCTTCATTTCTGCCGCCAACTTCTCTTCTCTTTCTCACTCCTTTTTCTCCCATTTCTCATTCTCTTGTTTGCTGTCTGAGGGGAAGGCAGATACAAGATTTAATAATCAATCCCTTTTGGTTCTCACGCACATACCCAAATAAGTCGGAACCTCCCCAATCCCAATCCTCCCCCACCCTCCCCACCAGCGAGCGAATAGATACCCCCACCACCAATCACAACTACAACCACAACCATCCAACCCATCAGGTCCTACGTATGCTCAGCTCAAGTACATAAAGTACCACAGCCATACAATAAACCTGTGTGCATCGCCCATCTACACCAGGACACGAGACTTGCCAACCCCCCATCTCCTTCCCACAGCATCTCATCCTAAACACCCCCATTCATCAGACTTATCTGCCATAACCTGCTACCAGTCACTACCCACCACCTACTCCTGGTTTGCCTCTAGACGGCATTGATCCAAAGTAGACCCAGCGAAACAAGCGGCAACTTCAACACAGTCGGTTCCCGTGGTATCACAAACCACGCCGACTGTGTCGTAAGAGCTGCGTTCTCCGAGTGGTGAAAATGAACCACCCATACCCTACGGCCGTACCGCCGGCAGTCCCCAATGCTCAATTTCGGCGTAGGGACGACCCTAGAATGTACCAGGCAGCTGCTGCGGCGTACTATTATCCGCAACAATTTCATCCTCAAGCCCATACACCGCCACCTCCCCCGGTGATTGTAAGGTCGCCGCACCCACACCAGGTCACAAAACCCCCGCCTCCGCCTCCACCACCACCTCCGCCGCCAGCCCCAGTTGTAACGAGTCTGGTGGTGGTGAAGGCCGCAACCCCACCACCGCCTCCCCCACCAGTTGTGAGGACTCAATATCAACCTCAAGTACTTTAACCATTCCCTGTAAATGTGGGTTATGCATTTGAGCACGTTGCTAACTTTGTGAAGCTACCATGGTACTCTGCCCCGGACGAACCTTTCCCGCGTAGACGTCGGCGAAGAAAGGCCCCCGCTCTTCCTACTCAGGTGTCTGCCCCAGCAGAGCCCGTTCCCGTAGCGGAGGAGACTGTACCTATTGCACCGGAAGTTTCTACTCTTGATATAGCGCAAGCTCCCTCTACTGTTTCAGACATTCAAACGCCTACTACCACATGCCCACCTTCTGAAGCCGGCTCAACAATTGCCTCGACACCCATATCTACTGCTCTACCAGCTACAGCTTTTGTTCCGGCCACTACACCTGCATCCGTACCTGCACCTGCGCCTACCCCTGCCCCTGCCCCTGCTGCCATTGTACAGAAGCCTGTTCCTGCAGTACCCGCAGTTCCTATACCTGCGCTACCCGCGGTGCCAATTATCAAGGCCAAAGCCAAGTCCGCTCCTAAATCGCAAACGGAACCGGCTAAGCTTGTGACCATCAGTCCCTTGGAATCCAGCACGGCCCCCAAGGATGCAAGTGTTAAAGAATCAGCTCCGAAGGATGTAACTCCTAAGGATGTAACATCTAAAGATGTAACTCCTAAGGATGTAACTCCTAAGGATGTAGCCCCTAAGGATGTAGCCCCTAAAGATCCAGCTCATAAGGATGCAACTCCAGTGACACCAGCACTGCCAGCTGCTGTCAGTGAACCAGCTGCTGTTGCGCCGCCTCCACCCCGGCCGCGCCCAAATCATGGGCCGACTTGGTGAAGGTAAGGAATGCTGTTGCGTCTGCAGGTATTGCAGGGGCAAAGGTTGAGCAGCAACGCGCGGTTGTCATAAAAGGAAATGGGATTGTAACAAATTCACTATCGGATATTTTGATTAACTTCACGATTCCGAGTGAGAAGAATGTTACTAGCCCATTCTTGGAACCTAGGGGATTAGTCAATACCGGTAATATGTGCTTTATGAATGCTGTAAGTTGTTCTGACGTCAGGGTGGCAGATCTTTGAGAATTCGTGGCTAATGAGACCTTAGGTTTTGCAAATGCTGGTGTTTTGCGGACCTTTTTACTACTTCTTAGACCACCTTTCAAAACAAGTCGCGCACAGCTTTAAAACGGATACGCCTTTGATTGATGCAATGTAAGTACTTGGTATTATATTCTAGAAAAAAAATGGGTTTCGATGTTAATGCGACTCAGGATCATGTTCATGCGTGAATTCCGCGTTATTAGCCCTTCAGCTGCCCAATCACAGCCTTCGACACTCAAGGCTCAGGATTTTGAAGCTTTTGGTGAGCCCTTTGTCCCTGAATTCCTATACGAGGTTATACGGAGTATGCAGAGCTTCGCACATATGAAGGTAATTTCACCCAAACTCGCCACTTTTTGAGGTGCTAATATTGTATAGCGGGGCCACCAACAAGATGCCGAAGAATTTCTAGGATTTCTTCTAGATGGTCTACATGAGGAGGCCATCAAAGTTATGTCGAAATCCCAGCCCAGCGGTACTTCCACCCCTACTCAGAATGGTACTTCGACTCCCACAGAAGAATCCTTGGAATCGGGCTGGATGGAAGTAGGCCATAAACAGAGGACCTTGACTACTCGTACCACAGAGATAATCGAATCTCCAATCACCAAGATCTTTGGTGGTAAGCTTCGAAGCGAGTTCAAGGTACCGGGGTTGAAGACCAGTGTTACACTCGAACCTTACACACCCTTGCAACTCGATATTCAGAGTCCAGATGTTAGGAGTGTTACAGATGCGCTAAGACACATGGCCGTAGTTGAAAAATTACAAGGAGATTACAACCCTGCAAAAGGCCCTAATGTTACAGCTACTAAACAAGTTCTCATCGAGACCTTGCCGCCGGTCTTAATACTGCAACTAAAGAGATTCCAGTACGACAACACAAGCGGCGTTCAGAAGATTTGGAAAAGGATTGGGTACCCCCTTGTTCTTGAAATTCCACCAGAAGCCATGAGCCATAACAAACGTACTGGACCACCGCAAAAGTACCGATTGATTGGTGTCGTCTACCATCACGGTAAGAGTGCGAGTGGAGGACACTACACGGTTGATGTCCAGAGGCAAGATGCAAAGAGCTGGATTAGACTTGACGACACAGTCATTAAGAGAGTTGGTAGTGATGAGGTTAGGATTGACGTAAAGGTGGAAGAGGAGGGTGAAGAGGATGGTTGGGTGAATGCTGCGTGGGAAGCAGTGAACGGTGCAAATGGTAAAGGCACGGGAGAGGGTGCGAAATGGGTCGGTGAAGGCGGAAAAGTGGCGTATATCTTGTTTTATCAAAAGTTTTAGGTGATTGAGTTCTCTCAAAATGTTTCCTCTCTCCTTCTCTCGCTCTCTCTCACCCTCTCTCACTCTTTTTCCTCTTTAGTCATTCATACCTTTTCCTTCTAACCCTTCTACTTTGCTTTTCTTGTATCTTCTTTTTCATTCTACCTCTTACTATTTTCTCCTGTTCTTCTCTCTCATATACTCTCAATAGTCTCCTCATATTTCTGCTTCTATGTACTCCCTATTTTTTCATATCTTCTTTCTGGATTCGGAGTAGACGGGGTAGTTACGGGATCGATCGAAAAAAGAAAAAAACTGGGATGGATGGGGGCGAAAGGGATGGGAAAAGTTTGCTTTTTTTTTTTTTTTAGTTATCTTTATTTTCTTTGTACGTTCATGCTGCATGAGTGCCCAGTCAAGTATACGTTAGTGAGCTCGTGCATGGAAGATGAGTGATTATTAGTGCTTAGGGGCGGTGGTTATTAGTGCTCTGAGAGATGTTGGGTGATCGTCTCATCCTCCTTTTTTTTTTTTTTTTTTTTTTTGGTATGAGCGGTGATGGCATATGTGGTTTGTTGTAGAGTATGTAGCGTAAATAGCTTGTCTTGTGATTTCGTTCAATTTCTTTAGTTGGTTGATGGATAGCTGGGTGGCTGGCTGGATTGGCGTCAAGGTATGTATATACTTTGAATATCAGGAGAAAAAATACAAAAAGAAAAAACGAGGGTTTGTCTTGGGTCTTTCTAGGGTTGAACACAGTGGTTCATGAGTGGTCACTCGGGCTCCTCGGGTAAAGCCTTCGGCGGAAGGGCTGGGCGGGGGACTAGCAAGGATTGCGGGCTTAGGTCTTGGGGGAATAGAACAGGGTCAGATCATTGAAGTTAGTTATCTCGGCAGTTAGTAATATGTGATCGATAAAGCCATGAAGAATGTTGTTCCTTACCAACTACAGCTAGAAAGATAATATTGCTCCAGGAACTCGAAAGTTCGGTGATAAATTTCTATGTACTGTTGAGACGAGAGTTAATGTCTTTCTCCAAAGTATTAACCGTCTTTAACATGTCTCTGCTGTTGTTTGATACATGTAGTCATCCATCTACCTATCAGAATCAGATGTTGTTTGCTCATTCACTCTAGAATTCAGACATCCTTGAGCTCCCTCATATATCCAGATGGGAAGCTTGCTCTGAGTACGGCCACCACCAGGAGTTTGTTTCTAAGAAGTGCGAAACATGAATTTATGTACCGTAAACATCAGTGGATTCTGTACGGGTTCTCTCCACAGCCCGAATGTCCGACCCAAGATAATTTTATGCATCAGCGGATGTCTGTGCAACAAATGACGGGGTTTGGGTTGCGATATGCATCAGTGCTAGCTTGACATGCGCCCATCTTGGGGATCCTCTCCCTCTCTCTCGACGACATAAGCTTCTGCGCAACACAACCAGCATCAACCGCATTCAAAGTTGCGCGAACAGAACCAGAGCGCGATACGATCGGCAGGGTGAGGGCAACAAACACGTCCCTTATTAAATCTCCCCACAGTGAATCTGGTCTCTCGGCATGCCGCGTGAAACAAACGTATGAACTCGATACCTTCTACCCTGCATTCCACCAAGACCTCCAAGGAAACCCACCAGCCCACTCCTCGTAGGCAACCCACAACTCCAATCTCTAGCTCAGAAGAGATAAATCCCAGTGGTCGCCAGATCAAATGCCCTTTGTTCCTGGGTCTGACACAGATATGCTTGACGCGCCTAATGGTACGTCTGCGGCTCATATCGAAAACCCACCTACCTTTCCGATCTGTGTGAACGGGCATACAGACGTTACTTTCACCGGCCCCTACAACCCATCTCGAAGCGAGCATGCTTCGCCCGTGGCTGATCAGACGTCTGCAATAACGCTGAGACTTTCGGGCGACGTGTCTGCATCGAGGGAGGATTCGACAGAAAAGGACCGTCAAATGTCGCCCAATAAGGCACTTCCAATATCAAGTCTCAAAACGGGACTATGTTACGACACACGTATGATGTATCATGAACAAATCAATGAGGAAGATCATCCAGAGCAGCCCAAACGGATATTCTCTATATATAGTGCTCTGGTAGGTGCTGGCTTTGTTGAAGATGGAAGTCTCGCGGGGGCCTTTAAGGATGGGATCATGAAGCGGGTAGACGCAAGAGAGGTAACAGAAAAAGAAGCTCTGTTGGCGCACTCTAAGGATCACTGGGACTACATCTCTAGCACCTCTGGTATGTTATGAATGGCTCTTTGTTTTCTCTAGCTTCTTATCCTCGTTGACCAGGGGTTGGACCTGGGGGTTAATTGTAGTTTGACTTGTTTGTTGACTTGTTCCTCCCTGTTTAGCGATGGATCCTATTGACCTGAGAGAGGCATGGCAAGAAGGGGACTCTGTCTACTTCTGTCCGGATAGTTTCTCTAGCGCAAAGCTCTCTTGCGGAGGTGTAATCGAATGCGCAAAAGCAGTCGTTGAGAGCCAGGTAAAGAATGCAATTGCTGTTGTGCGGCCGCCGGGCCACCACGCAGAGTTTCACAAGCCAATGGGGTTTTGTCTGTTTAATAATGTCTGCGTTGCTGCTCAAGTGATGCTAAAGAAATACCCGGAAACAATTCGTAAGGTATTGATATTGGATTGGTAAGTTTTCAACCTTTGTGAACTTCAGAACCTTGTGCTGATTCATGTGGCGAAGGGATGTACACCATGGTAGGGCCCCGCTTTAATTTGGCTGATATTTCCCCAAATGCTGAGGTTATCTGAAAAAGGAAACGGAACCCAGGCCATCTTTTATGACAATCCTCATGTACTCTACATGTCGATACATAGATTTGATGGTGGGAAATTCTATCCCGAGGGCCAACATGGGAATTATGACAAGTGTGGGGTGGACGAAGGCGTTGGGATGTAAGCATCCTTAGTCCAATTCCTCTTTTAGTCCTGTTGCTAACCTCCCAGGAATGTAAACGTTCCTTGGAACAATGTTGATGGTGGCATGGGTGACGGCGACTATATGTACGCGTTTCAGCGTGTTATCATGCCTATTGCACTAGAGTTCAACCCCGACTTGGTTCTCAGTGGGTGTACCCTCCCATGAGACCCTGATGATGTTTCTTACGTACCCTTTTAGTTTCTGCTGGGTTCGATGCCGCGGTAGGTGATGAATTAGGAAAATGCATGGTGACTCCAGCTGGCTATGCGCACATGACACATATGTTGATGAGACTCGCAAACGGAAAGGTTGTTGTTTGTTTGGAGGTAAGGGAAAAGATCACAACCTTCACACTAGACCTTCCGGTTTCTAATCCTGCTCAGGGAGGTTATAACCTGGATTCTATATCCCACTCAGCCCTGGCAGTGACAAAGGTGCTACTTGGAGAGCCACCCGGGAGACTTCATGATGGGGACAAAGTCAGACCATCAGCCTCAAGGGATGTCGAAAAATGTGTTATACAGCAGTCCCGATACTGGCGCTGCATGAGACTTACAGAGTCAGGTAACTTGAGCCCCCCGAATCGTTTCTTAAAGCCACTAGCCGCCTAACTAGCGTAGACCCCATGGAGAAAACAAATTCCTATCGGTTGCACGGTAAGGGTGTTAAGTCTATAAAATTAGAACCCTTTAAAAGTACTGATAAGAGATATCGCAAAGATGTCATCAGATCTCATCAGGCAAAGGTATTGTGGGAGAAACACAGAATGTCGGATTTGAAAATATTTCGAGACACCATTTCTGTGTCCTTTGAAAACCAAGTTCTTGCGACGTAAGTAATTCCTCTGATTTTCCGAGAAGATATTCTAACAAATACAGAACAAATTCTTATAAAGCTGAGACGTTAGTCCTGCTTGTACATGACCCGTACGTAGCGATATAAACCATGCACAAGAATCTTCATCAGTACCTCTTGGTCTAATCATTCAGTTGCGTCTGTTTTGTGAGATACGAGGGAAAAGACCGTCGGTATGGGCACTCCTGGATTCCAATATGATAAACAGGATTGCGCCCCACAACGCCCTGCTGGTACACCCATTCACTCACCCACTCTTCCCCAGTCCAGCTAATTCACGCGATTCTACTTAACTCGGGGGAGGGCAGATATTGGGTTTAGGCTAACGCAGTGTCTTTTCGCGGGTTTTAGGAAGATGTAGGTAACATGTACATCGATTGGGCCGTGCAGAGAGGATATGCTGTCATGGACGTAAATATACCACAGGCATTGACCACCAAAGAGGTATATATCCCTTTCATATGTACAAGACTTGCAACTCATTATTCATGGAGGGCACATTGGCCGAACAGCATGAATACGAAGTAATGAGGCAAACGGAAGAAATCTGCATGTACCTTTGGGATAATTACATTGAGTAGGTCCACTGCACCTGTTATAGAGCGTAATCAGTAGCTGATTTTTGATAGGATTTCTGACGCCAAAAACATAATACTTCTGGGCGTTGGAGATGCCTTTGTTGGGATATTATATCTCCTAGCTAACCGGGGTAATAAATCATGATCAACGTTGTGATTAATCAGTGCTGACTTGCAGTTAGAGTGCCGTGAACGCGTCAAGGGAGTTATTGGTATAGTTGGTGACGAGAACGGCCTCAGGGCCTGTAAGCCTGGAATCCACGGCGACATACTCATCGACTGGTACTTCAATGTAAAGCAACCAGTTAGCCAGCTTTGGGCCAGTCAAGGAATCAGCTAACATATTGTAGAATTCCTTGATCTTTTGCACCCAAGAGCATAACGTTTGGGGGGTAAGACGAGGAAAGAAGAAACATGGCACCATCCGCAAATCACCTGCGACCAACCTTCAGGATGTACTGCGCGAAGCATACGACGAAATGACCCACTGGCTCACGGATAGGCTTCCCCCACCCCCGCCCCCCGGCGTCATACGAAGGCCTAGCAATTCCTAGTTTCGATTCGTCTTGCACACCACAACTTCCTATTCTTTTATTTATTCATTTTAAAAGAGTTCCCTATAATTCTACCACAATCCTGGCATAGGGGATTGTATTCATCCCTTTCCACCCCTCCAATCCTTACCGCCCTCATCATCCCTTCCACCCTATCCACCCTTTCCACCCTTTCCACCCTTTTCACCGTTTCACATTTTTTTTCTTACCTTCTTCACGCTGCCACTCGCTCTGGGTGGGGTTGTAAATTAGTTTTGTGTGTATCTGTTTTCTGCGGTTGTCTCGTCTCTCTATCTTTGACGTATCTACTGAGCGGGGGAATTTAGAAAGATGTCAGCATAAAAACTCCTGAAGGGGGAATTGTAGTAATTTTTTTGACATGTCGGGGCGGCGTGGCGCCGGTGCAGAGTGTGCCAGCTGTCGAATCTGTTGCTGGTATTGTTACTTAGCTACGATAGCCGTAACCTCATTCTCGTCATGCAAGCATTGCGGTAGGAGACATACATACATACATAGATGGTGTTTTTTTCTTCTCTCGTTGGAATCGGGCCATATAGTCGAAGCTCGTTATATTCATGTCGAAATTGGAATAAAGCCGCCTGAGGGGTGTGTGTGCTCTTGTAGTGAGAAAGGTGTCAGAAATCTTCATGAGTGCAGATTTGGGAGGGAGTTGAACAGTCGAGTGATCAGGCATGCTTGGCCAAGCTGCACGTGAGTGAGTGGTGGGCACGGGACTGGCGCACGCGATCATTTCCGGTCATGTGCACGGCGCGCCCACAGAGTCAACGCAGGCTAGGCAACGAAGCTTATCTTGACTCCTTGAGTGCTTGTGTGGGGCCTTGGTATATGTCTTTTCTCTCTCTCTCTTGGCTTCTTGGCTTGTGGGGTTTCATGAGATGTCACTCGGTGGTGTTGGGCACTCGGGTCCGGGGTCTGGGGGTTGGTTGGTTAGTTGTTTCTATTAACTAGCTACATGCACTCAAATGAAGAGGGGGCAGCGCTGAAAAGTAAAGAAGATAAAAAAAAATCTCTATAAGGATATCTATATACCCGCACCCAATCTAGCCCCCCATCCCATCCTTCTAAACTCCACCCGCACGCTCAAAGCAATGATAACACCAATCTAACCAACAAGTGGCAGCCAACCTCCAAATCCCGATCCCTCTCCCTTCTAATTCAACAAGATGGTGACCACGCCGCCATCCTCGCCCTCGACCCTGATCGCCGCCTCCTCGCCCACAAGCGCATACCGTCTCCGCACCAGCTCAAACACAATCAGCCCCGCACTCGTACTCGGCACCTGGCGCAGCGTATTCATCACAAACCCTCTATACAGCCACCTTGCCCACCCGCCCACCTTCTCCTTCTGCAGCGCACACTGCACCCACGTGTCTCGATACGCATTCGCATACACCCTCCACGCTGCCCTCACCCCACCACCACCCGCACCCGCACCCGCACCCGCACCCCCGCCGCCACCCTGCGGCACCAGCTTCGCGGCATAATCCATCGACTCCAGCCGGCCCCAATGCACATCCTGCACCTTCCCCAGCGGATGCTGCACCACCTGCTGACACACACTCGCCGCCATCCCCGCGGCCAGCAGGAACGCCGGCTCCATCGTAAAGTGCGGGCGCACCGTCGTCTCCTCCCCTGGTCGAAGGCCGCGGCCATAGTACCAGCGCGCGTAGCCGTAGAAGCCCTGCTGCTTGACGCCCTCGAACGCCGCAAAGAACACGCCGTAGCCGAGGCTCTCCTTGAGCAGCGAGAGGCCGTAGCCGGCAAAGACGCCGCGCGGGCCGATCTCGCGCAGCTTGTGGTGCGCGTACGTCCACATGGACGAGTATTGGCCGGTCAGCATTTCGCTGACTTTGAAGCGGATGACGAGGGCGTCGAGGGGGGCGGCGACGATGGATTGGAGGGTGCCGGCGAGGAGGCCGGCGGTGAAGGTTGCGGTTGGGGGCGGCGGGGGGTGGACGCGGCGGGAGTGGTGGGAGGAGGGGGCGTGCAGGGTGGAGAGGGTGGTGAGGTAGGTTGTGTAGAGGAGGGCGCCGACGGAGGCATTTGCTATTAGCGGTGGGAGGACTAGAGGAGGAGAGGGTCAGTACGGGGTTCTGGGTTTTGGAGGGGGTTTGTGTGGGGCGGTGATCATTGGCCCTCCTCCTAGCTACATGCAACTCCTTCCTACCTTGGTTCGGGATGAAGCCCCAGCCGTAGTGTTTGACGGCGTGCGCGAGCAGCAGCGGCGTCGTCTGGCGGAAAGACCACCTCTCGCCCGCCTGGATCAGCGGGTTGACGGCGCGCACCATTTGCTGTGTTTCCCCTCGCTCTCTCCCTCGTTAGCCATCTCGATCTCTCCATCTCTCCATCCATAATCATGGTATAAGTAAAATAATAAAAAAAGTCCACAACCCACCATATAATCCACCCTCATCCTAAAAAACGCCTTGACGGGCGCCCGAAAGTAGAACGCCACCAGCTGCGTGCCCACGGCCCGCACGCCCGCCGCGGACGTGCCCTGCACGATGTTGTTTGCGGGCTTGCGGGCGGCCGCGGCGGCGTCGGCATCGCCGCGCGAGGTCGGGATCGAGGGGTCGTAGAGGTCTTTGGTCATGGCGGCATCGATCGGGAGTTAATTGTTTAGATTCACAAGTAAGAGGGAATCGAAACAGGCCGGAAACAGAACTCGGTGGGCCTGGGAGGGAGTGTTTAAGTACTGTATGTAGGGAAAGATATCTGAGAGAGAGGCAGGGTGCGCTTGAGCCTCAAAGCTTGGGTTTGGGCCCCACCAATCAACCCCGCGATACCAAGAACAGGCGCTGCACCACTTACAACCACCAAGCTCTCTCTCTGCCCATAGCTCTCTACATATCTACAACTCTACCCATCTAGCGTAGAACTCTCCCCTCCTCTCGCTATATACAGCTCCCCCTCCCCCACATCCATCCACAGCTCCACCACAGCCAAAATGGTGACCCTCACAACCCCGCCCTCCGTCTACCCCGACCACTACGACTTCCCCCCCTTCTTCACCAGATACGTCCCCCTCTCCCCCTCCCCCTCCCTCCCAGCTAACCAACTAGCTAACACCGCCCCCCACACAGCCAAACGAAACAACCTGGACCGCCCAGCGCACAATCTGGGCCACCTTCATCCTCGACTACTGCCGCCACCACCGCCTCTGGCGCCTGTACGTCTCTGACGCCCTCGAGACCGACCTCTTCTGGAACCAGAAGCTCTCCCGTACCCCCCCCCCCCCTCTTTTCCCCCCTTGCCCCTTCCCCCCCCCCCCCTAGCATAGGCAGGCTAACGCCGGCAAACTAGGACGGCTGTCGCCGAAAGACGCAGCGGCGATACTGGAGTGGATGGCGGGCGAGGGCATGATCGCGTGGGACGGCGCGGCGGCCGTGGTGTATTGGCGCAGCGCGGAGGAGTGGGCGGAGGCGATATGGCAGTGGATTGATGCGACGGGGCAGAAGGGGAGTGTGTTGACGCTGTATGAGATCTCGGAGGGGACTTGACGGTTTCGCAAGGTGAGTGGTGGTTGGAAGTGGGGAGGAGGAAGTAGGGGGGGGATAGGAGACGGGAAGTGGCTAACACGGTGATGTGGGGGTGGGGGGTGTGGTAGAGTTCCATGGCATTGATCCGTTGATATTAAGGAAGGCGCTGGACGTGCTCGTCAAGAGGGGGAGTGCGCAGGTGTTTGGGAGTGAGGATGAGAGGGGTGTCAAGTTTTTCTAAACTGCCTATCTATTCTCGGTATCGTCGTTGGGGAGTGGGTGTTTTTTTCTTTATTTCCTACTTTTTTTTTTTGTAAGATGTGTTGGTAGTTACAGTATATTGCATACCTAGTATTTTGTATTTTGTAGGAGAAGGAAGGGAGGGGGAAGGGAGGGAGGAGGGTAGCTCTGCCGGCGCGGGCGTAGTATAGTGGTAATGCTCACTGAAATGAAAAGGTAGTAATGAATACGATCCCCGAGTGTACATGTAGTTGGAGAGTAACCCTGGCCTAAATCTATATTCGAGTGACAGTATGTGAAACATGGCAGATCTGGGTAATAAGTATTAACCATTTGGGGTATATCTTTGGACGAGTTTGTGAGGGTTTGCCTCCTCTTTTGTTATCGATATATGGTGGTCTAGATCTTTGAATCATCAATATATAATTCACAGCTTTGCCCTCGATCGATCCTGCACTGTAAAGGTCCGACGGTACATTCATCAACAATACAATGCATTTTGTTATTTACATTTACAGTAAATGCTATAATTCCTCTATCTGCCCCGACTTATGAGCTTATCCACTCTGATTTCTCGGAAGATTTCTTGTATGCCTTACTAGGCTATGAGCAATATAACTGTAATCCTCAACCCCAAGAAAGAACTCTGTTGGGGGGGAGAGAGAGGACAGTCTATGTGGGATAAGAACCGGTTTTCCACTTCCACCGATAGAGCAAGCTCCAAGAACCCAGAAGACTCAATGTAACACACATATATATCATTGACATATCACCAACAGCACACCACAATCACGAACAAGCACTCGCAAAAACACCAGACACCAGCAAACTCCTCAATTCTAGCTAAAGAAAAAAGAAAAAGCAAAAAAGGCGGCCAAACAAATCTACCACTACCTTCTCTCCACTACCATCCCCCTCGCCCGCCTCCTCTCATCCACCTCCAGCTTCCAATCCACGCCGTCCGTCCCCTCCAACATGTCCGCAACCTCATCCTCCTCCATATTAACACACAGGCAGATCTGCGTGCACCTCACAAACGTATCCCTCACACCATACATACCCCCCCTCACCACCACGCCCACCACCCCCGCCACATCCCTCTCCAGCCTGATGGCCCCCAGCTCATTGATCCTCCCCGCATACCCCCACACCCTCTTCTCCAGCAGCCGCGCAAAGTACCCCGCCGTGGTCCCCAGCAGCTTCGAATACATACGCGCCGTCAGGACGCGCTTATACGGCGTCATCAGCGCCTCCCACCCCTCCTGAAACCTCCTCCTCACAATCTCGCCGTCGTCCTGCTCCGCGTCGCCGGCGTCGGGGTCCGCCTCTGCCGCACCACCACCGCCCGCCCGGTCAGAGACGACATACTCGACGTCGCGGAACGCCTCCGTGAGCAGCGGGCGCAGCCGCGGCTTCACAACCTGGTTGAAGAAGACTGTGATTCCGTCGGCGACGAGCTCGCCGGCCTTTGCGTCGAAGCTGCCCTCCATGGCGCGCAGGGCGTCGCGGACGGCCGCGGCGTCGCTCTGGAAGGGGAACATCTCCTCGAGGGCGACGTTGACGGTTGTGCCGGGGACGGGGGCGGAGGTGGCGGTCGCGAAGGAGGTGATGATGCGTGTGTTGTATTCGGTGGCGATGTCGAGGTTGTTGATGAGGACGAGGAAGGAGATTACTTTTGCGTCCGGGGGTGGGGAGGAGGCGGTGGCGCCCTTGGGGTAGGATTCGGTTTGCATCTTGCGTTGGATCATGCCGATGAAGTCGCCGCTGAGGACGCGGCCGATGGTGGAGATTGCGGTGGTGACGAGGCCGCGCTGCGAGGTGTTGAGCGTGCGTTGGAGGAGCGTTTGTACGATGTACATTACGTCGTCGACGGCGGAGGTGATGAAGGGCGCGTTGGAGATTGTGGAGACGGGGGAGCTGAGAGAGAGGGTTAGGTCGGAGGGGGCCTCGTCGAGCTGGAAGGCCTTCTCGACGGAGCGCCGGCAGAAGAATGTGGTCATCGCGGAGAAGGGGAGCAGCAGACGGGACTCGACTTTCTGCGCGAGGAGAGAGTTTTGGAGGAGAGGGGGGAGGGTCAATGGGATTGCCACTTCGGCGTCGGTCGAGGGGTCGGGTTGGGGTGGCTGTGGTAGGTAGGTCAATGATTGTGCTGCAGGTCAATGATTGACGTTGGGATTTAGGGTTAGACTTACGAGGCATTTACGGGCGATGAAGCGGCAGTACAAGGACCAACGGCTAATCATCATGCCGAGCTCTGAGAGCAGCATGTCGATTTCTTTAACGTCGACGCCTTCGTCTTCGGACATGCGGGGTGCGCCCGGTGCCGGGGAAGACGAGCGGGGGGTTCCCATAGCACTACGGGTCTGTGGAAGGAAAGATTGGACCAGGAAGGAGAATGCGTAGGATTTGATATCGGTGAGCTATCATATCGTCAGTCAGGTGAATCTAACGGAGTCATCAGATATCACTCTTCGCACCTTTCTATCGACATTGCGCTCATCACCGAAGGTATCAATGAGAATACCGGCCTGGGTATCGGCCTCGACCTGCAACCTCTCAATAACCTTTACCATGCGGCCTTCACCATAGTGCCGCTCAACCAGCTTCCCATGCTGCTCCACGATGTTTGCGATGTGCTCAAACAGTCGGCTCATGGAATTGCCATAAAAGAAATCGCCCAATCCCACACCATCTCCCGTGGTTCTCTTGTTCGCCAATGTCTCTCTCGCCCTCGCACTGACACCCTGACAAACATACCTCCCATACACCTCCAGCCCCACCTCCGTCCTCCCAATCAGCGGAAACAGCTTAAAAAACCTCGTCACCTTCTCGCCATCCCCGGCCGCCGCCGCCTTCTCAAACTCCCTCAAAAACAGCCCACACAGCGCCTCCGCGGCATTCTCCAACGTCACGCTCGGCGGATCAGGCACCTCCGCCGTCGGCACCATCTCCTCCGCAAACTCGCCCTTGACGATGTGCTCCGGCACCTTTGCCGACCTCGCCAGATACCCCGCAGCCGTCTCCCAGTCCTGCGGCGCGCCCATGGACCCTGTCATGCCGAGAACACATGCCTTGAGTTCTGCGACCTGCTCAACGACCTCTAGGGTGGCTTTGACGCGCGATTGCTCGACGTCGAGGCGTTTCACGGCGCCGGTGACGCGCGCGGCGGTGCTGGCGGCGGGGGACAGCATGCTGTTTGTGAGGGAGCGGGCGGCGACGACCTGCGTTCCCAGGTGCGCGCGGATGAGATCCAGGCGACTGAGGGAGTGGGTGAGCTCTGTCTGGGTGCTGAGGAGTGCATCGAGGCGGGTCGTGACGGCGGTTTCCTGCGCGTTTAGGTGGGCGAGTGCGGCCTGGAGTTCCTCAGTGGTCGTGCAGTTGTGGACGGACGGTGGAGGCGGTGGGGAGGCGTCTGTGTCGTCGGCCTCGGAGGGGGGGTAGGGCGTCATTCTGGGTCAGGTGGAGGTGGGATGCAAGGGTCCCCGCGGTGTCTCAGGCAGAGTATGGTATGTGGAATTGGGCTTGGGAGGCAGTTAATTGGGTGAGAATAAGAAGAGAGGAGAGCTGTAGTATGAAGCCCGAGTCCTGGAGTCGAGCTGGGAGCTCTACAGCTGCATTCAGTGATTCTGGGCCTCAATTGAATATTTGGCGTTGAGGGAGCTATCAAGTCCTAGGGTTAGGGTTATCCGGAGCTTTCCGGATGTGGTGTGAGGTTTGGAGTCGAGAAAGACGTTTAAAGAAGGCTTCTTCTGAGGTCAGTGATGTTATTGTAATCTACTAATGGCATCGTGATTAGAAACTCAGAGTTATCGCACAACTTACATCTAGGGTCTCTGTTCGTTAACCGACTGGCTGTACTCCTCGCCTGTCAAAGAGTCAGGGAAACCCCGCTGACGATTGCGATAAGAACAGATGAAGATGAGATGCATCACCTTGCTTTTGGACGAAAAATGTCATTGGAGTCAATTGCGCTCAGTCCAGTACAGAAATAGACTCAATCCCATGCAACAATAACAACAATAGGTAGCCAGAGATATGGAATGCACTGCACTGGTACTGTGTCTGTAGACCGTAGATTGTAGATTACCAATATCAGTCACCGGCATGATGTGATGACTGATATGGGCGGCGATTACTCAGAGAGGCAATTACAACGGCGGCTTTCCCTCTCGAACCACCTTGCCCAACCTTGATTGCCATATCTTCCTCTCCTCTTCCTCTTCCTTTCCTCTTCTCCTCTTCTTTCAATCGACGTCACCCTCGCAGGTCGACACTCCCCCCCCCCCCCCCCCAACTCCCCTCCACCCTCACCAAAGGGTGAGTAATTCACTATTTAGGATACTAATACGGACTTTACTGCCACTGCCACATACTCTACGTCCCGGTTTCGTTTCGTTTCGTTTCGTTTCTTCTGTTTTTGTACAATATACTGTCCCACAAGGTGCATCTCTTCTCCACTTCCCTGCTGCCTGCCATGTCCTCGAATTCTCAACTCGCCAGTTTCCCTCCAAAACAGCTCGCGTCCGCTCCGCCAGCCCTTACGACCAACGACACTGCCCAGAGACGCGGTAGCATCCCTCTCGGCTCAAACAGTGCAGGAGGACCTCGTAATATCCCTGACGGAGGCACGCCACGAAACGGCCAGGCAGGTAGGAAGTCGCACAAGAATCACAGGAAGCCACATACACCACGATACGGAAACGACGACCATATCGACGAGGTATTATTTTTCTAAATTGCCACTGAGGTTGTTGGGACGAACAGCTGACATAGCTCAGGACGCAATGACGCTGCCATCGGGAGGAGGAAGAAAGGGTACGAGTATTACGCACTTGATGAATTGGAATGTAGCTCCACGCCCACAATCGCATCACAATAACTACCGACATGGCCACAATTACCGGCGGACCCCAACCTGGGGATTGGGTTCGGGATATCATGCGAATGATAAGGCACGCTTTATCAATGCCAACTACCGCTTTCTCGTACACCCTCGTGGCGATTACCGCGCGCAGGCAGTTGACTCGGATGTGCATCTACCATGGGATCTTGTGCTGCAGGTCATAGCATCAGAGCAGACACAGCGCACAAACTGCCCAATCTGCCTTTCTACCCCCGTGGCGCCCCGGATGGCGAAGTGTGGGCATATATTCTGTCTTCCGTGTCTCATGCGATATATGGCCTCTACAGACGACAGCAAGCCGCAGGGACCACCGGAAAAGAAACCACGGTACAAAAAGTGCGTAATCTGCACGGACAGTATCTACTCGAGCGAAATTCGGCCGGTTCGATTTTTTGTAGGGCAGGAGAACCCAGCACCCAGGGAAGGCGAGGATGTGGTATTACGGCTTGTAATGAGAAGGCAGGGCAGCACATTGGCGCTTCCGAAAGAGGGCGCAGAATTGCTGCTGTCGGAGAAGGAGGATGAGATACCATGGCATTTTTCAGCGGAGATCATGGACTATGCGAGGGTCATGAAGGGGACGGAGGAGTATATGGAAGAGGAGTTTACGAGAGAGATTGCGGAATTGGAGAAGATGGCTAAAGAGGACAAGGTGATGTTTGGTGAGGATGGCGAGTGGACCAGAAAAGCTATCAACAACATCAATGTTCAAAAGGAAGGGATTAAGGGAATGGGCAATCCACCCAAGGCCATAGTAGAGCCTTCAAAAGCCAAGGAGAAGGAGAAACAGCGCCCAGAGATCGTGTTTAACGAGAGTGATGAGAATGTGCCGGCATTCTACCATGTAGTTCACGAGGCCTCATCCGGTCACTCATCATCAGCTAATTCACGGCCTGAATCAACTACGCCTTCACAGCACCCCTCGGAGCCCCTAGAAACGGTTAAGCCACCAGTCCCAGTACCAAAGTCCCACCTTCCACAAACCCACGACATGCCATACTACTTTTACCAAGCGCTCCCCCATTATTACCTCAGCTCTCTCGATATCCGCATTCTCAAAGCAGCTTTTGGCTCATACCACGCTCTGCCAACTGCAATCCTTCCCCGGGTTGAGAACATTACCACAGGCACATCCGTCGATGATGAACTCCGCAAGCGCGCAAAGTACGTAGCGCACCTCCCAGCCGGCTGTGAAGTTGGCTTCCTTGAGTGCGACTGGACGGATATTGTCCCACCAGAGGTTCTGGACCGCTTCAAGGGCGAGATTGACCGCCGCCGGAAAAAGAAGCACGACAAGGAGCAGAAGGAGGAGCGTGACCGCATCCGCGCCGAGAAGGAAGAGGAGGCACTACACCGCCACCGGAGAAGAGGCAGCATGAGGGGATTTTCAGAGGAGGACTTTGTAGCGCTAGCCACCCGGGAGTCATTAAATGAGCTTCCGCAACCAGTGTTTGCGAACGGCGGCGAAGGGAGTTCGAGTTTACCCCCCCTGCCACTACACGAGGGTGAGTATGCAAGCCCAGGAACGAGCCCCAGTACCAGTAGAACCGTGTGGGGGACACCGTTGGTTCTTCCGCAGGGCGCGGAGCAGTACAATCCAGTCGAGAGGGAGGAAACAGGGTGGTGGCAGGACTGGGAGGACGATGAGACGCTGGCGAGGCTTGCTGATGCTGGCGGCGGCGGGGGGAAGGCGCCGAGTCATGGCAAAGGAGGCAAGAAGAAGAAGTTCAAGAAGGTTACGCTGATGACCAATGGTGGGAAGAGGGGGGCTTAGGCTTTTACTGATGTAGGTCTGTAGCTTGCCATGGGATTTTAGTGGAATTTTGTCTCTTTCCTTCTTTCTTTCTTGGTTTGGGTTCTTGTGTAATTCTTTTAGTTGTGGTAGCTCTTTTATGTGTTTTCTATTGCTCGATGATTGGCGGTTGTGGCATGGAACGATATGGAATTGACGGTCACGGTTTCAAGCTGCATTCAACTGGGCGGGAGGCCGGCCCCGGATTATTGGCAGCTATAGCTATGTGTCTAGCTAGCTGTAACTATATTATGAGGTAAGTATAGGTAGGCAGGGACGGAAGGAAAGGGAGGGAAAGGAAAGGGAGTTTGGGGGAGTTGTTTTTTTATATCTCTTTTTTTTTTTTCATCTTCCTGTTTTTATCTTGAGAAGCTCCGCCTACTTGGTTCTGTAAAATACTTATACTGTATTTATACCGAAGGGCCCGTGGCTACTTGTGGTAGACGGATGGAGAGAAGAGAAAGTAGGATCATCTTTCGATACCATCTCTTCTCGCCATACCCAATACCCAATACCGATATTCTCGTATCAAAAGATAAAATAACAATAGCCATTGATTTTACGAGGCCAGGTACATTTGAAATACGCACTTTGAAGGTCAAGAACTCATTGTCTTCAATTGCCTAGTTAGGTTAGCGCATTATGAGATCCTAATGTAGCTAGTGTGATCAGGTGTCAATGACAACCTATCTCTGGATATATTTCCGTCACATCTTGATATTGATATGCGGATCTGAAGCCTAATTTTTATTTCGAGCTTGAACCCTGGAAGTGAGTTCCCTTCCTAACAAACAAAAGATTATGTACTAGCCTTCTTGACCTCTCGTTCACTTCTCTTCGAACCCAAATCAATGTGTGGCTATAATTTTAAATCACAAGACAGGAAGAAACTTTTCGAATCAAAGAAAGAAAAAAACAATAAAAGGAAAATATAGTTACAGCTTAGCCATTACCAATTCTCAACATTCCCCCTTTCCTATGCTGAGCTTACAGCTTCTTCGCCTTCAGTTTCTTGGCCTCCTTCACACTCGCATCCAGACCTTTATCCAGTACATCGACCACCCTCTTTCTCTTCTTCTGCTCTTTCACAGAAGCATCCACGAGCTTCTCCGTACTCTTCGTTATTTTCTCCTCCGCTGGCTTCTTCTCCTCCCCCTCAGACTTATCATCTTCGGACTCTTCATCTGCAGGCGCGATAGCGGCTCTCTTCTGTTGGTTCTTCTCCTTCTTTTTCTGCGCCCTTTCCTTGTTCTTTGCGTTTTGCTTCTCCTGTTTCTCGAGAAACTTCTGCTCCTTTGAGGCGGCCGCCTCCGCCGTAAGCACATCCTCCTCATCGAAGAGTTGCGGCGTCAACCATATCGGCAGTGCCACCGAGCTAGGCGACTTCAAGTGGATACTCCTCGCCCCGCGCCATCCCCCAGGGAGCTTCTTGTTCCCCAGCGCAGCATTCACGACCGCCTGGACGTTCTCGGCGACCTGCTCGGCCGTGAAGGTGCTCAGCGCGACCCTGATGCTTGTGTTTGCGCTGGGGGTCAAGTGGAGCATTGTTGAGCCCAGGGCCCTCTCAATCTTCTTCTTGAGCTTTTCGGCGTTGTTGGGCGGGGTTTCAACGGCGATGGGGACCTTGTTGGTTGTGTTGTAGAAGGTCTTTCCGAGGATCGGGGGGAGCATGCGGACGATGTTGTCGTCGGCGAGGAAGAGATCGTGGGAGTCGCGGAGGAGGCGGAGAGACTCGAAGGACTTGAACTTGGCGCGCAGCTTGCTGATTCCGATGACGCGGGTGACGGTGGAGGAGAGGCCGGCGGCGGCGATGAGGTCTTTGAAGTTGCGCTGGGGGTCCTTGACGATGAGGCAGACGGTGGTGGTGGTTATATCGTGAATGGGGTGGGGGAGGGGACTGCGCGCAAGATGTTAGTGGGCTGAGGAAGTCGGGAATTCCGGCGTAGACGCAATTGGTTCGTCATTGGAAAAATGGAAGAGGAGTAAAGAAATAGCGGGGAGAGTCTAACATTTGGATAGGCTTCAACTTTCTAACGTCAGTATTGAACTTCTTAGTTGTGAGGTTCAACCAAATCGCCTGGGCGCGGTCGTTTGAGTCTTCATCATCCCTAAGCAAGTTTTTTTTGGCGCTCTTGTCTTCCTTGCTTCCAACAAATTTTATAAGTGCTTTGGAAGCTTTGAGAACCTAATTCCGCCGTCGTCAGCTAAAGAAACCAAAAGTTTGCGCCAAAATTGGAGAGAAAAATTACCTGCTCGTTGTTCAATTGGTAGGGAGTGTCACTAGGAACGGTTACTACTGTCTCGGTCTTTTTGGCTACCTCGGTTTTTTTGACCTCGGGTTTAGCCTCATCAGCCTTAGGCGCAGCTTTCGTTACAGTTGTTGAAGATTTTGATTTAGCCATTGTGGAGTTTTTCGTTATGCTGCTGGTTGGTGATGAAAAAAAAGCAGTGCACCTAAAGAAAAGTTCAATTTTCCTGCCCCGCCAGTCTAGGGTAACTGATTTGAAACGGTTACCCTGTCGTGACGCTCTTGACAGAAGAGAATCATAGGATCTCACTCGCCGCATTCTTGGCGGACAATCCTTGCCAAAACACGGAGCGTACTCAGGTGGAAGACCAATTTACGCGCAACAACGCGTTTCCCTGACTTTCACTACCCGCGAAAAGAAAATACCACAATCCAGGAAAACTAATAATACCAATTGGGCTTCAACACCGGATCAAAAAGGATTACAGCTATGACTACCCAGCCTCGTGTCATCCCACGATATGCTCGTGCGTCCTCTTCCAGTGTGGGAGCTCTCCGACTCCAGCAAGCCATGCTAACAGACCCCAGACACCGCCGGACCCACGTCGATGACCTATTCTCCTGACGGGAAATACCTAATCACCGTCGGCAACAATGAAGTTATCCGAAAGTACACTGTAGCCTCCGACGACGAACCGGCAACAATTGAGCAGTCGCAAGACGGAAAGACCGCCGTCGTGGCTTCCGACGACCATTTTGTCGTCTCAGCAGAGGATGGCACCGTCTCCATATTCTCAATGGCAACAAATACGTTCATAAAGCTGCTTGTACGGACAAGTTTACCGCCACGAGACCTCTCAATCTCGCCAGATGGTCTCTTGGTCGCTGTTGCGAGCGATGAGACGGTGGTCAAGGTTGTGAACCTGGAAGATAACCAGAGGGTTATGAATCTTCGCGGGCAAAAGAATTCAGCCAAACATGTAGCTTTCCATCCGTCGGGGAACTATCTGGCTGTATCGGGAGTTGATGGGACGATATACATCTATTCTCTGTCTACGGAGGAGCCGGAGTTGGTCAAGAAGCTTGATGGGATTATCAGCGCACTAAAGGAAGATTCAGAGTCGAGCTCAAAGGTCGCTTGGCATCCGGATGGGCGGGCATTTCTCGCACAAACACCCACTAGGGAGCTGGTGGTTGTGGATAGGACCAACTGGGAGAAACACAGGGTCTTTGCCAATGGACACAACGGAGATATCACTGACTATGCATGGTCTCCCAACGGCGCTTTTCTCGCTTCCGCTGGCACGGACGGAAAGCTATTAATTTGGGAGTCTAAAACCCAGACCATAATCTCAAGGTGCCTCTCCCCCGAAAAAGTCTCAAGATACCTCGTACTAACAATCTCTGCAGATGGGACTACAAAAACATCCTCAGCCTCGCATGGCACCCCACCGAAAACACCATCTCCTTTACGACCTCACAAGGCCAACTCTACACTCTCCCCAACCCCGTACCCTCCGACCAAGGATGGCTGCTCAACCTATCCGTCCGTCCCGCACCTCTCATCAACGATACCGGCATCGGCAGCCACCCAAGCGTTCTCCCAACCCGCTCCAAACCTCCCGCCCAGCTTTACCGCGAGCGCAGCCCCTCCCAGGATTCACTTGACGAGCTCCTCCCCGACGACCTCGACGACTTCATTGAAGACGACGACGGCGCCGGTTACGTCGAGATCAACCAAAACAACAAGCGGCGCGCCTCCGACCTGCCCCCCGGAGGCCTCCAGATCGGTAAACGCCGGGCTTACGGAACCGAGCCCTGGGCGCCCGAGGTCCATGAAAGCTTCCAGCCCGGAAGCACGCCGTGGAAGGGGATGCGCAGGTATCTGTGCCTGAATCTCGTAGGCTTTGTGTGGACTGTTGACCAGGAAACGCACCACACCGTCACTGTTGAGTTCTATGACCGTGAGGTCTACAGAGACTTCCATTTCACAGACCCTTTTCTATACGACAAGGCGTGCTTGAATGAGGGAGGATCATTGTTTTCTTGCAAGCCAAAGGATGGGAATGGGGCCATGATCTATTACCGCCCACATGAGAGCTGGACCACCAAGGGCGATTGGAGAACTAGTATGCCGAAGGGAGAGGACATTGTCAGTATTGCGCTGAGCGATAGTTATATCGTAGTCTGCACTACTGCGGGGTATGTCAGAGTGTTTACACTTTTCGGCGTCCCATTCCGCGTGTGGAGGCAGAAGCATACTCCGGTTGTCACGTGCGCTTCGTGGAGGGATTATGTGATTGTTATGGGGAATGGCGCGGTTGGGCCCGACGGGAGGACAAAACTTGTCTATACCATTGAGAACGTCAAGCGAGATGAGACGCTGCAAAGTGAGGATATTGTTGCCCTTCCTGCTGATGGAAGTATCAGAAGTGTTTGCTTCTCAGATAATGGGGTGGGTTAGGGTATTTCCCCTGTGAGTGATGGGCTGTGATGCTAACGGGTTGTGGGTGGTTAGGATCCTTGTGTCTACGATTCTGATGGCGTCTTGTTGGTTTGTTTGCATTGGAGGCTACAGGGGCAGGCGAAATGGGTCCCCTTGCTGGATACTAGACTTTTGGATCGTCTGGCCACTGGGATGAAGCAGGAGAGCTACTGGCCTGTGGCGGTGGCACAGAACAAGTTCCACTGCATTATTCTCAAGGTATGTAGCCTCCCCCCCCCAACCTCCCAGGTACATGTCATTCATTTTGATACTAATGGTTATATACTATAGGGCGGCGAAAAATACCCCTACTTCCCGCGCCCTCTTCTTTCCGAATTCGAGTTTTCCATCCCACTCACCTCCACGGCTCCCTCGGCGGCCGAAGCGCCAAAATCCGACGCACTGGAGGAAACCTTCGTGCGCGAATCCGTGCTGCACTCGCTGCAAGAGGATTTCGCCGCCCACACGACCACCACCACGGAGGAGAAGCGCGAACTGGTCAGGTGTGAAAACATTATTGACAAGACGCTGCTGCAGCTTGTGGCGATGGAGTGCCAAGACAACGACCGCGGCGCAAAGGCACTCGAGATCTGTGGTCTGTTCAGGCAGAAGAGGACCCTGGAGCTGGCTGTGAAGGTGGCGGTTAGGTATGGGAAGCTGGTGCTGGCTGAGAAGATTGGGGAGCTGATGGGTAATATGGAGATGGATCTTGACGTGTGAGCAAGGTGAAAAAGAAGAGGGGGGGGGGGCGGTTTGGACAAGTTATTTCTTATTTCTTTTCTTTTTTTTAATAATAAGGAGTGTGTGTGTGGGTAGTGGGCACTGGGTTTAGACATCATGCAGATTTCATGACATCTGCGATTGCCTTTGCGGCAATCTTACGGCGTTCTTCTTTTGATATTTCTTCGCCCATATCTAGATCGTAAATGTAGTTGTTAGTACATCAGCGGGTTCTTTATAGATTAATAGATCCGATTACTCGGTGGTGGTGGGTGAGGCGATACCTTTCAACGCCGCCATCCTCATCATCATAGCCTCCAACTTCTCCACCTGCAGCTCCTCATCCTCCTCCTCCTCCTCCCCCTCTCCATCCTCATCCGGAAAGATCGCACTATGCAGCCCAAACATCTCCCTCTCCATCTCATCCCCCACCATCTTCAACGGATCCACCCCCTCCCCATCCTCAAACGACCCAAAACTCGCCGCATCGTCATAGTCGTCGTCGCCGCCCCAATCATTAGCCTCCAGCGCCTCCCGCACGCGCTCCATCCCCGCGGGCTCCCCATACTCGTTCCGCCCCCGGAACTCGTAGTCAACATACTCAAACCCATACCCCCTACACAGGTCCTCCCACTCGTCCGCCGACCGCTCCAGCACGGGCCGTAAGCTCTGCGGCATCGCGACGGCCAGACACACCCCGTCCCACGCATACCCGCACGCCCCGACCACGCGCTGCAGCGCCGCTAATCGCTTCTTGATCGCCTCCTACACACACACACACACCACATTAGCACACTTCCCTCACCACCTCCCCCTCCGGGAATATATATACTTACCAAACCAGCCTCATCCTGCGGGCGCCGGAACGTGACCACGAACCCGCCGAGCGCCTTCAGCACGTCCTTCGCCTCGGGGGCCAGGTAGCCGCGCGCCCAGTCATCGGTGTCGGCGAGCGCGGGCGGGAGCTCGTCGATCCAGATGGGGACTGTGACGTCGTAGTAGGCGGTGTTGATGGGGAGGGTGTGGGATGCGCCGGCGGCGGTGAGGGGCGGGAGGGTGCCTGTTAGGGCTGCTTGCGGTGTTAGTTGTTGCGCTGCTGTGAGCGTGGGAGAGGAGGGGGGGGGAGAGGTACTTTTGAGGAAGACGAGCTGGTCGGAGTCGGGGGCGCCGACGAGGAGGATGCGCCGTGGGTTGGTGATTTGGAGCTTGGTCGCCATGGTTGGTGGGGGTGGTGGGGGTGGTGCTGGGGGAGCTGTCTGTGGTGGGGTTGGTGCAGGGTGATGGGTGGAGGGAGGTAGGGGTTGGATTGCACGGATGTGCGAGTTAGGTATGCTAGATGTTGTGAATTGAGATTGAGAAGACGAAGTCTGGAGACTTGGAGATAGTAATAGCAGTGGGCGAGTTTTCGCTGAAGCAATTGCTTTGGGGTAGTGTATTTCCCCCAAGTAGCTTGAGAGAGGTAGATAGATGGGGGAGATCCCGAATTGAGAGCTAGTTGAGGGGTGGAAAACACAGTCCTTATCTGAAGCTAGGGGGGGAACAAGACTTTTCTCGCCCGAATTTGCCTATGGCGTTCGTATTGAGAGATGGCAAAATACATAAGAATACACTTTTACAAAACTGTATTTCAATATTAACCAGAGTTAAATAACATGTGTATTTTGAAGTAGTCAGTTAGTGGCAAGTTAAAACATGATAATTTAAAGTTCAGATATGTTTTACTTATTTAATATATTTGGAGTTCAGGCATCTACAATTCCAATTATGAAAGACGTTTTTTTCATTATATTTTTTGTTTTAGTTCTAGGATTTAGTGTTTGAATATAGAATAAAATCAATATAGTAAACACTGATAAATACATATATACTAGAAACACTTTTGACATCAATTATAGAAAATACTTTTTGTAAAATGCTATGGAAAAACACTTTGAGAAACAAATTTTTGGTAATACACTTTTGAAAATACTACTGTGTATTTTTAAAGAACTTTTTGAAAATATGTTTTACTGTTTCTAAAATTTTTACAAACTTGAAACACTTTATAGTATAGATTTTGTTTAAATTACTATATAATATGTATTACAAAAGTATATAGAAAAAAATGTATTGCAAAAGTGTATTTAGTGTTTTTCTCAATATTTAGTATAAAAACTTAATTCTAAACCCTAAACCCTAAACCCTAAACCCTAAACCCTAAAACTAAGAACAAAAATATATTTCAAAACGACGTTACTTAAAAACATTTAAAAATCATTCTAAAAAGTAATCTAATATCTATACAAGTGTTTGAATAATTTCCAACCATTATTCATTTTCCTACACATTTTTTTTCTCCCTTCACATTTCTACTACACATTGTGGCTGACCAACTGCTTATAGGAAAGTATGTGTAATACAATACTTTGTGTAACAGTAAAAAAAAAAAAGTAAAAATGGAGGGCAAAAAAGAACTTTTTATAAAAAAAAAGGAAAAACTAGATAATTTCTCCCCGGGCCCGCTCGCTTAAGATGCTCTATGGTTTTGTTTTCAAAAAAAAAAGTTTTGCCTCAAAAATAGGTTGAATGGATGTGTGGTTGGATGGATGGATGGTATATAATAATGAAGCAGAAGAAGAAGCCAAAAACAGCATGACTTGCTGGCTAGCTGCCGGAAAAAAAATGTAGTATTGAGTTGCTTGCTTTCTTGCTTTCTTGCTTTCTTGCTTTCTTGCTTAAGGATGATGTGTTTGGGTGATTAGGGCAGGCGCTTGTGAAGATTGAATATTTGGTTGTGAGGAATAGGCTGTTTTTATGTTAGTAAAGGGCGCCAACCACTGGTATCTACTGGTGCAACGCGGTCGCGCTTGCTAGAATCATGGGATGTGATTCGGGGTTTTGGGGGGGCGGTGCGGCAAGTACAGCGAAAGCTTGCTTGCTTGCTTGCTACAACCGTGCGCTCGCACCAGAGCTTAAGCTTGTTACAGCCGAGTACTCTACTAGCGAGAATACGCTGATAGCTGGTCTCGCCCCAGACCTGTCTTGATTCGAGTATCAAGATAGGTCTGGGAGTGGGGCTGCCCGTCTCGCACCCAGAGCTGTTCCAATTCGAACTTTCGCACATCTCCTAAAAGCGACACCAGAAACAGCTCTGGGAACTCGACCACAATACCCGCGGGCCATTCATTGTACCCCACAGCAAGCTCCCGCCGCCTTACCCGCACCAAAATATTTCAAAACACCCAACATCACAAATTTAAACTCACCATCAAGCCCTCCCTCCCCCTCCCCCCTTCCCCTTCCTCCTCCTCTCCTTCTCCTTCAACGCACTATACCTCTCCGTGGCCCAAACATACCTCGGATTCTCCGGATCCCTCGCCATCCACCCTTCTTCCACCATCTCCCTCCCCAACGCCACGCCACTCTCCTCCTCCCCCTCTTCCTCCTCTCCCGCCCCCACCACCGCCGCCCCAGCCCCAGCTCGCCTTCCATTCCAGCTACTCCACCTCATCCCCTCATCCTCACCCGGCCTCATCAACGCCCTCTCCTCGCTCCAATCCGTCACAATCTCCGGCACCACCGCCCCCTCCTCCGCCTCCTCGCCATTCACGGCAAACAGCGTCGCCCGCCCACTCGCCTCACCAATGATCAGCGCGTCCCACGCTGGACTAAACGCCGCAGTCATGATCTGCGACTCAACGGCTGCGACATCGGCGAGGAAGGGGTCGGCCCGCGCCGGATCCCACTGCTTGACCTTTCCGTCGGAGCCGCCGGTGAAGAGCGTGCTGCTGTAGGGCGACCAGGTGATGAATGTGACGCCCGTGTCGTCCTCGGCGAGGTTGGTCTCGGCCGAGGTGGGCATTGTGGTGGCGCCGTGCTGGAGCGAGTGCAGTGGCGTGGAGGGGTTGCGGATGTCGAAGATGAGGGTGTTGTTGGTTGTTCCTGAGGAGGTGAGGTAGCGCTCGCAGGGCCTAGGAAGGGGATTGTTAGTATGGGTTGGAGAGCTACTAGGAGGGGAGAGGGGGCTTACGAGATGGTGACGCAGTTGAGGTCCGACTGGTTACTGATGCACTCCACTACTTCGCTCATGGTGTTTAGATCCCATAGCCTCACAATCGACCCCGCCGCCTTCCCCGGGCGGAGACTGCCCGTAACAAACCTCCCGCGCTGTCCCATGCGCACGTCAAAGTGTCTCTGCGGGTGCTTGATATGGCCCCAATACTTAAACAGGTTCACCTCCTTCTCCACATCCCAGACGCCGAGCCCACCGCTCTTGCTATTATTCCCCTCATTATCATACCCCACGACCAAGAGGTTCTCGAACCCCACGCCGCCCCAGGCCAGCGCCGCGGGATAGACCTTATTCTTGTTCGTCTTATCAAAGAGGTTCAGACTCCGCACCGACTCATGCTTCCCCTCCGGATTAACCTGCATCACCGCCACCGCACCCTTCGACCGCCCCGCCGCCAACAACCCGTCCACAGCCGCACTCGTCTCCATCACCACAACCTGGTCATCAAACGCCGACTCCCCCAACCACCTGCCATCCCTCGCGCTCCACGTCTTCACACACCCGTCCAGCCCACAACTATGCAGCAGCCGCCCATCGCCCCCAAACCGGATCGACGGCACACTCGTATACTCATACCGCTCCATCACCCCGCCACCGCCGGCCGCCGGCCGCACCCGCAGCGCATGCCGATACAGCATCTTCACCCGCGGCGGCCCCGCATTCGTGAAGCCGAGCATGAGGTTGCCGGGCCGGTTGTACTCGTCGCTCGTGCACGGCGTGCTCATTGCGAAGCGCTCGCCGTCGGGCGTCCACTGCGCGTCGTGGATGTCGCTGCTCCCGCCGTTGAACGTCCATACGGGGCGCAGCCGGCGCATGGTCCAGTTGTGGCGGGCCTGCATATCGCGCAGCGGATCGAGGTCTATGACGCCGAGCTCGCGCTGGAGGGCGCGCATGCTGCTGTTGGCGGTGTTGTGGGCGCTGCGGAAGGAGGGCAGGCGCGAGACGGCGACCATGATGGCGGGGTCGCGCAGGTCCGGGACGGTGTTGTAGGCGTCCCAGATGAAGCGTTGGATGTCGCCGGGTTGGCGGCCGGGGAGCGTGAAGCCGGTGGTGGTGAGGAAGAGGTTGATGAGGGCCTTGGTGTCGTTGTCGTGGCTGAAGGTGTAGGTGAGGAGACTGTAGAGGTCGCGTACGAGCTGGTCCGGGGAGGGGGTGGGGCTGGCACTGAAGGTGGGGAGGCGGATCTTGTTCTCGAGGGCGTAGGCGCGCACGGCGGGGATGAGTTTCAGTATCTCCCGGACCGTGAACTGCACATGGAGCAGATCCCCATCTATATACACATCAAGACACACCATTAGCCACCCCATACCATTCCCGGCCACAGAATACCACCCATACGATATATAACCCGTAGGGAAAGGATCTAGCACTCACCAACTTTCCTCAACTCCCCCAACACACTCTCCGCATGCCACCTCAAGAACTCCCTCGCCTCCGCCGTCAGATACGGCAGCCGGCGATAGCCCGCCAGCCCGCCCGCGGCAATCATGACCGCAAGCAGCTCCTTCCGCGCAACAGGCGCATGCAGCACCTCCTGCGCGCCGTCGGCGGCGGCCTGCGTCCGCCGCGGGGCGTTCACGTAGTCCGGGTACACGAGGTCGCCGAGGGGCACGTCTTCCAGGGGGCAGTATGTTGTGAAGAACTCGTGCACGCACGACTCGGCGTCGCAGGTGGGCGAGCGGTGTAGTGTGCAGGCGGGTTGGCCGTTGATGGCTGTGCTGCGTGGGGTTTTGGGGAAGGGGTCTTCGGGGGGGAAGTCGTCGTGGTCGTAGAGGGTGTCGAGGTCGGATGATTGGGCTGTGGCCATGTCTGGGGAGTTGACCGTGGTCGAAGAATTGACCGCGTTTGAAGCATTGACCGCGCCATCCAAAGAAATGACCGCAGCCGAAGCATTAACGTGTTCCGAAACATTGACCGGAAGCTCGCCTTCACACATCGCATCTGCATCCAAAGCCGATCCGACCAAGCACTCGTCCTCATGTACCTCATTACCATTAACCACAAACCCAACTTCCAGTGCTGCATCTGTATCGTCCACAACCATCGCATTCGCCGCAAAGTCGTCTTGCTGCACTGCAATACCAACTTCCGGTACTACTACTGCCTCTGGAACAACCGCAATATCGTCTTGCTGCATTACATCCGCATCCGCATCCGCATCCAGAGATTTCTCAACCGCAATATCGACCTCCTGCACCGGCGGCGCAGGCCCAACTTCTGTACCCAAAACCTCATCCCGCCCTACCGCCTCTGGCATTATCGTTGGCGTTGCTACCGGGCCGTTGTTCCCCCATCCACCGCCCCATTCACCGCCTCTTTCACCGCCTCTTTCACCAACACAGCCGCCGCCGCCCGCTCTTCCCACGGGCCATTTCCGCCCACACCCAAAGCCTCCCGCAGCGCCTCCGCAGGGCCCCGCGCACCAACTCCATACGCCGGCGAAACATAGCCCACCGCCGTCGCCGCCGTAGTATTATTAGTAGCAGTAGTATTATTAGTAGTAGTAATAGAGGAAGTAGTAGAGGAAGTAGCAGTAGTAATAGAAGAAGAAGAAGAAGCTGCTGCCGCCGCCGCCGCCGCAATGGCCGCGCGCTCGCTGTAGGGCAGGCCGAATGTTTGGCGCGCGATGGGGGTGGACTGGATTGTGTGGGCTGCGGTGGAGTAGGGGCTGTTTGAGAGTGTTGGTGGTGGAGGGGGGGGTGGGGTGAAGGGGGTGAAGGGGGTGTGGGGGTGGGGGTGGGGGTGGGGGTGGATGGTGGGGGTGGGGGTTGGTGTGTGCGGGTGGGAGGTGTGCGGAGGAGGAGGAGGAGGGGGAGGAGGGGTATCGATGTCCATAGCGTCTGGGTCTGGGTCTGGGCGGGAGTCGGGAGCTAGTGTTGGCGTGGAGTTAGTTTTTTGTGTGTGTGTATGTGTGTATGCAGGGTGCGGTGTGCGTCATAGACAAAATGAGTGGGAGAGAAAATACATACCGCTGTGGTCATGAAGAGCCCCGTTCGTATTCATATCCATATTCATATTCATATTCTCGTCCATGTCTCCGTCCATATTCAGATTCAGTGTTGCAGCGGCCGGAGTAGTCGGCTGAGGAGGAGGAGGAGGATGCAGATTGTCGTTCAGATTTTCGTTCGTGTGCATATCCCCATCCAGATTTAGGTTCGCTGTAACTGAAGCAGCCGGCGTAGCAGCAGGAGGTGGTGGTGGGGGGGTGGGGGAAGCAGATTTCCGTCCAGATTCGTATTCAGGGTTGCAGCAGCTGGAGTGGCCGGCAGTGGTGGTGGTGATGGAGTGTGGATATTCCCGTTCATGATGATATTTGCAGCAATTGGCGGTGGTGTGCTGATTTTGGCCTTTTCCTGCTCTTGCTCTAACTCTAGTTCTGGTTTCTGCTCTGGTTTTTGCTCTGGCTCTGGCTGTTTTTCTTTCTCCTCCGCCGCAGCACCATTATTTTTCATCCCACAACCATCATTACCATTACCATTATCGTTATCGTTACCACCACCATTACCAGCACCAGCAGCAGCCCCCACACCCTCCACCACACCAACCGTCCCCGGCCCCGCTACCACCTCCTCCACCGACACTTCCTTCACCGCGCTCCTCACACTCTTCACCGCGCGGAACCTCGCCGCCGGTGACTCCACCAGCGGCGCCACACACGCAGCACCCTGATACACCACCACCACCGGCAGCCCCTTCTGCACGGTCTCTGCCGCCGCCGCCGCCGCTGCCGCCGCCCTAGCCCCACTGCCATACACGGCGGGCACGGCCGCAAAGAACGATAGCCGCTTCTTCACCGCCGCGCCCCCGTCACTGTTGCTGCTGCTGCTGCCCGGGGTCCTCGGCGGCGAGGAGGATTGGACTTTGCTGAACTTCCGCTTCCCCAGTGGTGGTGGTGGTGGTGGTCGGGGTGGGGGGGTGTTGTTGTGTGTCGACGTCGTCGTCATCGTCAGCGGGCTGTTCTGCTTGGGTAGTGTCCAGTCCCCGGCCTCGGCCTCAGGGGGCGGTGTAAAGCGCTCCCACTCATCTCCATCCCCATGCCTCGGCGGCGGCGAAGGCGTAGTATCGAACGGATCCGGCAGCGGCGCCTCATACTCGTCCACGGCCATGTCGGCGGCCGTAAACAGGACGGGCGTGGGGACTGGGTCTGAATACGATATCCGCCGGGGCGGGGGCTGTGATGCGAAGCAGGTTTGGAGGCGCTGCTGCTCGCCCTTGATGCCCGGGGGGCTGAAGAAGGATGTTATGCTCTTTTGCGTCGTTTTGGGCGGCATGGGTGGTGGGGGGGTTGATGTGGTTGTGGTTGTTGTGGAGGAGGGGCGGGGGCGGGGGCGGGGTGGTGTGCAGATTGTGGTGGTGGTGGGGGTGGGGGTGGAGGTGGAGGGGGGTGGGGATGGGGATGGGGAGGAGGGAGGGGCGGGTCGTCGTCGGATGAGAGGTCGATGATGTAGGGCGCCATGGGCGGGGGGAGGAAGTGTGTGAGCGCGGGGAGCGTGGGCGGGGGAGGGCGGGGGGGTTGTACATTTGGTGGGTGGGGGTGTTGTTCTATTCTATGGGGCTGTGGCTGCGAGTTTGGTGGGAAGGAAAGGACGCTCGGGGGAGACGCGACGGGACGCGTTGGAGCTGGTGAGAGTGTGAGACTTGTATCTATGGATGGATGGGCTGTGTAGCCTTCCCTTCCTGAACGAGCTGTGAAGAGAACCAGCTCTTCTGTTTTCTGTTTCTCTTCTGTAAGTCTATCTGTCTGCCCGATTGTCAATTGTTCTGCAAACCAATTCTTCTCCGTCGTCGCTCGAAAGTCTGTTTGGCTACGTCACGGGGCCGGGTGTTGTCGAGTGAGTGAGTGCAGTGAGCGAGTCAGTGTGAGTGAGTGTTTTACGCGCCTCGCTTACGATACGTGGCGATAACAGGGAATATATAGCGTGGTTGTGGGCGCGGGATCTTGAAAACAGAAACGAAACAGACCAGTGGATACGCCCACCACCACCATGGACGAAACAGACAAACACATTAATTAACCCTCACTCTATTTTCGTTTCACATATGTACAATAAATAAATGAAATAAGGATTAACCCATGGAACAACCAACCCCACAATCCCCCCTCCTTCTCCCGAGTGCACAACCACCAGAGAGCCCGAGTGTGAAGGCGGGCCCACCGATCATTTCCCGCAGCAACGAGCGAGCGAGATTCTGTGACGCGGCTGGCTTTGCGTGTGGTTGTCGTTGTTGTGCACTGGGCTAACGTGAAATGGAATGGTGGTGGGTTGGTGCTCGGGTGGAGTGGGGTGATATGGTAGAGTAGAATAATGAGGTGAGGTGAAGTGAGTGAGCGAGTACTTCATAGACTCTGTTTCGTAGATCTTTTGTCTGTGTAGCTGAGGTATTGGATGGCTCTTGTGTTCTAGTTTTTCTTACTCCCCGCTCCCCACCCTCCACTGAGCGCTCCACGCACACACAACTGGATCGTTAATTACCTCTGCGACAAGACACCGCAACCTTCCTAGCTGTCTCCACAGTCTTTACCAGTTGCGCAATTGCAACTAATCCCACATCTACTCATGACCACTCACCCCCGTAGACCCCCCACAGCTCCAACCCTAATTCGTAGCGGCGTGAGATATCTAGACTATGATACCAAATTACAAGCCCTTTAGGCTCTCTCTCCCCGCACTAATCCCCCCCCCCCCCCCCCTCTCCGCGCCGTGTCCGCGTGGCGTTATCCCTCTAAATAACCACTGCAGAGTATAAACCAGAAGGAAAGAAGCCCTAATCCCCAACCCAATCTAGCGAGACAAGGCAGATGCAGAGGTCTGGGGGGAGGGGGATTTACCATACATGCAATGCAGTGTTTTTCCATTTCAATCCCGAGTAAGCCTCACATAGGGTCTCGCGCACGCAACACCACTACTTGCCTCCCTTGATCAACAACTCCCTGGTGCAAAATTAAGCAAACCGCTGTTATTTTACATGCCAAAGACAAGACTAATCTCTCCATCTCTCCCCATGGCCAGCCGCCGCTGAAACCTCCAACTGCAGAGCAGCTCCAGAATCGAGTGATAATACATGACGCAACCTCTCACAGTCTCTTCCTGTAGAGTGGAAGGGCTCTATGTAGAGCCAAATTTTTCGCCATGAGCAGACAGACGAAACAAATAACTCGAGGGCCTCCCAATGGTAAACAACACGCACTCAGAGGATTTCTCCATCCTGCCTTCCGCACTTTATGAGCTTTTTCATTCTTGGTATATCACTTCTATCCGGACCCCACCCCCCGCGAAAGCAAGTCCTATGAGATCTGATCAAGTATATACCATTACAGTACCACTCACTCCCAGCCCCCTCATAGCCCCTCCACAGCCCAAGACTCTAAAAAAGAAGAAGAAGAAGAAAGAGGGGGGGGAAATATCGATACCATAAAACCCCATACCTCACCAGCCCTCAACACCCTCCACCTGCCCACCTGCCCACCTGCCCACCCAGCAGAAAGCCATGCCCACTACTTCTCCTTCCGCTTCCGCTTCACCTCCTTCACCAGCGGATCCACCTCATCATCATCAAGAAATGCAATATACGCAAACGCCGTAGCCTTCACATCCCCACAGTGCACCCCACGTTAGCAACCACACCCACCCCCCCTCTCCCAGGGGTATACATACAAAAACTATGTTTGACGTAACACTCATCCACAGCATAATACCGTGGCTCTCCTGTCTCTGCTCCGTTGTCAGTACACTACTCCACCGTCCGCGGCAGAGGGGGGTAGCTTACGGTCTTGAGAATCTCAACCTGATAGAGCAGCTCGCCGATGCCCTAGCAGCCAGGTCAGCTTTGCTCTGCTGGCACGAGTGAATGGGGGTGTGTGTGTGTGCGCGTGTGTGTATGTGTGGGGAACCTACAGCCCTAGTATCCAAGACGTACGCACCCACGCCCCCCTCCCCCACTGGCTCGGGGAAGTGGCGGGTATACATACCGCGCCCGACGAACGCTCGATGGTTGAATGTGGAGTGAGCTCTAGTAGTAGGTATTTTGAGCTTGACCGCAGGGGCGCGGCGTAACAGCAGGTGGCGAGCTGCGTGGGAGAACATTTAGAGTGGTGGGTGGGAACTTTAATGGATGATGGATCAATTAGAGTGAAAGGTGTGAGGTGAGGTGCTCGAGGAGTTGGTAGTGGATGAGCTAAAGGTGACGGGGGTGTCTGGCTATATACAATGTTTTGGGTTGGTTCGGTCATGGATTGTCACTCGTGTGTGTGGCGCCGCTAGCTGGAGGGCGGAATAATACTATATCGATGGGTGAAGCTGCAGTAGTTGGTACATAAGACTCGCGGTTTTTTCAACGCCGTAGAATTGGGCCACCTAGGTCCACTACAGCACTACCCAGAGCACCGCAGGCTTATATTAACAAGTAGTAATTTAAACTTTAGCCAGACAACGATACACACAACAACACTCAGCCGTAAATAATCATCTACTATTCACCCTTAGGCAGCAGAAAAAAACATACAAAAGCCAAAACATAACCCATAACATATTCTATAAAAGCCAATATCAACAATAGTCCCTCCATTACGAATTACAAGAAGCCCAATCCATCCCATCATCATCAACTCATACCCCTCTCTCACCCAAGCAATAATACACTAAAGTTTTTTTCGTTATAATAAAAAAAACCCGCAAAAAACAAAAAGCAAGAGACGTAAAACCCAAACCCCACTCATTAACAACGCAGTAGTAATTTAACAAGTGCGCCATTTTACCATGGCGCCGCAACCCCCACAACGTCTATCAATCAACCTGCATGTCCTACGTCCCCCCCCCCCCCCCCCAAAACAAGCAGCTCTATGAGAGGAACCTGCCAGCATTCTCCTTCTTGACTCTTGTCACAACCTTTGAGACAGCAGCCTTGACGACGGCCGCCGCCTTCTCTGTCTCCTTCTTGGTGTGGCCAATGCTGATGCAAGCCTTGAAGGTCGCTTCGTACTTCCACACGACGCGGGCGCTGTTCTTCTCAGGGACGTTCTTGACACGGGAGATGAGGACGCCGTTGGCAATCGCCTGTTTTTGCATCACATATCAGCACCCAATTCCTCAGGGTTAGTGGAAGACACAAAACATACCTCGTCGACAATATCCATCATCAATCTCTCCTGATCCGCAATGCCTCCACAAACCTCCTTCTTCAGGGTGAACATACAGACAGGGTTCTCAATGTCGCTGGTGCACTTGACATACTCGCTGCGGTCCATCACGGCCCTGAAGGCCTTGATGTTCTCTCTGAGGACTGATAGGACATCCGGGTTGTTCTCCAGGAGTTTGATGGTCTCGCTGGCGGTGACGGCGAGCAAGGCGGGAAGAGCGGCGCTGAAGACGTAGGCAGAGCTAGAGATACGCTGGTGCTCAACGATCTCGCGAGAGCCGGCGCAGAAGCCACCACCGGCACAGATGGAGTATGCGAGTGAGCCAACGAGCATGTCGACGGAGAGAGGATCAATGTTGAGGTGCTCTGTGATACCGCGGCCGGTGCGGCCGAGGGTGCCGAATGAGTGGGATTCGTCAAGAATGAGACGGTATTTGTAGCGTTGCTTGAGCTCGATCTGCAATTGTGTTAATAAGTACACTTTTTAAGGTTGTGTATTCTGGAAACATACGATCTTAGGCAAGTCGACCATATCACCGGTAGTCTCAAAGAGGCCTTCGGTCACAATGAAGCGTCTTGTCAACGGCTTCTTCGCCATCTCCTTTTGTACCTTCTCCAGTACCCTCTCCAAGTCCTCCAAATCATTATGCTCAAACCACCTCACGGTACTCCTAGAGATATCGAGCCCCTTCTGTATCGAGTAGTTGACCGCCTTATCCGCGACAATGATATCACCCCTCTTGGCAAACGCCGGGATCACACTGCTAATCGTCGAGAACGCCTGCGCATACACAATGCAGCTCGGCACACCGAGGAAGTTTGCAATGTCGCGCTCGGTCTCCATGTGCACGTCCTGAGTCCCGTAGAAGTTTGGAGGTCCACAAGCACCGACACCGTAGTTACGCAAAATCTGGATAGCGCGCTCCTTCAAGATCTCATTTGAGACAAAATTGAAAAAGTTGAACGACGCATAGTTGTTCACTGTGCGGCCGTTGGCGAGCTTGACCTTGGGGCCCGTGGGGCCAACGATGACGGGGCGCTTCTCGTTCTCGGCGGCCTCGAGCTCGGTGGGGTGGGCGACGAGCGGCTCGGGCGTCCAGTCTTGCACGAGCTCGTCGATTTCCTGCGTGACACGTGGTGGTTAGCCTCTGTAGCCCTCCGGACTGTGAACAAAGGGGTTTCGCACCTCTTCAGTTAGGTCTGCGGCCTTGGACTTGTTCGTGCTGTAGCGCGGCGCAAGCAGGTACCGCACCGCGAACAGGAAGAGCCCCAATTCGACGACGCTGCGGACGGGGTCATTCTGGTAGGAGCTTTTGATGTATCGGAGGAGGATCGCCGAGCCCGGGACCTGCTGGAAGCGGGTTGAGAGCTGGCCGGCGGTGGAGTTGAGGAGCTGGTAGGCTTCGTGGATATCCATTGTGAGATTATTTGAGATTTTTCTGAGACCTTTTTTCTTTCTTTCTATTTCCCTTTCTTTCCCCGAGTGGTTCGTGAGCTTCGTATCTACGGTTTAGGGAAAGGGAAAAAAAACCGTACGTGGAAAAAGGGAAAAGGAGAGCTTGTGTGGCAGCCAGGGCCTGATTACTCAAGTCGGGTAACTGCTCACCCGATACCCGTTCTAGTATCAGGGGTAATGATAACGGTTGGGCTGGGCAGAGAACGGCTTGGCTGCTGGGCCGAGGCAACTCAACGCAACCAGCTAAATATCTAACGGGATCGTGGAGTGGTGCATGGATTGTCACTCGCATTTTTGGTATTCCAGTCTCGTACTAACTAATTAAATCATACACGCAACAATTAAAAGAAATAAAAAGCATAAGTAACTGCTCAAAGCTCCCCTCCAGAATGCTGATCCTCTGTATTAAGCCTTCCACCTGGCCCCAGATAAGTCTTAAAGAGCGCTTTGAGTCCCTCATCGCTCAGCTCCATATGTCTTCCCGGTATCGTCAAATACTCCAACTTGCCCTTTGTACCCAGGCTCTTCAGCCCGATCCAATCCTCCTTGTAGATGTCCCTATTCTCCAACAACGTTATCTCTCCACTCGTGCGGTTCACCTCGGCGAACCACGCGCTCTCCTTTGGCACCACAGTCAAGTCCTCATCAAACATGATCATCACAAATCTCTCCAGCCCAGCCAAGTTCTCCCTATAAGTCTCATTCCTCTCCCCATCCCTCTCGTTGTTGATGTCCGCCAAGAACGCTGACTTTTCTAGATACGGGCCTAGGTCCTCGGGGTCCCTAAAGTACTGCGCAGGCACAACCTTATTCTGTACCCACGGGGTCCACTTGCTAGATCTCAATAGCGATGACGCAGACTTGCACACAAAATCCGTTGGCTTACACTCGCCCAAAAAGTCCGCGATACCATTGTGCTGCGCGCCAAACGTGAGGAGCGTTCGTACAGGCGGGTTGTTACAGCGCTCAACATAGCCGCGGAGAAATTGTCCGCCCTGAGAAAATCCGATCGCGTTGAAGCCGCCGGCGAGCTCGGGAATGGAGGTGAGCTGGTCACATACCGTCGCCAGCTGGGTGTTTACGAGGCCGAAGAAGCTTGCGGAGCGGTCAGACGAGGGGTCTTCGTCGAGGTAGACGGAGTGGACGAAGGTGCCGGGGTTTGTCTGCGCTTGTTAGTGGCGTGTTTGGGGGAGACAGAGGTGGGGAACAACTTCGTTGGCTAGCTCGCCGACGGAGGTTATGCCTTCGGAATCATAGGTGTCGCCTGGGATTCATGATTGTTAGCTGGGCTTGAAGGTATAGATTGGAGATGTTCTGTGATCTAGTACCGAGACCGTGCCATATCACCAGTGGTAATTGTTTCTGCGACTTCTCGATAGGAGTCGCGCGTACGACTGCCGCAGAGGCGAGTAGAGCCAGGGCCAAAACCACCATGTTGATAGTGGGTGTGAAGTAGTTGAATGCTGAATGAGCCTCGTATATCCGAATAAACACTCAAATGCTGAACAATAACTGGTGGCTAGTCACGTAAATTAAGTGAGCTGAGAACGGGTGAGCAAAGTGTAAAATCGATAGCTTATGTGGGTAGTGCATGTAGTTAATCCCTCTGTCGCTAAGCGAGGCTAGTTCCACAAGTGTAGGGATTAATAGTAAAAGGGCTAGCCGAAATGGTCATTGCTAACAATTACAATAAGTACTCACTCTCAGCGTATCTTTTGTTGGTAGGACTTGCATAAAAGGGCCTAAATTCCGTCATCACGGAGTGACCTTTTCTCCCTTCTTCCTTTATACTCGATCCGTACCCACCAGAAGAACGTCTCATCTGTTCTTCTGGCGTTTTCTTTTATTTTTTATCTCCAAACTGCCTCCCCAGCAGGATACCCAAAGCCGTTCCAATGGCACAAATACCTCGGCCGGGAGATGAGGATTTGATCTCTCTGTTTCTCCAGCGGCAGCACCGGCCACAATATTTTTCCAATCAGCCTATGGCTGGTGGCAGTGCCGGTGCTGCCCAAAGAAGCATGAAAAGGAAATCATTTGGAGGTTAACTGGGAACTTTGAAGGTTCTCTTGGGGAGTAGGTTATTGGATACTTTCTTCTGATGAGTTGTGTTAGTTACTGCTGGTCTCGTTGATGGCCTACTACTGATTTCCTAATGATTTATTATCGATTTCTTTGATGAATTGCTATTGATTTGCCTTATGATTCCTTCCATAATTTTCCACCAAATTTCTTGATAATCTCCTACCGATTCCGTCGATTTTTGATCAACTAATTAGTTGTTATGCTCATATTTCTTTTGTGGCTAATTGACTTATGAGTTCTACTCCTTTGTATTTTTTCCATAGCTCAACTACTCATATCGTCTTCAAATATAGAAACAAGTCTAACAAAACGTTTTCATCGCAGATATAGATCTCTGCCCCCCTCTTTCCACAGAGAAGGCCGGCCTGCATGCGCATACACCGACGCCCTATGGAGCTCGGCCGTCGTATATACCGACGCCCTATGGGTCCGTCGACCGCATATACCGACGCACTATTGGGCTCGGCCTTCTAGATGCCGACAAATGATCGGTTATAGGGTGCTTCCGAGGATCATTAATTTCCGGGGACCAGTTACAGGTGTTTCAAACCCGGTATATTGGTCTCCTGGTGCTCTAAACTCGAGCATTGGCTCCAGCGTCGGTTCCGTAGCTGTAGCTGCATTTTCCACCGGCCTTGGGGTGTCTACCGGGTAATTGGAGAGTTCTTGTGGGTTTCTTTGGTGAGTTTATAATTGTCCCTCTTTATTTTCGAAATTTACCGTGTTAGTTCATTGTATCGTTGTACTGATAAGACGTGTATTATTAGAAACGAAGACTTAACTCATTCGTGCTCCGGGAAGGTGAGGCGCGGAATACAATCCCTGTGGGTTAGTTTATATTCTCTCTTTTTTTATTTTGTGTTTATTCATCAATTAGATATGTGTACTAATAAACTTACCTACATCCTTAGATTAAACCGGGACCTTCATCTGCTCGGTGAGATGATAAGGGCAAACGCCCTTTGCATCAGGAAATCCTGGGCGGATTCATTCGGTTGGTAGTAATGCTCGTTGCGAGTACTACTACCAATAGCTGAATTCCGAAAGGCCCACTGCCCTCGGTCGGGTTTTCTTTTAGTTGTTGGGCCAAAATAACTAAATGTTTCTGTATTTTTTTACCGTGTGTTACTTGTATTATATTGGTCACCTGTTTCTTTCTGTATATTTATAGGGTGGCTTAATTGTGTCAAAAAAGGAAGGCCTTAAGGAGGAAATGGAGTATATTGAAGATTTATATTCGATGCTTAGAGAGAATAACGAGGGCCTCGGTATTAGCGTGACCCCCTCTCTCTCTCCCCTTCTTCTTCCCCTTTTTTCCTCTTTTTGAGTGATGTAATAATGTTAGGAAGGATATATTGTAGAGATTCACCTCCTTGTGAGAAAGTTAATTTTATCCTTTGGCATTCTTCTGGTTATGTCCTCCTTCATAGAACATCACTCGTTCAAATATTTTCGTCTTTATCTCTGCAGATACCGCATGATTCCTTTCTATATAACTCAAAACGTAGTGTGATAACTTGTTCGCAGGTCTAGCGGCCTTTAGCTCTGTTTATATGTGTGATGATGGCGGTTATGAAGGGGTGATTGTCGGCGACTAGATATATTTTTCTTTAAAACTGAAGTGTTCGTTAAACTGAAGACTTCTTGATCTTATCTTTATCCTAGTCATTTAGTACCGCATCCTAATGGGGTTGAATTAGTAGTCGACACCGCTGCAGGCCGAATCCTCATGATCAACACAGCTTATGTCACAATCCACGACTAGCAGTCGATCCCCTTCAGATACAACTCTATAACAAGTGAAATCCACTTTTGCACACAAGTAGAGTAGAGATCTTTATTGAGCCCTAGATTCTGTACAGCCCCTACTCATCCATACATGCAGCATACATGTATGCTACACGGTATGGCTTTCGGGAGGGTGGTTTTAATAAGTACAAAGAATGTTATGGAAAAAAAAAACATAAAACAAACGAACACGACACAATGCTAGAACTCCGATTATTTTTTAAAGTTGGGGTTTAGATTACACGGATTTGCTTGTTTATTCGTTGATCTTGGCCAAAAGCCTGTGGGAGTGATAGTTATGTTAGCATTGCATATGATATAGATATTTAGATGGGAAAGGTGGCGAAAAATTGGAAGAAGACATACTCATGATCTCTGAAGAGGGCGAACTCCTCATCTCCGACCTTGACTGGGCTTCCACCGTACTGCATAATTATCAGCTCCACACGCATGAATACGGACCAGCATATTAAAAGAGTCCTACCTGGGGAATCAAGACACGGTCACCAGGCTTAACTGAGACCTCGAGTCTCTTTCCGTCCTTGTCGAAGCCACCAGGGCCGACAGCGAGGACCTTAGCCTCAGAGAGTTTCTCGACGGTGGACTCGGGGAGGAAGATTCCTGAGGCGGTCTTGGCCTCGGCCTTGACGCGCTGGACCAAGATACGGTCGAGGAGAGGAGCAAGAGACTTGATGGAACGGAGAGAGGTGGCCTGCACATAGTGGGGTTATTTGGTTAGTAACAAGATTTGCTAGTGGGTAGAGGGAAAAATCATTACCATTGCGAAGGTTTATAAGGTCCAATTAAAGGTCAACTTTATGAATTAATGGTGAGTGGTTTCCGAGAGGAATTCGAGTCTGCGATGGGGGAGAGTGTATATTTTTTCGTTGTGGGGATGACGGATGAGATGGGCGTTTTTGTACCTTTCTCATGGTTGCCGAAGAAAAATTTCTTGGCAGAATAATCCAGAAGCCCGGCACAATCGCCCTCACCCGAAACAACCTCTCACAACTACATTACTCGAACTTACCGACTACCCCCCCCCCCCTCCACTCCGCTCCTCCGACCTTACAAAATGAACACTCTCCGAGCCGTCAGCAGACTTGCGATTCGTGCGAGGCCCGCCAGGTCTTTTGTCAGGACCTATGCCGATGCTGCAGGACCGGCTGATAAGATCCGGTTGTCATTGACGCTACCGCACCAGGTGGGTTTGAGTATTGAACCTTTTAGATATCAGAAATCAATGGCTAATGAGGCGTGGTACGGGTAGACTATCTACAAGGCCTCAGATGTGTATGTTCCCTCAATTGCGGTTCTTCGTGATTTTGCTCCCCGCATTTTGTTTCCGAGATGAGGTGGGGTGTTATATAGAGCAACGGGTTGAACCGGGGCAAAAAATGTGGGAGGAATATCAACAGAGAAACGGAGGAAGGGCGAAAAAGTGGTATAAGAATTGAATGCTGATGATTATTCGACATCACAGCGTCCAGGTCAACATTCCCGCCGAATCCGGTGACATGGGTATTCTTGCCAACCACGTCCCATCCATTGAGCAGCTCCGACCTGGTCTCATGGAGATCATCGAGGAGGGCGCCGGCGGCAGCAAGCAGTTCTTCCGTACGTCTCCCAGCGATATGCCTTGAAGATATACTTGATTGACCCAATCACCAGTTTCCGGAGGATTTGCTGTTGTCCAGCCAGACTCCCAGTTGAGCGTCAACGCTGTTGAGGCTTACCCTATTGAGGACTTCAGCGCTGAGGCCATTCGCGCTCAGTTGGCCGAGGCCAACAAGGTTGCCAGTGGTTCTGGAAGCGAGCAGGACATCGCCGAGGCCAAGATTGAGATTGAGGTGCTCGAGGCTCTCCAGGCTGCGATGAAATAGATGGTGTAGTATAAACTAGTACCATCGTGCGCGCGTATATGGCAATATTTGGGCTTGGGAGATTATAGATGGAGACGGGTTGGGATTGTACACTCAGAAAGACAAAACCATTGTGTTTCATTAGATATCAAAGTTGGCAGCCACATGGCGGAGAGTGATGATGAGCCTTGTGGACACTGAATGAGATAGATAACTCTTTAAGACTCACGACGGCTCGCAGGTTTATCCCCAACGCTTACAAAGGGCTACTATAAACAATTTTCAGGAACCTAGCTTGTGAAAAATATAAGAAAAGGAGTCCTGTAATGAGGTTATTGAAGGGAAGAAGGTTTGTCCTCGTACTGACAGCTCAAAATGGCTCCAGACCCCCCGGCCAGGGATGTCAAATATCCCGCCGAAGGCTCTCCTTCAGGTTATCAAAAGTATGATAGCATCTGTAATGCGCTGCCCTGAAATATAAAGAGCCTTCTCATGGAATTATGAATTGGTGACTCTCTGTCACCATTTGCTTTCCGATCAAGGTCTAAAAAGAATTTGTAGGTACAAATTGAGGGGTAATTAAAAGGTTCCAATAACCTAGGGTCGCTAGATGATTGTAAGGGCTGATAGCTTCACTTGTGGTGGAAAGGTATATCTTGGGTTGGACGGTATTTACCATTGAGGGTTATTTATTCAATCATAGGGATGCTTTCTATAAAAGCCGCCATTGAACGTCTTATTGAAGAAAAATTGGCCAAGTGTAGAAAAAGCCAATAAAAAATACAGAACAGAAGTAAACATTATAGCCAAAAAAAAAAAAAAAAGAAAAGAAAAAAAAGAAAAGAGAGAGAGAAATTAAAATCAAATTTAATCACCACTTGAACGCCCTGACATGTAAACCGTCTATCCAATGATCATACCACTCTTCTTCCCTTTGTTTTGGGCTTGTCTCTTAGCCTTCATTCTGCGGATCATGTCATCACCCGCCGAACCCATCTGCTTAGCATATGGATTGGGACCTGACACAACTCTGTTCTGCGGAGCAATCTCATAGGATCGTGGCATAGCCTGAGGGACACGAGTGCGATTCTGATTGCGCTGGGGAGGGGCAAGGGGGTTGTGTTCTTCCTCATCAGGACGTTGGCGGGGGCGTGGAGCAAAGCCATGGCTGAATGGGAGTCAGCAACTATTATCAAAGGGAGTTGGAAAATTGGGCGAACATACTCTCTGCCCGCAACTGGAATTTCACGAGAGTGATAATCATCACTGCGGCCCAGAATAGGTCGCGACCATTCCCCAATGAGTCTATCAGCTTCACGTTTGATGTGAAGCTGCGGCCTCTTGTCCTTTGTATAAAACATGACAACCTTGCCCACTCCGCTTTCACGGAGATAGTCAGTAGTCATCTTGATCTTGCCCATGATCTCAAACATGAGCTTCTGAATGCTGTACGCCGGAAGCGCCTTATTGGGGAGCGGCTCGAGCCACCATTTAATGGCCTCAAGGAAATTGTTATCCATCGCTGTAGCCATAAGGTTCGGGCGCTGAAGAACATCTCGAACTTCCTCTAGCATGGCAAGCTTATGTACTGCAGGGGACCCATTCCTAATTGCGTTTTGATCTGCTTCTGCGGCTTCCCGCATACGTTCCTTTAGCGTAAGGATAAGCTCATCGTTGAAGACTTCGAGATCAACATCGTCCTTCTTCTTCTTCTTCTTGGGCCCTTTGAGAGCCGCATTAATCTTGTCGTCCAATTCCTTCCTTGCCCCTATAGCGCACTGTTAGGTCTATATTCAAGGGGGACTCAAAGTGTCGAACCACTTACTTTCAGCAGGTGTCAGCTCCACTTCCGGGGCTGCCCTTCTGATCGATGGGCCAGCATCATCCTCATCATCATCACGTCGTCTTTTGGCAATATCGCGCCTGCGCTTTTCTTTCTTCTTGCCGGTAGATGCGGTCTCGCCGCCCGTTCTTTTGATCTTGTGTTTTCCGATCGCGTGAACAGTTTCCTCGTCGATGGGGATCACGTGTTCTGTTCCGATGACCTTCTCATCGAATTCGTTGAAAACGTCCTCATCGACGTCGGAGAGAACCGAGTCGCCGTCCGAATCATAGTCCTTTTCGTGAGCTGGAATAATCTCATCCTCAGGGGGTGGGGCGAGCAGTTGAGGATTCTCGGTTTCAGACATTTTGGGGGGTAGTGGTGAAGCCTTTGACGTGAGTGTGTAGAGGCGAAGAAGGAAGCTGGGTATTTCACTGTTTGAAAGCGAAGACTCAGTTACCTTTAAATGGAGCGAGGACGGCTGTGTTGGGGAGCTTCAGGTCGCTGTGTGCTCACCTGTCTCCGGGTAACCATAGCGGCTAACTATTTTATGCTAGCTTCTCTTTATTCCAACCCCTGCAAAAGTAACCCTGTTGGAGCCGCGGTGCATCGGAACGTCACGCCGCGCATCTCACAAAAAAAAAAGTGAACGTTGTCGCATCTCTCGAGCGCAAAACAATTTTCTACGCTACTCTCCCCGCACAAACAAAAACCAACACTTATTGCAAATATGTTTGGAGGTGATTAATTGATCCAATTACTGGTACGCAGGTAAACTACATGTAAGACTAACGACTGGGTGAACATATAGCTGGCCCCCCACCACCGTCCGCCGAAGAAGTCAGAGATCAAGAGCTCGTGGCTAAGAAAAGCATCCAGGCTGTTCTTGGGACTTGCCTAGTCCTCTACCTTTGTATGCACCCTACTTGCTCTTTCGTATATATTTTCCAGGAGCTTGAGTTGATTGGCCTGTGTTCTGTCATGTAGCTCCCTTCTTTGCCGGGTACGCCAAGGATTTCGTATCATCTATGATCTAAATGGAGATCAAGGCATGGGGCTTCCATGGACATAATTGTACGATATATGACTAAAGAAACGACCGTATAGACGCTGGGTTAGCTGGTTAGTGATTGCTGTTGACGTGCCTACTTTGGTGTATATTACTAGCGTTTCTCACCTCCTACCAATTCTTACAAGTCCCTTATAATTACTATGGGGATAGACACACAGAGCCAACGTGAAATCTTAGTTTTTTGGGGAGTGGACCCCTATCACCTACGTTATCGTACAAGCATACACCGCATTGAAATCTCCCCCCTTAGGCAGAAAATACATGTAGCAAACCATCAAAAAGATATAAAGAGAAAACATGTGTGGAATCGATAGTTTCGAAAAAACAAACTCCACCAATCAAACAAATCCACATAGAAATTACACAATTCAAAAGTAAAGAAACAAGTAGACCGTGTGCACCTGTGCCGAGCATGTACCTGTGCCGAGCACCTTATAATAAAGGCAGCATTTTAGCCACCATTTGGAGTGGATCCCTAGAGATCAGATAAGATGCTCGGCACAGGTACATTCTCGGCACAGGTGCACACGGTCTAACAGGGGAAAATAAAAGAATTAATCGGATATGTCTACAACCCTAACTTTTTCCTTTTCCTTTTTCTAAAACCCCCTGGGACGAGTCTTTTGCTCCTCTTCCCATGCAGCGAATGATTTTTCGATTTCCTTAACCTCTTTGGTGAGATGTTCTAAGCCGTTCGCATTGCTTAACAAGAGCTATACACAAAGCTTCGTTAGCACAACCACTCAAAGGCCAGTGTGGCATTGGCACTTACCCTTCCAGCCGTCTCTAACTGCTTCTGATCCCAAACAATTTCTACCTTTCCTACGCTCTCTTCCATCTTCCTCGCCTGCTCACTAACGACCATCATCCTTGCCCAGATCTCATTAACTCTGCCTCTAACCGCGGGATCTCCGACCTGTCTTGCCAGGCCTTCGAGTCGCTTTTTGAGTAGCTCTTCATCGGTCTGTAACGCGTATCCCCGGTTCTTGAGAACCTGGACTTTTGCAGCAAGGGAGAGCGCCCTGCGAGCAAGAGCGATGTGCCGACGGCGACAGTCTTCTTGCTTGATACTTGTGATAAGGTCATGGCGACTTTGGAGGGCTGTGAGCTTGGATTGAATCTCATGGAGGCGATGACGAAATACGTTGACTTGGTTTTCTTGAATCTTCACGCGCTTGTCGAGGTCGAGAAACCCATTTGCTAACACGGGCACAGAACTGTATGCTATTAGACAGACGAAAACGAGAACACGGAACAGGAGGCATACCCCTTGTTTGGTCTTTCCGCCCAGGCTTTCTCCCACTCTGCCAAGTCTTCATTAGGCGGTTTGACGTAGTGAACTGCACGATCTTCGCCGACCTGGTTGTAGAGATAGTATTTGAATGCATATTCTGGGTGGTTAGGATCCCAGGCATTCTTGACCCTTTGGATCTTTTCAACGATTACGTTTGGGCCTATACAATCATGATAGTAAGCCATAGTCCAGAGTTATGAGATGAGATGAGTATCCACCTTGTTGTTGCTGCGACTGCATCATCATCGAGTTCTGGTTCGCGCCAACCCCATATAGCCCTCCCATAGCGCCCTGCTGGTTCCCACCAAACAAAGAATTACCGGGCTGCTGTCCCGCAAAGATGCCTCCACTCTGTGCGAGACCATAAAGACCTCCTGGTTGCTGTCCTTGCTGCTGCTGCTGCATACCACCAAAGAGTCCACCACCTCCCTGTTGTGGCTGTTGTTGCTGTTGCTGATTCCCGAATAGTCCCCCACCTCCCTGTTGTCCACCGAAAAGTCCACCACCTCCACTTTGTTGCTGCCCCTGCTGGGTCTGACCAAATAGTCCACCACCGGTGTTAGCCGTACTTTGTCCAAGGCTCCCGAACAAACCACCACCTTGTGTGTTTTGCGGCTGTTGTTGTTGCTGACCGCCGAAAAGCCCACCACCGGTCGCCGGTGCCGCCCCGAACAGGGAGCCAGCGGGTTTCTGTTGTTGCTGCCCACCAAAGAGACCACTGCCCTGTTGCTGTTGCGGCTGCCCAAAAAGACCTCCTGAAGGCGCTGGATTCTGCTGTTGCTGGCCACCGAAGAGTCCACCACCGCCTGTGTTAGTTTGTTGTTGCTGACCACCGAATAGACCACCGCCGGACTGCGCAGGCTGCTGCTGAGTTGATCCGAACAGGCCGCCGCCGCTAGATTGGGGCTGCTGTTGTTGTGTGGCCGGTTGGCCAAATGCTGAATTGAACATTTGAAGATGTAGATCTATACACTAGCTATTCGTATGAATGAACAACTTTTGCAATTGTCTTGTAGTAGTCGGTGATGTGCCTTCTTTGTCTTGGGTGAGCGATGAGCAATATTTCTCCGGTAGTGTATAGGTAAACAGCAACTAGATGTAGAATGTTCAGGAAAACCGGGCTGATGCTTTTCACGACGCGTTGGCGAGTGGAGGATGACTTTCACTTTGGCTGTTTACGACGAGGGGCTGGGGTCTGGCGTTGAGCGTGTTGTCGGAACAACCAATCGGTCGCTGCTGAGTAACGGTAGTGGGTGCCAAGATGGTCCCCCGCCAAACTGACGGATGTTTATCCTATCAGATAGGATAGCATTTCATAGCTTGACTGGTCAACTCTCCGCTCTAATTCTCACTGCCGAATTATACAATATGTCCGGCTCACGACACCCGCAGTAGGTTTTTTCTCTCTTCCTGTGGGGTGAGCATTGAGCGGATGAGTGGAGAGTGATCTGACAACTCGTGTGCATAGGTTTAATCAGACTGTCTTGATTGACAAGACTCCCCTTCCTACTTCAATCCCACCAGTTCAGGAAGTTGGTGCAACATCGGCCCCATTGCTGAGTAGTTCCTACTTTATCGGCGCCAGGTGTAAGGACTACAACGAGGACTACATCCTTTGCAAGCATGAGGCCGGTGGAAGGGGAGAGGTAGAGTGCTTGAAGGAGGGCAGGAAGGTCACTCGGTGTGCATCATCGGTGTATGTATATCTCTTCCTCTAGACATGGATTTGCGACTCATGTGCGACGGGGGTGGCAGTCTCGCGGACATCAATAAGTACTGCCTCAAGGAGTTCCGAGCTCACTGGGAGTGTCTTGAGAACAACAACCACAGGTTATTCCACTGCAGGGCACAGGAGAAGCCCTACAACAAATGTGTGTTCGACAACTTGGTGCGTAAACATACTTACCGGCATACTCTATCCATACCTGCTGACAACTACATAGAAACTTGAGAAAGTTATTCCTGGTGTTCCCAAAGGCGAGACTCCGGTACACCTTAAGTAGACGCAGCACGGAATGGGTATTTGTATTTTACTGGGGAAGTTCTGCTTACTTACTGTGGAACGTGACGACATGGCATTGTGTATACAGACAATATCAAAGATATCATAGAGATCCGGATGTCCGTTTGGTTTTTTTTTTATCGGCTGGTAACTCGAGGGTCCTCTTTATTGTTTAGTTGAGGTAAATTGCTTCGCGTGAAGCGGTTTCCGAGGAATGTGTATAAGGTATCTGATGTAGGTATAAGATACGTTGCTTGTATCGGCGCTCATTATATTTATATGGGCAATGTGAGACTATAGCCTAGTATTGGGCTCTAAAAAAAGCACAGCCTATTCGTTGGTTGGTCTCAATACTAGCGAATTCTGGGTCTTTAATTTTCCTGGCCTAACAATCCCGAGTTACTTAACAAGGGCACCCAATAAGGGGAGATCAAACATTATAAAAGAAGGTATTTGGAATTGGACGTCGAGAGCTGCACGCTACTAAGACATCTTTTACTTTATATATGGGATGATAGATGATAGCTTTATGAAGTACTTTGGCTTAATATACGGTATAAAAGAACACACGAAATGGTAGGTTTTGAATATTCTAGTTAGCATCTTCGTCGCCGTCTCCCAAAGGGCCCGAATGACTGATCGATCTTTGGTTTGTAGAAACCCTAAAGCAGTATCTCAGCGGATCACACCTAGCACGACTCGTTCGAGTAAGTACTCTAGTTTAATAATGTTAGAGAGATCCTTTTGATATTTTTAGATATTTAGGCCCGAGACGTCGCATTTAGAGGTGCAGTGATAGCGTCATAGTAACCCGCGCATGCATTGGAAGATTCCGACTGGCCGTGTTCCGAGACAGGGTAACTGCGCACGACAGCCACACCACACCCCGCGGCGCCACTTGTGACTGCTTCCATTTGTGGGGAGCACACTCCCAACAGCTCCAACATGTCGACTTCACTCCAGGCTGTTGTTTGCAAGGTAGCGATAATTCACCCACCGACCAACCAACGAGAAATACAGCAAAGAGTACGTATCATCTGTAGAGAGATATCATGTTTATGGAAAATGCTAACCTTGTGTTTTCCCGCGGATTGCAGTGCAAATGTGAGTTCTTGCCGCAGAAACGAGATCACCGCCACTCCAGCAGCGAACTGACGGAATTTGGTGATTTAGCTTCGTCAAGACTTTGACGGGTAAGACCATCACCCTTGAGGTCGAGTCCTCAGACACCATCGACAATGTCAAGTCCAAGATCCGTACGTTACCTCCTCCTACTTGCGCGGGTGGAACACCAGAAATCCTGGATATATGGGCTGACACCCAGCAGAGGACAAGGAGGGAATCCCCCCAGACCAACAACGTTTGATCTTCGCCGGAAAGCAGCTTGAAGATGGAAGGACTCTTTCGGACTACAATATCCAGAAGGTACGGCAAGATATTATATTATATTATGACTATTATGGATTGGAGGGCATTGAGTGAATGGAGTTATGGGGTGCCGGTTGCTGATTGGGTATTTGGAACTGTTTAGGAGTCTACCCTCCACTTGGTCCTCCGTCTCCGTGGAGGTATCATTGAGCCTTCCTTGAAGGCCCTTGCCTCCAAGTACAACTGTGAGAAGATGATTTGCCGCAAGTGCTACGTACGTCCCTTCTTCATCCCCACCACCACAACCAACTAACCTTTTCCTCGACAGGCTCGTCTGCCTCCCAGGGCTACCAACTGCCGTAAGAAGAAATGTGGTCACACCAACCAGCTTCGCCCCAAGAAGAAGCTGAAATAGACGTTTCGCCTCAACATACAAAAAAATTTCCATTTTCTTTTGCGGGAGAGTGTTGGTTGTCAATCTTCTTTTTTTTTCTACGACACGTTCCATGAGATCTATAAATGAAAAAAGACTCGCGGGACGCTGGGTGGATTTGGGGTTTCTTTGGGAAAGGGTTGTAGATTAGGGAATGAATCATACGCCATTTTTCTTTTGCTCTAATTAAAACCTCGCTTGGAGTTGGCTGTTTTTTTCCTCTTTTTTTTTTCCTATCGCATTGCAAAATTTCAGGTTCAAATAAGGTGGTGTTGGGTGTCGAGTGATATTTGAAGATTGTGGGAAAGTTTATTATTCCATAAGCCTGCGATTAAGGCTCTAACGGCCAATCATAAGCGCCTGCACCATGCATAGCCCTTGCACACCCATAACACATGCTACTCTCCGCGTTTAACTCGGTTACTGCATTCAGCGTGAGCGCGCTCAAAGTAATATCCCCCCCCGCACCATCTCCAGGTAACCCACATATCTTGCAGCTTATATTAATACCCGCCGGCCTTCTCAATGGCTTAAGTTTTCCCGCAGTACTGACAACATTCGCCACAATAGAAGGGTACTGCGTCTCAATGCCATCAAAATATTGTATCATAAGCTCGTCAATCGTAATGTTCCGTCCACTTGCGGCATTAGCTGCTGTATGTTTTGCATCTGGCGAGTAGGCTACACAGAGAGGTAGTAATGGTTTTGGTGAGGTTGGGAGAGGAATAGAGACGTAGTTTACGAGTTCGTTCTTAAGGAGGTCGCGGACTGGGTATCGGAACTCAATACCTAATAATTACCGATTATATTAGGGACCCGATGAGCCATAACTTTGTGTATAAAGTGGGTACATACCAAATGGAGAATCCCCATCTGCAGTCTGCCATGGTATTGAAAACCCTCTTCCCTTTGCGGTCTCGGCCAAGGTTTTCTGAGCTAGCCTAGTCGTCGAATCCCCCCATAAAACCGCTGCGCATCCCTCCTTTTTAGCAATCTCCACGATTAATCGTGTTCGTAGGATCGATAATATGTCCATTCTCGAGGTCGTTGACGGCAGTGAAGATAGTAAGTGCATCAGCACCTCTTTCTTGTCGAAAGTATCACTACCACCCTTCTCCTCGTCCACCCCATGGTCCAGCTCTACCTCCCTTGCCACATTCCGGAAATCATAGATGTCCTCAATATTTACCACTCTAAAAGTCCCAATGTCGGAAAATCGCTCTTGTACGGCGCTGATGCTTTCCTGGGGTGGTACCGAGGGGTCTACACAGCTTTCGTCGACGTGGATTACCAGACAGTTATAGCCGGTTTGGCCGTTAGATCTTTGGCGCTGAGCTTTAAGTTGGTTGGAAATGAGGTTTAGGAGAGCGGTCGAAGAAACCCCGAAAGAGAGAGGGATAAGGAGAGTGGTTTGGGTGGGCACTATGACACCGGTATCATTGGGAGCGTAGCGGACTCGAAAAGATTCCATGCGCTTGATATATTTTGAACGGACATACTTGTCAAAACATTCACTATGAAGAAATTAGCTTTTTAATTATTGCGCCTATCATTTCTCAGGGGGATTTCACAACTTCACTAAAGAGTGAAATGTTCCGCGACGAGAATAAGGAACGAACCTGCATAAGCTTTCCTGCCTCACAATCACTAGAGCGTCGATTTCCTTACACCGCTTACATTTCTGAATCGCCTTGAGTTCGAGAGCCCGTATACCATTTTCCAGCTCAGTTGTGACCATTTTGTTCCTATTTCCCAGGATATGTCGTTACGGTGGCGGGGTTTTTTGAGGTCGCAGGTTGACTCTTTAGAAGCTTTTTTTTTTAGTTGCAGTGCACCACAACCTAAACCCTTGCTGTCGAGTTCCCTTCACTGCTAGTTAAACTCCCAACATCAACACCACCAACCAACCATCATCAACCCAACTACGCCCTCTATTAACGACCCCCATACTCACCAGCCCGCCTCCGCTCCTTCCAAAAAAACTTCCGGTTTTCTTACAAACACCAAATCACAGCTATGGGCAGCATTGGAATTCCGATAAAGTTGCTGAATGAGGCTCAGGTAGGCCAACGCACACATCCCCACCACCTTTAGATCGCGAACTGTACTCTAACTTCATGTGGTGGTAATCTAGGGCCATGTCTGCACCCTTGAACTCACATCCGGGCAGATCTTCCGCGGGAAGCTCATCGAAGGTGTGTTATATATACCCCCCACCTGCTATGCTCCTCTCGTCTCGTCAATCGATCCATATGAAGCGCGCAGATAGCTAATGATAGAGTGTAAATGTAGCCGAGGATAATATGAACGTCCAACTCAAGGATATCACTGTTACCGCACGTGATGGACGTGTGTCCCATCTTGACCAGGTCTATATTCGTGGTTCTCACGTTAGGTTTTTTATCGTGCCGGATATGTTGAGGTTTGTCTACACCCCATCAATGGGCAAAGAGGGAATAGGCAGGTTGCGTGAGTTTATTATTTACTAATACTTTGAAAACGTGTATAGGAACGCACCAATGTTCCGCTCCAGAGCTGTTAGAGGGCGTGGTGTTGGACTGGCGAGAGGAAGAGCTACGGTTATTCGTGCCAGAGGACAACAGAGGGGTAGGGGTTAAAGAGGAATCGCAAATAGTCAAATTCAATCGGTCGTAGTTGATGGCATACTTTTGGTTTTCTCTGATGTGTCAAGTGACAGGACGATAGGATTTACAAGATTGAACATCTCTGAAGGTTTAAAAGGATAAGATTAACCAGCAAGAGAAACGGAGCTACTACTGTACAATACCAGCCCAACGCGAAAAGTGGAGGGTCACTTTTTTCATTTTTTTTCTTTCAAACGTATCTATTTATTAAAGTGAAGAGAGTTAGGCCAGGCAACCAAAGACCCAGCTAAATACGGGCCTGTACCTGATCTATAATGCAGGTCTTGCCCTGCACCTCTAATGTCTATGCTATACTACAGCTCGATGACTAGCCTCCTGATTAAAACCAGGATTTACTAACTACTCTATCCTTACTCCTTACCCCAACATATGGTAGAATATTCCGCGACTTAGCCGACTGAGAAGCTCTCTCCACAACCACATTGATCCTCTAATCTCCAATCAATAAATGCTCTGAAACCGGGGCCGCTAATGAGAAGGGTAAGAAAGACATACTGATGTTAGGATTTCTGAACACAAATCTTGAGCTCAGTTTATCCTCAACCCAATCCATCTCACTCCCAATGATGCTAAACAGCGCCTTACTATCAATCAAAACCCTCACATCTTCTTGCACCACTTCCTCATCGAATTTTCCCGGCTTGTCCACATACTCCAGGTGATAGGCCAATCCCGAACAACCCTTATTCTTCACCCCAACCCGTATTAGTTTCGGCTCCGGTAATGTAAGAAGGTTCCTCAATTGTTGCACCGCCGGCGATGTCAAAGTCATTGCCGCTTTGCGAGGGCGAAACTTTGTCCTTGTTGTCGCTGTACTAGTCTTCGCCGCACCCGTTGGTTGTGAAGTAGACGTAGATGCAGTGGTGTTCTTGGGATCTGTGAATTCAGAGAACAGTGATCGCGTCGACCCTGCCGGTACTTGTGGCGCTGAAGGAGGCGACAAGGGCAAGTGCTCGTTGCCCGGGTTCGTTAAACTGGAGCCTACGCCGGCGCCTCGTGGTGGCGGGGGTTCGGTGTCAAGGCTGTTGGGATTAGGACCATGGGTTGCTGTCTGGAGTAGTCTCTTTGACGATCCTGTTGAGGAATAAGATGCTCGAAATATGTGTGTGCTGCAGGCGGCGGCAGAGGTTATGGTAGTAGCGGAGGAGGCCAGGCACCGTAATGATGTCAGTGATGGAAGGATAATTCGAGGTATCGACATTGCAATTATATGTGAATTATAAGGGGAGCAAGAAGTTGTCGTGATATTGAAAAGGGAAGGGGTCCCCTTTTAGTAGTTATGCTGCTGCTGAGCTGTTGAAGTGGTCAGCAAATGGGATGGTCTTGTCGCAGACTTGACAAAAGCCTTATGTTGGGATGGGTTATCGGGATAAACGTGACTCGGGTTGTTGTGGACCAATGAGCGGACACCTGAAAATCAGCAGCCAAGATTCAATAGCCGAGATAGAACCTATCTTGATCAGGAAACGTTTAAACCGAAAGAACATATCGAAAGATGCATTTTGTCATTTCACCTTAACTAGAGCCGTACAGGTACCTACCTCATCGAGATGCTCTTCAATAAGCAAAAGAGCGCCTAGAATCCCTTCTTAACAAGGCTCATTCGTTCTTATTAAAAACCAGCTGCTGACCGGATCACGTGTAGACCAATCAACATCTAGCTGCGCCTCTTGTGCTTGTACGAGGATAGTTAGGCTACAATTAAGCTGTGAAGTCCTCTCGAGTCCCACAGCAACATCGTACTCCAACCTGTATCTCAAATGACAGATTTCGACTCCAGGTTCTACCAATTTGACCAGTTCAAGCTCAATACAGAGTTCGTCAACGGCTACCGGAAACATGCCATCCTTTATAAAGGCGGGATAAGAATTGAAAGATGGAGAAAAGTCAATATACTCGGAAATGGTGCTATTGGTACAGTATGGCTGGAAAAAGAGGAGCAACATGGAGACCTTAGAGCAGTGAAGCAGATTCCTAGGTCTCATATCTTAATGAACTTCAGGGAATTATTAGCTCTAATCAAGCTGAAAGGAGTAAATATTCCCCTCGCCAGTATTCTAAGGTGCTGAAGATATATGAAGTTAACAGAGCGTTAGTATAGCGAACACTTTGTGCAGTTCTTCGGGTGGTTTGATAATAACGAAAATATCTACCCCAGCATGGAATACGTCAAATATGGCGATCTCTCTCGTCTTATTGCCAGTCAAACCGTGTCCGAGAGAATCTCGAGCGATATAACTAGGCAATTACTCGAAGGTTTAAAAATTATGCACGCGCATAAGTTTTGCCATCGAGATTTAAAGCCACAGAACATTCTTGTGGCGTCACTGTCACCAATCAGGGTTAAGATCACTGACTTCGGTGTTTCAAAGAGAGCAGTAGATGGCACGTCGTTTCAAACACAAGTGGGAACGAGTAGTTATATGGCCCCTGAGGTTTGGGGGTTTCTAGACTGCGATACCTCGATTTACACATGCAGTGCTGATATATGGTCCCTCGGTTGCCTAATACATACAATGATTACAGGAGGACCGCCATTTCCGAAGACAAAATCTCTTATAAATTATATTCAACACCGAATATCATTTCCTGAAAACGAATTGATAGAGAAGGAAATAAGCTTAGCTGCGATAAGGTTCATCAAAAACTTGGTTATGCCGCAGCCAAAAGATAGGTTGAACGCGGACGAAGCGCTTAAAGACCAGTGGTATATTGTTGGAGAAGGGGAGAAGAGATTGACGAGGGAAATCAAGAGGTTGACAAGGGAAATCGAGGAAGGGAAAGAATAGCGGGCGGCGCTCCGAAAAAATAGCACGAAACAAAAAAGAATAAAGGAGAATGAGAGGCAGGCTGGTTGGGAATGGGAGGGAAGGGTGGGGAAATGTGAATCAGGCGGTGAAAATGTTCCTGCTGGATTAACGTATTGTCTCCAAGCCAGAAAGCAGTTTATATTGACAAAACTAATGGGAAATCTGTAGAAACTCTCCTCAGCCTGATAGGCCCAATGAAGAGGAGGCGAGTGACTTTGCCATAACAGGGTTGCATGCAATTGATGAATTAAAGAGAAGGAAAAAAAGGAGGCGAGTGACTGCGGAGCCACACGGGGCGAGGACGTCTGGGAATCAAATTCACTGATACATTCGGCTTCCGGTGAGGCTCCTAGTATTATATCATATTAAGAGAAATAATAACATGTTCAAAGACTCAAGGAGCACGGGGGAATCTCCGACTGTAGGAATGAGGTATGTGTATAGGGCAGCCCCTGGAATGAAAAGATATGAAATTTATGTGCAATACTTGGTATTAGCCAAGATAGTAGATTTGAAAGATTCACATTCAACGTATATGTCCGTGGGGACGGTATGGACGGGCATGGAGAGCCCGCCCGACCGCAGAGCAACCGCAATCTACGAACAACAGTCGAAGATGTCTCAGATGGAGAAGAAGAGTCCCTTAGGAACCAACCCCCCAATTACCTTCCTGATAGACAAAATAACGCTTGGGATGAACCACCACCAATTATCATCCACTCTCATTCACCCTCACCCTCTCCTCCTCACAACAAGGATCCCCCGGGGATCCGTGATTACAATATTCATAGGGGGTCCTTTCAACCCTTTCGGCCAGGGACCAACATGGTAATAACTTCCTTGGTGTGGATCATGATGATATTCCTCGGCCAAAGAGCCAGCCTATAAACCCAACGCAACCGCAGCATCAAAGCTATAGACCTCAATCTTCAGATCCCGGGTACGATGAAAGTGAAACCCACTCTAGAGAACTAAACTCAAGCACTCGACCCGGTTATTTCGAGAGTCGCGCAAAAGAGAGAAAACTCCTTTTGTCAGTAAAAATGAGGATAGCATCGTGCACAGATCCAGAGTATAATAAAACGCGAAGAACATTACATGAGGCTGTCGCTAAAGGCGACTTTGATATGGTTTCGATTCTACTTGCTGAGGGAGCAGACCTTGAAGCGATGAACGATGATGGATTAACACCGTTGCATATGGCGGTTATTGTAGGGCAAGAGTGGATAGTAGTGCTGCTGCTGGATGCTGGCGCAAAGATCAATGCAGAAACTTCTAACGAGGAGAAACCACTGCATTTGGCAATCAAGAAAAACGATAAGGTGATGACGGGAGTGCTGCTAGATAGTGGCGCGGATATTCATGGAAAGTACTCAGATGGATCAACAACATTACATGGAGCAGCTTGGGCAGGGAAGGCCTGGGCAGTTGAAATGTTGCTGGATTTCGGCGTCGATGTTAACGCACAAAATACTCTTGGACACACAGCACTGAGTTTTGCAATGAAGAATCAGAACTTTACCGCGGCGAAAATTCTGCTGGATCGCGGGGCAAATATCAATTTTGCTCGTAGGGATGGACATACACTACTATTCGATGTTATCCGTGCTGGCTCCAATGCGGCAATTAGATTTCTTTTAGCAGAAGGCGCAGATTTTACAATAGCAGCGAATAACGGTGACATAGCACTACACGTAGCAGCTAAAGAGGGTTTGGGTGGCGCCGTGCTTTTACTGTTAGAGTTTGGGGATAACGTTAGGAAGGCATCTCCCAGTGGAGTCACACCTCTCCATTTGGCCGCCTGGACGGGAGATCGGAGAATGATTGAGTTGCTTCTTCAGCATGGAGCAGATCCTACGGCGAGAGATTGTAATGGCTGGACACCTCATTACCTACAAGCAGCTAGATCAAGGGGCGAAGATATAACGGTTAGGGATGTACGGGAAGATTTAGAAGATGTAAGGCTAGGAGTATACCGAAGGAGGCCATAACCGCTGAGAGAACAGATGAAGGATTACTTACGGAAGGAGCAATATTGAGGTATGTAGAACCTATCCATGGCCGTGTTATAAAGAGTAACATCCCTAACTCACGAATATAGCATAGACATCGTTCATAAATCCCAAACCCATGCGGCTGGCCGGACCGCAGTTCGTGAATAGGCTGCTCAAACCACACAAGGAAAGAATTTTCGTGTGTTGACTCTGGGCATTTAAATAAGATACTAGGAAAAGAGCGCTGCCTTTAAAAGGCTTGCTTTGCAAGGTAGGTGAGTGAAGAGAATGTTTTTTTATAAATGGAATATGGAATGCAGAGTTCTGAATGTATATAAGATGTAAATACAAAGTGACCTAATCTGGTGGGATTAGCAGTGCACCTAGAAAGTATATAGTATGGGCATTAATTTATTAAATCGATAAATTCTTCATGGTAAAGGTAACATCTACGCCTCCAAACTTAACAATTCTCCCATCAATCTCCTCTGATAGCCATCTATAATTCCTCTGATCCTAACTATCACACTCGCAGCCAAAACCCTTCCCTTCTCCTCCTCGCCCAACTGTCCACTTTCCATGATTCCTGAAACCCACTCTTGTGTTTCCAAAAGCTCTTTTGCGTGTTCATCTGCTAGCCTACGGCCGTTGTCATTCGACGTATTAACTTCTAGTAGTGTAAGAAGTGCAAAGAGCACAGCCTCTTGGACACTACTGTCATTTGAGGTGGGGAAACTATGGTTCCGCAAAGAAAACAAAAGATCCCACAACTCAGAGGTCATTTGCGGAAGCGCAACAGCAGAGGGGCCGGTTGCATGGAGTATTATAGAGAGTGTTTTGAGAAATAGAGTCAATAGGAATGGCTCAAAGTGGATTCCACGGCCACCACTATAACTATGTCAGCACGTATCGTTACAAAAGATAGAATATAAACTTACAAATCCTTCAACGCACCCCACCACCTCCCCGTCAACGGGAAAAAAAATGCTTCGGCCACTACCTTCCCAAGCTTATTCTCCGCCGGCTTCACTCGGCGCTTCTCTACTTCAATTCGACTACTAAATGTTCGAACCTTGAGTATATTCGGGCCGGTCACCTTATCTGCCGCCTCCGCTGCCATGGGGGAAATCATCATCTTCTCCATACCGCCAGTAATCCTGTCTAATGGACTAGTTTTTCCTTTAATCCACTGATTATGCATTAATCCGGGTAGCATCTTCGACGGGAATAACTCTGTCGATTTCCCCTTAGCACTTTCCACGCTCAGTGGTAAGTCTCCATCATCACAGCCCGCTAGCTCCCTAGCTCCCATACCGATAGCAGATGCCATTGCTGCGCGCTGACCGAGTGAGTAGTCGCCTTCAAAGAACCCGCGGGCAAGCAGCCCACCAACTAAGACGGGTGAGGAAACTACGAGTGCAATGAGCGCCTGCATTCGCATCTCTTGGAAATTTTCCATCTCGAATTTATCGTTTAGGCCAGTTAAAAGGCTTGCAAGCTCTGAAGCATGGTCAGAAAGTTCCTTTCCAAAGTTGGCTTTACGTCGAATTAATGCGGCAGAAGATTGAACGGCGAGGAGCTGGCGGTCGTAGGAGTCTGTGGATCTCAGGTAAAGGAGGAGGTCACGGATGTAACTAAAGACGAGTGAGACCTCATGATTGGGGTAAAACTAGGGAGGGTTTAGATTTACTTACATTGGTGCCGTATCCTTTTTGCGATTGATCAGTGTTGGGTCTTCATCGGAGTCTTCGGCATCTGAATCAGGTTTTGGGTACGGTTGGAACTCGTCGTCCTCTTCCTCCTCCTCTTCACTTTCGACCTCCTCAACCACCATCACCTTGCTCTGTATTTTCGGGTTTACCTCCGTGCTTTGCTTTCTTTTTCTCACAGTAATTTCTCCTCCTTGCGCCAATTTAATAACTTCGCCGGCATCACCGACACTATCTTGAACCCCAACAATGCTTTTCCACCACCTCGCCTCCTCACTTGCAGTCTCTGTCACTCCAAAATCCATGGGTTTCCCATCTTTATCTGTTAATCCTGACAGTGACTCCCCAACTATCATTCCCAAAAACCTAGCGCGAATAGATGATGCAGCTAGTCGGTTCGATACTCCATTCAGGAATGGTGAAGAGCGAGCGAGACGGTTTAGGTATTGAGGGAGTTGACGATGCGTGTATCCAGAAAGGAGAAGGAGTAACTGGACATTTACTGGGTTGGCATGGGAATAAGTATATTTCTTAATAATAAATAACGAGTTATAGAGATGGAGCAAAAATTGGAACAAACCTTCCTGCCTCATAATCGGCGTGTGCCTGATCCAAACACTATCTCCAAAGATTATCATACTTTTTTCCAGGAGAACCTTAAGCACATCCTGGTCCTCGTTCAGTGCCGCGACCAGTGCTCTCCTTATACCTATTGGCTCTCCTACTCCGCCGCCATTACTGGAAACCAACCAATCTACTACTAGATCACGGTAGGTTGTGTCACCACCTAATATGATATGAAGAAGAGCTGCAATTTGTGAGACCACAGGAGTGTCGGACTTCCACCATTGAGCATCGAAGGTGTCTGGTCCGGTCGGGTTTTCGGAAGGGTCTTCAAGGCTTTGGAAAAGTTGAGGATTGAAAAGATGTTTTCTTGATAGAATACGTAAGAGGGAAGATAGATATGTGCGTTTTTCGTGAGATAGAAGCTGAGAAAGAAGTCGATGAAGCTTTGGGAGGGTATTGAGGGTAATATGGCAGTATGTTAGGGATTCTACTAGGTCATCTACGTTAATTATTAGTATAAGCCATCATTACACCAATATTCAAAAATGGAGATTACGTACCAGAATAGCCTAAACTAAAGCCTCTCCCCAGTAATACTGCCAAGGCCTCCCACTCTTCCCCATCCTCCTCACTATCAATTTTTGTACTGGCTTTAGATATCTCTCTACCTAGCCACGTTGTATACAGCTTTCCGTCCCCTACCCATCTCTCCCTACCTCCCTTACCAAGTATATTCTCTCCTGCTGCCGCAACTGATAATAATTTGCCTCCTGCAGCCAATGTAACAAACTCCTTCCATACAACCCCCCTCTTTCCATCTCCTCCAACGCCACCAGATACCCATATTCCACGCACAATCCCAGTTTGTCCTAGAATACCCTGTAGGAGATCTAAGAGCTCCTCTATTTGTCCCTTCACGCCTGGCTGTGAATCGGCGGATTTAATGAGGAATCGTAGACGTGCAATGATACCACCCAGCCCTGTAATGGATCGAAGACATAATATTAACTTTGAGCGTCCAGATTTTGAGATAATGCTCCAGAAATCTGGGACGGTTAGTTCGAGAAGTGCTTTTACGACCTGCGAAGCTTTGGGTGAGGGCGTGCTGATATCAAAAGAATTTATGTCAGTACTAGGAACTAGTAGGTCAAGAACCTGTGAGAGAGTTTCGGATGAAGGTTTTGAACGCAAGGTGGTCAGTATATCGTCAAGTGTTGATGGCGAGACCGGAGAAAGAACAGTCGTTAACTGTGGTGGGGCGCTTTGAGAAGACTTGGAGATTGTTATGAGAGGCTCATCTCGAGGAGTTGAGGTTGTTCGCATAGGCGTGAGAAGACCTTCCATGATGAACACTTCAATATGATGTCAGTGGTTCGGTTGTAACAGTGTTCATAGGTAGAGTACATGTTTGATATTTCGAGATGTTAATCGTCTGCAGGCTGCAGAGCCTCATTTCTGCAGCCCTAAACCTAACAATCACTGAAAGCTTCAAAATGCAAGATACAAGTATCTACATGTGTGTCATACAGGTGAGACAGGAGCATGGTTCGCTACTCGTAGCTTCGGCACAATCTAAATGTAGATATGATGCTCCCTATAGTACTCTAGAGTAGACATCCCAACAATTCGAAGAAGCCGAGGTTTAATTACTGAATTTACAGAGTACATATTATGTACAAGGCTCTGGCATTAAGTGAGCGAACTAAATGGGGTGTTGACTAGTAAGGATCCGTTCACTCACTTAATGCCAGAGCCTTGTAGTTATTATGTGTGTACCGTCCATGAGCTGTTAGCCCTCACTGTGGTACCGGGTATATGTGCCTACATCATGTATGCACCATACCAGCATTGTGTGTGTATGACCTGAACCTGGAAATGGGAACCAGACGTGAGAACTTAAATCCAGTCCGTTAACTGTTATCTAGGTATGCACTACTACACGTATCATCTGTCTACTACATAATGACCAACGCCATCCGCGCCGACCGTGTCACCGTTGAGAAAATAGATATCCGAGATTTCATTGGTTATCTGAGAGTACCTACACTGGTATCGCATAGAGACCAAAAATCAATCGTTCATCCTTCTCAAAATAATCGGTATTGTATATAGACCAAAACTGACTTAGACTGAAAACGAACCCACAACCAAGATTTGAACCCCGGGGTAAGCTTCCTCATTTTTTTATTTTTACCAATTCCCTTAATTCCTTGGCTGACCTTTCCTTTCTGGTCACAGGACAATTTGCGTTGCAACTTGCGTGCAGCCTACGGTTTCCCGAGTGCCAGCATGTGACGATGCCCCTCCGCGTGTGCCAATACATCATCCCTCGGGTCTCGGTTCTCAGCCGTGAAAGAAGCAGTTAAAAATCAAATAAATACCATATGATAGCCCAATGCCCATGCACCCCACACCCAAAGAGTTCCACGCTTCCCACATATCCTCAAAAGATTCCAGAAGCTCAACACATCAGTATAACTTTTTTACAAAACGTATAGATATCACTCTCACCACTGGTAACAGCAAGGAAACAAAATGTACAACGATCCATGTCTCGAGAAGGCGCGGAATAGCATCGAGAAACCTCCCCCAGGGGTTCCTCAAGGTGTTATCATCCCTGGCTCTGAAAAAGATGGAAGGACTGGTGTATATCGCCACTGGAGAGCTGCTGAGGGAGAGCTATTGAAAACTATCGATCCTGAGGTATGATTCTGAATGGTCATCTAATTGAACCCCTTAATCCTCAGTTGGGAACATTTTTTTCCAGCTGTATGCCACCTAAATGAAACTCGGCAGATCAAAGCTTTCCCACCATACTTGGTTAAAAATGGATTCTCACATCTGCTAGATTACAACCATGTTCGAAGCTTTCGAGGCAGCTAGCAGGAAATGGCCAGACAATAAATGTTTAGGATGGCGCGAGCAGGATAAGAAGACAGGTGTTTGGGGACCGTATTTGTGGATGGATTATCAGACTGTTCAGAAGCGACGTACGGACTTTGGCGCTGGTTTGGTTCATTTGCATCAGTCAATAGTAAGTCATCACTTGTCACCAAGCTAAACTATGGCCCTGTAGACACACACCAAGCTAACAAAGCACATCAGGGCCTTACAATAGATAAATACGGTATTGGCATATGGTCTGCCAATCGCCCAGAGTGGCAGATCACAGATCTAGCAGCAATGTCACAGTCACTCTACACTGTGAGCATTTACGATACTCTAGGCCCTTCAGCTACTGAGTATATAATCAATCATTCTGAGCTTAACTGCGTAGTCGCATCTCTGAATCATATCCCCACCTTACTCTCTCTAAAGGAACGACTTCCCACGCTCAAATTTATAATTTCTATGGATCCCCTCGAAGACGGCGAACCAGTAGGAAACACAAAGAAAGCTCTTCTTGGGGCATGGGCTACAAAGGAAGGTGTTCAGCTACACTCTATTTACGACATTGAACTCCTTGGCCAGCAACATCCCAAACCATTTGCGCCCCCGAGTCCTGATGATGCAATTACAATCAACTACACCTCAGGGACCACGGGTTTCCCTAAAGGTGTACTGCTAACTCACATGAATGCTGTCTGTGCTGCTTCATGTGCACACCTATCGCCCATGTACCAAATGCCCGGCGATTTCTCCCTCTCTTATCTTCCACTTGCACATATATATGCCCGAGTAACGGAACATGCACAATTATGGTCTGGCTGTGCAATCGGCTACTGGCATGGTAACATTCTCGAGCTTACTGATGATCTGAAAGCACTCCGACCCAATACCTTCATCTCTGTCCCTCGTCTCTATAATCGCTTTAACAGCGCCATCAAATCTTTAACCATCGAACAAGGTGGTGTTAAGGGCGCACTGTCCCGAAAAGCAGTAGACACAAAACTTGCAAATCTTAAATCATGTGGCTCAAACAAGCATGGCCTCTATGATCGTCTCTGGGGGAACAAGGTCCGCACTGGAATCGGTTTTGACCGTCTTCGCGCTTGTGTGAGCGGAAGTGCTCCTATCGCGCCATCTGTTATATCGTTCCTCCGGATCGTTTTCTCGAATAATTTCATCGAAGGCTACGGCCTCACGGAAACCTATGCAGTCACTCTTGGCCAGCTTGCACAAGACAACAGCGCCGGTAATGTTGGCCCTCCTACATTCGCCGCCGAGTGCGTTCTCCGTGATGTTCCCGAAATGGGTTACACCTCAAAAGATAAACCTTACCCCCGCGGAGAGCTCCTTACTCGCGGTCCGATGGTCTTCAAAGGCTATTACAAAGCCCCTGATAAGACTGCCGAGGTCCTAGATGCAGATGGCTGGTTTGCAACCGGCGATATTTGCAAAGTTGATGAATTAGGTAGATTTAGCATCATCGACCGTGTGAAGAACCTCCTCAAGTTAGCACAGGGCGAATATGTTTCTCCGGAAAGGGTCGAAAACGCTTACCTGGGCAGCATGAATATCTTCCAACAAGCCTATGTCCATGGTGACTCATTCCAGCCATTCCTAGTGGCAGTAATGGGCGTCGACCGTGAAAACTTCTCAACATTTGCTGGAAAGGTCCTTAAGAAGACGATAGCACCCCTGGATACAGAGGCTGTCACTGCTGCATGTGGAGATATCGTAGTTCGCAAGGCTGTGCTAAGGGAGATGGATAAGGTCATTAAGAAGAATAAGATGACAGGTTTCGAGAGGGTGCGGAACGTACACCTCTGCTTGGACCCTTTCACAATTGAGAATGATTTGTTGACACCTACGTAAGTCTTTACTCATTGCCCGTTTACACTGCGACTGATGGCTGATGACGCTCATTTTGGATAGTTTAAAACTCAAACGCCCGCCCGCTGCCAAGGCATTCAAGGAACAGATCGATTCTTTGTACCAAGAAGCATTAGCAGAGGAACCGAAGAAATCAAAGCTATAGGACATCTAATTCGACGTGCTTTCTTCTTTCTTCTTGTTCGCGTTACCGAAAAGATGTTGGATACCTTAGATGAATGTACCTTATGTGGTATTTGTAAATAGGTTGAATTATATCTGAAACTCTAAAACATCAATCACAATTAGGGAAAAGATGTAAATATTTTTCGAGATGAGATCCATTTTATATTAGAAAACTGCCCGAGAAACCTCTATGTAAGAAGAAGCGAGAAAAAGAAACAAACAAAACAAAACAATAAGGGAAAGAACTATGGGAGCAACGTCATTCTACTTCTTCTTGCCGGTTGCCTTCTTCTTAGTCTTCTTTCTAGGCTCCGTCTTGCTCGGTTCGGTCTTGCTCGGTTCGGTCTTGCTCGGTTCCGGCTTGCCCTGTTCTGTCTTCCCCTGTTCCGTCTTGCCCAGTTCCATCTTGCCCGGTTCCGTCTTGATAGGCTCCGTTTTGATAGGCTCCGTTTTGATAGGGGCCGTCTTGATAGGGGCCTTATTCTTGATGCTCGGGACCGGAAAAGAGGGATGATATTTAGCCCTTTCGATCTCAACCTCCAAATATTCTTGAGTTGCACCCCCAGCAGACTTCAGCGCCTTTGTGATCTGAGCCACTGCAACACTGAGACCAATACAGGAGCGAAGCATCTCGCGGTTGTTCTAATTGAATATATTATTAGCATTGCGATTCTAAATCGCTGGAAAGTTGCACCTACGATCTTAAAAGCGTCTTCGCATAGTGCTGTGCGGGAAGTCTCCGCATCGAGTTTCCCTAGTTGATCAAAGTCTTTGCGCGCTTGAGCAATCGATTCTGATGCGAGTTCAAGGAGCTCCAATGTCTACGACAAAAACGCTTAGCTTTGGTCTGGTAAATAAAGTGTATATGTCACATCCATGCTTACTTCAACTTGTGGGTTATCTACTAAAGTCGTGAATATATCATATGGGACGACTTCAGGGCAACCTATAGTGAAAAACGGCTTCATCCTTAATTCATAACGGAGATGATCAGAACTATATGGCTGCGGTGGTTTTCTGAGCAAAGTGAGCCTTGACAGGGCAACATAGACCTAAGTTATGTTAGCTATCGTGTTTTATAATGTTAAGGGATCATGTATATACATTGACCATGGCTCCAGCGAGCTCCTGTATGGCCGATCCTTCAAGTAGATAGTAATTCAACAACGACAAGGATTTTTGTTGCTGTGCATTTGCTGAATACCCCTTCTTCTTTTTGTTTTTCGAGACTACCTTGGTATTGAGGGTTGCAAATTGTCGAATCCGCTCAAGATGTCCAATCTTGGTGCGGACGTATATTTGCAGGTACCAAAACATGTCTGCATATTCATGTGGTTGGTATACCTCGAGCTCGAACCCGAGAAGAATGATCCATTCCATCTGGCGCAATTTGTAAAGGTATACCCAGGAAGACAAAGGAAATGAGTAGCTAGGAGGACCATTTGGAGTTTTTTGTGGTTCTTCTTGCGTAAGTTCACGAAGCTCCGAATCTATTTCTTCACACTCAACTTGTAAAGAATCCCAATCTAATATGGCGTGACATAAGTTTCTTCGTAAACGGGACCTATTCTGGCAAATATTTCGGAAAAGATCAAGGTACGAGCGCCCCGCACGTTCTATGAACCAATTGGTTCGTTTTACGATGTTAAATCTCGGGTCCTGTGGCGCCTCAACCGCTTCATTCCGTGGGTCCAGCAGCAAATCTACAGGATTAGTTAATTCCCTCACATCGTCAAAGAGGAGTTGTTTTATTGGCATTGTCCCCAGAATTTTCATCTCTTTGAAGAATAAAGACTGTAGAAGAGAGCGGACATATGGTGAAGGTGACGGCTTCCGAGCCATGAAGTTCAGGAAATAGTTCTAACGATTGGTAGTTAATATATATATATTTAAGGGTTCAATGTTCACTTACGACTAGATTAGTCGAGCCCTGGTATTTCAAAATTTTCAATACATCCTTCCCTTCAATGCACAATTTCTTCAAACTAGAAGTGGCATCCTTAAAGGAAATTTCAACCATTGGCCTCGGTGGCACCTGGCTTGCTAGCTTTCTTTGTACAGATGTGCTAAATGCTTCCGAGACCGGCTTCCCCAGCGGGTGAGATTTCTCAACCTTTGCCAGAAGCTCGAGGGAGGAATCCCATTCAGAAGGCACTCCAGAAACCCATTCTTCGATCTCACGTGAAAGGTCGCGAAATAAGGCTTTTCGGTGCAATAAACGGCACTCTAGTGCCTCGAAGATCTCGTTGGAATATGAGTTCTTAGTAGCCTCCAACCATTGTAGAGCAGAATCCAAGATATTCAAAATTTCATTTGGTTCCACAGAGTCGAGCAGAGATACGTTGTATGTCTGTGTAACAAAATCTTCTTCCTAAACTCTTGTCAACGTGTGTTAGTTTGAGGGAACTCTACTATTCACGAACTTCATATATGTGCTCCATCTGTATCTGTTGGTTGACACAGTAGCAACATTTGATAAGAGCCAGACAATATGGCCTTAACACATTTTCTAGTAATTGTCGCTCTTTGGAGTCTGCATCTCCTTCTATTCCAGTAAAACTAGCAAAGGTTGCTTGTGCAAGTGTTTCCGGACCCGAAGAAAGGAGTCTATCGATATACAGACAGGTGAAAACTGTCTGCGAGAGAGCGCTTCCATTGTGCCACGCCATCTACCCCCAAAAATGAGCCCCCAATCATATAAAATTCTTGGTTATGGAGTTACTGCTTGCCTCGTATGACAGTAACTGGTCCATTATTCCAATAACTTCTTCCGGTAGCCTTGGCTTTAAAGCATTGAAGGATTCATACTCCGCTTCTAGCATACCACTGTCCATCTTTGGGTCCATAATCTTCACCGTACAAGTAAAACGTAATTAGCAAGCCCTATCCTGCCAAGGAAACACAGGTTACTCTAATAAACACATACCTCTAAGGCACCAACTGCCTGTAGCAGGGTGAAATATGGGTCTTTGACGAGCTGGCCAACATTGAGTTCTGTAACCACAGTGTAAGTTTAGAAACACGACACTGATGGGATGAGGAAGGAAACGGACTTGCTGATGCTTCAAAGAACTCGGCAGTGATGTCGCGAAACGAATCGGTTGATAGTGGTGAGTTTGGATGCATTGCGGGGATGCTATCATTCATGTTGGGCTGAGCGGGACCTTTGGCGGGGTCAGTCACATCAACAATGGGTCCTCAAAGCAGCATACCATCGCGAACTCCGTCCACTCCGGTGTTTGCCATATCTTAAGTGAGTTGATGGAATGAATATCACACTGCGAGCTTGCGGGAGTCTCCGATTGGTAGTGTCAGGAAGCCTCAATCCCGAGGATTTGTCACAAAGTGGGATTGACTTTAGACCACGGATCAAATGTCAAATTGACTACAGGACCATACAACCCAGGAAAGACAAAAATCAATTCTACGAATAACACACCCACGTCTACAATGATCAACCCCGCCTCTGAATTTACTACATGAATTTACAGCGACGATGGTATATTCCTTCGGACCCAACCTTATATTTGTCCCCTTTATTGGCCTCGAGTAGAGAGTTGCTTCATGTCACCCTGCTTGCCGTTCTAATATGGAACTTACATTAGTACCTTGAAACATTTGAAGGGCGAGTATTATAGACGAACCTCCCACTTCGCGAATTTGAGTTCCATTTGTCCACGGCGCTCGGCAGCAAGACGAGGCTGGTCCTTCAAGGATCTCCGCACGACTCTGGCAGCGATAGCCAGGTACTTGTTGTAGCTGTCTCTATGTTAGCGAGCAGACCCAGGTGTATGGGTATTGGAATACCTACGTAAGACCAGCAGTTTTCCACGCAGCAACCATTGTGATAGGTAATCTGTTTAAAGAGAATTGACTTTGTTGATAGAGTTGTCGGATATGCCGTTTGGAGACTGATGAGGTTTCGAGAAACTCTCGACAGCCAAGTACGTCCCCTAACCCTGTTCCGAAATAAATTATGTAATGGGATTTACCCGGCTGCCCGATTACACCTCGGCGATTCTGAGGTACGGGTAAGTGGAATCAGCAATACATAACTTTTCTCATGGCTTCACGAAAGAACCTATGTATCTTTTTTTATTTTATTTTTGGAAACAACACCCAAGCACTGATTGAGAATTAAGATTTATGATCGAGTGATAATCTATGCAGGAGGTTGAATCACAAAGATATATTGAACGATACGCCGCGCCATGTCCATATCTAGATATTGATCTAGGGACAAATTTCGATAGCATTGTTGCGTGCTGCATTAATATATCTCAAATCATAAAATACCAATTCGACGCAACAATGCAAGCTTAAGCACTTATCCAACTAACGTTGAGAGTTCCTCCACTAGAATCTATTGGAGATCTTACTGATTCTCCATTAAATAGTAACCATCATAAACCGTCCGTTGGATTAATACACGCCGGTCTAATCATGTCACGCAGTTTTCAATATATATCTCCCGGTTACATAAAATTCCGTTTGGGCGCCCTCTACGTATGTGATTGGGTAGAGACAGTCGGATCAGAGTGACCCAGAGGGTACCTAAATTGAGAAGCACCTAAAGGTGAGCCTACATGTATCTGCCGATAGATGTATAAAAGGTATATTTTATTCGGTGAAAGTTTCAATAGACAAGACCCAGCATGAATCAAACTGTAAAACGGATTGAAGCTACTATTGAGTACAGTACGTCACGGCGGTACTAAGCCGGGGCCCTTGAATGCTTCCTGGAAAGCACTTATGCTTAAACACTCTTGACATAGCAATACTGGCTTAAGATAGTAGATTTCCACCTCTATGGCAGACTACATGGCTCTGCGCCTGGGTGGTCCTGCACCCGGGTTCATAATGTGGGGTTAAGTCATATAAATAGGTGCGTGCCTAAGTAATCAAATGTTCGAGTGATAGTGTGATGAAATTTGAACTATCCCTGAAGACTTTGTTTTAAATTCCATTACCAAGCTACAATTCGTCCTCTTCCTCATCAAAGTCGTCAATCTCCTTATCAGGTGTAAATAAGATAGCCCCGCCCCTACCACCGCCTTCACGTTGTGCATCCAAATACGGCAACACCACCTCATCTCTAGCCCTTTTCTGCCTTTCTGTGAGTCCCAACTCAAAGGTTGTCCTCATCCCATCCTCTTGATCATGACCATCATCCACATTTCTCACCTGTTCCGACAATCTCCACTCCGGATGATCCTCGAGTAACACAACTCTCTCCTTTTCCCTAACTCCATTATCGGTAACATCCAGGGGAAGGTAAAACATTTCGCTAACCCCTCTGCCACTCCTCCTCCTATACTCCATTTCCAATACTATGCCCTCGGTACTATTACTACCTAACCCTACTACTACGCCCTCAGTCCCCTCATCTAGCCCCCACACTGGCGCAGGTAATGATCGGTCTTTGTGCTGCTTCTTCAAGAGCGCATGATGGATCGAATGAACCGTCACTAACGTCGTAGACAAGTATTTTAATAGTGTTAAAGCCTCGGGTGCAGTCTCTGGATATGACTTCTGTGGAGGGAGTGGAACATCGAGATGGTATGTGGAAAGAAGAGCAGTTGTGGGTGTGAGGAGAGACGAAAGAAACAAACAAAGGGAGGATGGTGAGGAGGAGGCAAGAGGGTTAAGAGAGTCAATAATTAAGAGTGTTTCTATTATGCAGGATTAGTACCATTGACTGAGAGACGAGTTAGAATTGTCTTACTGGCACCAGCAGGGATTGCAGCTGTAATCTCTCTCTGGAGTACTGGGATTGTCTTTCCGCGGGCTTTGACGAACTTGCCAATACCAGGCGGACAGCGAAGTGTTTCGAATGCCACGAACACGATCTCACATTTCGCCAACTGAGGTTGTTAGCTACAGCAAGGTCTCATGAGGGAGATCTCACCAAGCCACGTCTAACAAATTCCCTCACTAGCGGTTTCGCGCTCTGGGACAATGAGTCGAGTAACAATGTAAATGGCGACACATTATCGCGTAGATTCAAAAGTCGTGATATTAGTAGTAGGTTATGTGTACGCCGGTGGGCTATAGACTGTGGAGGCGCCATCTTTAGCTGTTTTATAGATTTTCTAGAGGTTGGATCAGGTAAGTGGGGTCATGATAGGGTTGTGCCACCCTTGCTTAGTTGAGGCTCAAAAGCCTTTCCTTTTTTTTTTTTTTTGACCGATGATGCACGCCAAGGATGTCATACATGCAACCTTAAATTTTCTGGAGCGGATAAGGCTGAAAGTTTAATTCAAGCGGTAAGTACATACAACGTGATATAGATCACGCCGGGGGGGTTATCTACAGCGCGAGGTAAAAAGTGAAGGCTGGGCACCCATTTTACACCAAAAATGCTACTTTTCAACGTGGCCCTAGACCACCAATTATCATAAATAATCTCCGAGAATGGGAGAAGTATATTTCTTACATATCAAGAATTGACTTATCAGCTCAAAATTAAACTATTATTCCTCTAACATGAGCTATGTTGATTTTATTATGTTGAGTTGCCAAAAAACACGCCAAGACCACATATTTGTATGTGATGTAGCCAAATCTCCAAATTGCTCTACTTCTAGCTCATGTACTTTCTTTCATATCTGACCTGAGAGAGTGTCCTTTTAGATATATTAAATTTGGTACCCAAAGTCTTACTCTATAAAGCCTTGTTGATTCCCGATCGCAATTGGGATGTTTGTTTTCGTTCTGTTTAAGCTAATTTTGGTGTATTTTTGGTTGCCAGCCTTCACTTTTTGCCTCGCGCTGTACATGTAGCTACTCTAAGTCATAAGTGGGAAAAATCAAAGAGCCTTGAGTCCAGAAAACCATCAAATCGTAGCCTTCTCTGCTTCATCACCTTATCAAATCATTTATACTCTTATACAGCATCTTCTTACACAATTTCTCCAACACCACTGCTCGGTACCAAAATAATCAGAAGGGTGTAATCGCAAAGGGAAAAAAAGTATTCAAACGCCCAACACGCCCATGAAACTGCAACCAGAAAACAAAACGATAGAAAATGGAAACAACCTTAATGATAATGTGGAAGGAAGTTGGGAATAAGACAAATTAGTTAAGGGTGCTCTCTTCTTTTCTTTCTGGGCTGTCTAACCCCCTGATAAAAGAGAGTGAAGTAAGAGAAATACGAGGAACAGCTATAGTTATACATTGAAACACCTACATCCCATCTTATCCGCCTTCAAAAAAGAAAGGTGATCAAAAGTCTCCATTCCCGTTACCATTCCCAACTGTATTTCCGTTCTCGTTTGATGACGAAGTTATGCCCTGCATTTGATCTTGATAGCTTGCGACAGCTCTCCATCGATCTGCCCCGGCAGCATTTGGAATTTGCATTGTGCTTCCCGAGAGTGAAGCAAGGTACTCCCGGAGGGCCTTGATATCCTCTGAGATAGCAGCGGCGCTTTCTGTGTGTAAGGCAAGACGCTCGGAAGCGGAGACTGTCCAGTCTTTGATATCGTTTATCCTCTTAAGATACGCGGCGATATGATCTGCTAATCCCTTTTCAACACCGTCGATTCGTGTTCGCAAGGTGTCTATATCTGCAACAGCAGAGGCGAGAGAGGGGCTTGGCCCTTCAGATGAGTCGGATTTGAGGGCCCCGTTAGAAGGGCCGTCTTGAGCAGAAGCAGCGTCTAGGACAGAGTGAGGGGATAGGTTGGCATTGATGTTTCGTTGCTCTGTTAACTGCTTCAACCGCTCGCCAAGGTTCCGGAGTGCATCTTTCATCGTTTTCACTTCGTTACACACGCTACTGAGCTGATGGGTTTGACTGAATATCATGGGGTTGATCTTCATAAGTTCCTGAATCACCCGTTCGTAAAAGTCTTTTTGTCGTAAAATTTGTCATTTTCTGATCAACGTGGCTGATTGCGACTGCGTGGCCTTCAAGCTGGCTTTCCACATAGCCTACTCTGTTGCCAACTTCCTCCATATTAGTTGCAAACCGTTGATGGACTCCGCGGAGAGATTTGATCTCTTCGAGATGAACAGCTCTGTCCCTTTCCTGCAGGGAAGTGAGGTTTTTAATTCGATCGTTCCACGTTTGTTCTAAGGCCTGGACTCTTTCTCCTGTTTCTTGGTTGTTCTTTTCCAAGGTTGTCTCAAGAAGATGGATTGTTTCTGACACTAGCGCGGTATCTCCCTCAATACCAGTACGGACATTATCAATTAAATTATCTTGTTGGTGCATGTGGTCTTCTAGGCGCGAGATATCTGATTTTGTTGCGTATTCCTGCAGAGGGAGGGCCCCCTGGATCTGGGAGGCCTGTAATTCTTTGATATCCAGTTTGGAAATCTTCTGTTCGAGACCCTTGATGTCGTTGGCGCATTTCGAAGCTGTTTGTGCCACTTTTTTTTGGGACTTCCAGAGATGGGGAAAAAAAAAACTTAGCAAACTTTCACTTGACAGGGCATTGAGATTCTGCCGAATTGAATACGTACTGTTATGAGTTCATCCTGAATAGTTTTCAGAGATCCAAAAAGCCTTTTAACCTGCTCGGAGACAGTCCCAATATCATTACCAGCATCACCCATTACAACATCCGTACTACCCTTAGCATTTGCAGCCTCCTGCAGTTTCTCTACATCAACCTTTACCTCTTTCAGCAGCGTCATTGCTGTCTTCAATCCCTCTTCCGTCTTGACAGCTGTGTGCTTAGTCTGCTCAACCTCTATCTTAAGCTCCTTCTGAAGCGCTTCTATCTTACTATGCCTCGAGCTCAGAGACCGGAATCGGTCAGATTGACTGTTCTTGTAATTATGAAACTCGTTATGAAAATTCTGCCTCATCTTCTCATCTTCCTCCTGCTTCTTTTTCATATTCTGTAGTTCATCACGGAGCTGCTGGAACTCGCTCTTCGACGGACCCGAGGGCACCAAGGCTGGTGCCGGCGCGTTTGACTTAACAAACTGCGTGAGTGAAGCATTCCCAAGCTCCTTCTGTATCTTTTGAAAGAACACAATGGCGTTTTCCGTGCCCGTATTTACGGCATGCTCCTTGAACAACTGTCGACAGAGCTCCTCTAACGGTATGGATTTATGCCTAAGGGCTTCTTGGGCTATATTTAATTCTTTTTTGGCTGCCCTTGCATTACCCTCATAGCGTTCTCGCATGACTGGAAAGAGATTGAAGTGTTCGGCATGGTCCCTACATTCCTTATCGGCAATTTTGAAATTGTTTAGGGCTTCGAGGTACTTGCAATAGGCAAAGGATGCTTCCTGGAATATGCTAGGATGGAAGATAAACGTGTCAGCAAATAGATTTGGGATGAAATTAGCAAGGAGGACCCCGAATCCACTAACCTAGCATATCGTTGTTCTTTCCCACCATTATGAGCCGTAGCAGTAGAATACGACAATGCTGATGGAGGCATCAAAGCAGAAGTAAAGTTGATTGTTGAGTTTGTCGTTGTCGGGGTAGCAGCGGCAGATGTTGTAGGAGACGCGGCACGATGAGCACTCCGGGGGGACTCGGCGGGCGAACGAGATAGCCGATGACTGTTATTAAGTTCAACCGAGTTGCGCAGTGTTTCACTCCTAGCTCTGTCATCACCCCCCCACGAACCTGGACCTGAACCTGAAATCTGTCGACGAGGTGGGGGTGCGCCTTGGGGATCCGCAATCATGCCCCGTTCACGCGGAGAGGGTTCAGCAAACGTCTCCTTCCGCGTGGATGTTGCCCCAGGTTGCCGGCGAGAGTTCGAATCGAGTAGTGGGAGTGGCTCACGCGTGATGCTGCCACGGCGAGAGATGACTGAAGATTGTTCCCTCGTATAGTTAGACTGCTGGTCGGGCAGCAAGGGAGTGGGCAGCAAAGGGGCGGGGGGGCGGGAGGGGCAACTGGCAGCGGCGGTGGTAGAGGAGCAGGTAGAGGATGCGGCTCTCTCTCTCTCCCACTGTCTCTACCGTCTCGATCTCTCTCTCTACCGTCTCTAACGTCTCTACCGCCTCCCCGGCGCTCGAAAGTTTCGTGATCCCAGTACCCTTCACGATCTCTGTTGTTACGATAGTTTCTTGAGTAGTCACGTTCTCTACCACCTTGCGGAAAGGTTCTAGATGGGTCTCTGCTCCTGTCTCTTCCAGTTCTACCCCGCGGGTACATGCTCTGCTGTGATCGAGCAACGCACTAATTGATTGGATAATAATGGAGGGTATCTGCGTTCGTATCGTGTGGCAAGACTATGTGCGTACGTATGGACGTACGGGCGCAATTTGACAGCAGCGACGTATAAATGGGTGAGCTGAACGAGTTTGGAGGAAAAGGTAGTGAAGAAATGAGAGGTGCAATTCACAAGGTGAAGGGGGTTGAGTGAATGGCCAATCGTTAAAAGTATCGACACGGTACAGTCTTTCCTTTCCCATCTAACTCTACGCAACTAGGAACAATTCGTTTTTTTTTTTCTTCTTCGCCTGGGTAGAGCAGGTCGCGGAGCGCGTTGGAAGATTCTCTTTGCGAGCTTAGCAACCGGTACTATCCGTTTCTATGTTGGTACATGTATAGCAACTGTATTTGTATGGCCACCATCATCATTAGAATGGCTTTTTTCTCTCTGATGGATGTTACCGAGGATCATCACGACATGAACTTCAAGATGTTTGACATCTCACAAAGTGCTGCGAGGTTCACTTTTTACAACTTGTTCTCAACCCCAAAATTGACTTTAGCATGTGTCCTGATCCTTGCATTATGTACTCACTAGTACACGCTCTACCGGAAGATCTCACCTTATCTAAAGTAACTACTATCCGCACTTTAATTTAATCTAATCACATATTCTTATCAATCGCATCAGTACAACATCATAGGCGTACGCAGCAGTGAGGTCATAAATCACGACCCAAGCCACCCCCAAGACAAGTAGTAATCCTGTTTCTTGCGAGATCATTTCAAAGGCTTTTGAGCTATCTATATAAACACCTTGTGCTTCCATCATAGACTCACATCACCCTGCATAACCACAAGAATTCGAACTTCGTTCATTAACTATCACTCACCTATCGATATCACTTGTACTCACAATCAATTATTCGAACCATATAACAATAATGTCGTATACCAAAGGTCCTCGCGATAGTGGCCTTGGGATTAATGAGGATTTCGCCCCTCCACCTGGCCCTCCACCTCCAATAACGCCCGAAGGATGGGTCGCACGTTTTGATGAGCGCTACCAACGCTTCTACTATGTCAACACCTACACAAAACAATCACAATGGGAGAAGCCGCCGGGGACTATTGATCCTCCTGCTCCAGGTAGATCCCAAAAGGCCCTGCTCACAGGGAGGTTAACTGATTTGGAATTAGGTCGGACCACTGATTTCGACCGTCCGCCTGCCTATAACAGCGAAAGTAGCCGCCGCGAAGACAGACTGGTAACCCCAACTCCTCAACAGAAATATGAATCTCTCCTCCCTCCACAGCCCCAACAGGAGCAACAACAATACCTACAACCTCCTCGACCCCAGACTTCAACTTCAGGCTCAAGCTCTCCTTCGCGAGGGCTTAGCGGGCGCTTGTCATCGTTTCTAAAATCACATGTTGCCAAGTCGCCCCGACCACAGCAGCAGCAATACTACTATCAGCAGCAGCAGCGTCCGGTATACTATGGCGGTGGTGGAGGCATGATGGGAGGACAGAGAAGACCAGGAATGGGTGCCGGTGGCGCGGCAGCGTTAGGTGTAGGTGGTGGTTTGTTGGGAGGTATGTTGTTGGCAGACGCGATGGATAATCACCAATACGATCAAGGCTTTGAGGATGGACAGGATTATGGCGGTGGTGGGGACTTTGGTGGTGATATGGATTTTGGTGGAGGCGACTTTTAAGTAGATGACGCGCGATGGTGGCATGTAAGATATATTAGTGTTGGCGTTTTCTTTCATAATCTGGGTTCGGCTTTTGGGTATAGGTGAATCATACATATATAAACGTACGATATACGTATAAAATTGTTAAAAATTAAGCTATGAGGGTATTAATGTCAATAGCTGATGGTATCTAGCCGTCGGTCGCCATCTCGATGTCAAAAATAGCCCAACTCTGCAGGCTAAGCACCCGAGTGATAATCTGTGAAACTAAGCGCAAAAGCGTTCGTCAATGTATACTTAACAGCAATCAAAAAATTTGTTCCGGATGTAGGGGATAGACTCCTAGCCTAATACTACAACACAAAAGACAGGGTGTTGCGAAACAAAAGTGCAATTGTTTGTTAATTTGTATTTTAGCCTCATAATCAGTTCAAGTTCCAGTGTTTTTCTTTTCAGTCCTTTCGACTTAACGTATGTGTCCGATCTGTAGTAAATCATAAAAGGTTTTCTTCTTTCTTCTTTTCTACATATTCTTTAGCCTCCAGTATAGATCTACCTGTAAGTGTTCAGGCCAGGTCGAAACTTGCGAGCAACATCTAGTATACGTATAGAGATAAAGGATTTATCTGTTAAAATGATGCCCTATCCCTATTAAGTAAATATCAATTATTGATAATATACAGTGAAAATAATACCAGCTTAAATGATACATGTATGTAATCTATACATGCATTATAATGGGCACCCAGATCTCCCGCTCGTTCTGAAGTTGAAACTACATACCTTACCGTCGAAACGCATACAATTTTGAGCCTTATTCAGTCGGCTTATCCAGAACGTAGGCTTACAATAGCTTTATCAGTACAAAAATCCTTTTTTAAGCCTTATTTCATCCTTAAAACATGCTTAAATAATACTTATTTGAACCTTATTGGATTCATAAGGCTTAAAAAAGGATTTTTGTACTGATAAAGCTATTGTAAGCCTACGTTCTGGATAAGTCGACTGAATAAGGCTCAAAATTGTATGCGTTTCGACGGTAAGGTACCGAGCTGGAGATTTACATAGGATCCCAATGAATCTTTTGAAGTAGCTATGTAATTATTTTGGATTAGTCGGCAAAACAACAGTTATAAGGATAACTAGGAACTCACCGAGAAGCTCTCGAATGGTACCCCTCTCCATTCCCGGCCACTTTTCCCTTTTCCGCCCAACGTGATCGAGTCACTGTAGAACTGGGGCTCAAAGTCCAGCAACTCTCCCCACGCCACAAAAAGCCTCCTCCAATAACAGTTGGTCGCGGCAGGACTCAAGTACCTCCTCCAAACCTCCCTACTCCTTGCTGCGATCTCTTCGGCTTTTGCAGGATTCGTCATCAAAAATTGAATCTTCTCCTCCAAATCACTCCAATCTCTCTTAACCTCTACAAAGTTTTGTAGTGGTCCCTGCAAAACCATGAGTGAATGGTAATGCTGAACCCAGTTCAATTTATGGGCAATGATGACAGAGTGGCAAGCTTGCAGATACTTGAGCCTCCCGCTGTAACTGTATCCCTCCACATGCGCCAGGAACTTATACCGGCAGTGGTCCGACATTGTCAAAAGGTCGTTTTTAACACTTTCCGGGTTTCCCCAATCCACAGTTTTAATGTCGGACCACGGCTTATCCTTCGTGGCATCAAACAGGCCTTTCCTTATATCCAACCCCAAGTCCGCACCACGCCAAACCAATTTGTTTTCCTTCCCATCAAGTGAATATTTCCCGTCTCTAGGTGATATATATTCCGCATCGACAGCATCAGCTTTGAGGAGAGTTTCGATAAAAGAGCCAACTTTGGGCTCAGGCCATGACCAGTGACCAAAGTCGGGCATGAGCCAGGTGCTATTAGTTGTTTCTCCAACGTCCCGAGCGAACGCCCAGGCGAGGTAGCCCCCCTCAAGTTTATCCCCAGTGGCAAGAACGAACTCGCTATTAGGAAAGGGGTGTGGACTGGTGATTATGGCTTGGTGGAGGGAATGGAGAGTTGCGAGACGGCGAGAATTGATACCGTCATTTGCAGTAATCACATAAAGCTGCATATTGCGTTAATGGTACTGACAAGTTAAGCGCTCTAGAGCAATAATACCTGGTTATCACGAATCATCGCTCTGATATATCCGTAAGAGCTTTCAAACTCAGGCTTCTCTAGTTCATCAAGTCGTATTTTTCGACCCTTTCTTCCCGCTACCATCCTATCAATCTCAACAAACAATCCTGGAAATGCAACTTCGCACTGATCATTTGACATGGCTAGATTCTTCATGTTGATATCTGACTGGGGGTGTCTTGATCCACATTGTCCTGAAAATGGGAGTGATGAGTGCTCAGAGGATAATGAACTTAAAAGGTAAAAGAATAGGAAAAGTGCAGCAAGCCAGAACGAAACGACGAGAACACTCGGCCGCGGCTGCGAAAATCGAAGAAGACCAAGCATGGTGAAAAATGAGTGAATGGTCTAGTCTGTCCTGGGTTGGCTTACAGTGGTGATTGTTCTTTCTGTGTTGAACACTGGGTCGATAGCTGCCCAGGAACGTAGAAAAGAAGGGAATATCGGCCAATTTAGTACCACTCGTCTCACCCCCTCCATCTAGAGTCATATATCTATACATTTTCCCCACCCGTAGCCCGTAGCCCACAAGGGCTAAGATCAAGGCATTATTATATAGGGGACCGGGGTCACTTATAGCTTCTCTCTGGGGGGTGCAACACACGTATTATCTCAGACGGGTGCAACCATCCGTAGTTTTAACCACTCAACTTACAGCAGTACCGAACACAGTCTATCCCTCTTCTTGCCACTCGTAGGGCTAAAAACAGTGGAACCTGCCCAGCAAAGATAAGTTCATTCTGCACATCCCTGGTGCCTGAATGTGAGACGTAAGCGCACACTCACAGACACTTACAGGCTTAGTGAGGCCGACTTTACAAGCCGTCTTGTCTGAATTATAACTATTCATTTCATAACGTTTTTAGACCTTATTGGGTCTGCAGATGGGCAGTAATCGTGACGTTTACAGACCCGTTCGCTCCGGAAACGCTGTGAATTTGCGAGTGGAGGCATCGAGAAACCCGAGGACCGGATATCTTTGAGGTTTTGGGTGTCGTGGATGTACAGCCGCATCTGAAAAGTATTGGCACCTCCGAGCCAAACTCACGAGGCAGTCCTTTCTGCTTTTCAATTCTCATATTCGAGACAATTGCCAGAGAGAGCTGCAATGTCTCTATTGCGGTCATACCTATCAATAAGTTGAGTATGCGCGAGTGCCATGGTTATTGGTGGGCCACAATTCATGAACGACTCAATATAGTAGGGTGCCAGTACTTTTCGAATGCGGCTGTACAATAAGCGGCATTTATTATTGGGCTATAGAGCTATCCGGACGCTGGTGTTTAGTAGGTTGCCAAGTGAGGACTTGGCATCGAAAGTTGCCGGATTTCACGAAATAATATATTATTTAACGAAGGGGACAATGAGATCTGTAAATAAAGTCGCAGAAAGTTTTGATTTTTGGTGGGTGGACAGCATCGCCAGGTGGGGGGATACACTTAGCTGTGATAACCTTAACGGTGTAAGTACAGGGTGGATATTGGGTTGTTCTGCGCCAGAGGTGTGTAGCTGATGGCCGGACGCAAGCCGGACGTAAAGTTGCTGAAGCTCGTATCCTTGTTCTAGATAATTCTAGTCCCCCTTTTATTATTGGTTGGACATGATGTGTAATTAAGCTGACGAGAACGATGAGGACCACCCAGGCGGAGGCGTCACTGCGCACATCATCTTTTCCCTGGCAAAATTCCTTGCCCATCATGTGGGCATCTCATAGACTGTGCCACCTTGGTTTCTCGACCTGCTAATAGTCGAATTTTGGTTTTATCCAGTCTGCCCATGGAAATCAATGGATGTCGAAACCGCCGAGATTGATACTCCTGTCATCACGATATCAGCATCTTCATTGCACATTTACCCTTTATTCAACTAAATACAGTGCCCGAGATCGAAAGGCTATACTGTATCTACACTAGCCTCATCTACAGTTTCATGGATCCGGACCCTGGGGTTTATTTTGACAGACCTGACGTTAGCTTGCCGAGAACTCGATCTTTCCAGCTTCAAATCCTGGGCGCGGAGAAAGCCATTCCCGTGATTTGGTGAACAACTTAGTCGTATCCGCAAAGCCGTTTGTTTACTGTTTAGGTTTGTTGTGTGGGCCGTGGACCGTAATTGACTTCTTCCTGCGCATGCGCCGGATACCGGTAGGGTACTTAAGCTTTTGCAGATCTCTTGGCATTATGAAAATCCCTGCAATAGTAGAATAGCTACAATAAGATCCTAGGACTTATCGATTACCTATCATGCAAAACAACTCGTCACGCTGACCTGGTCTGCAAGATAATGATATATAATACGTGCTTGTTGTCCATCACGGCGCCCTCGTGAGCACAACGTGTTTGGACAGAAGACGGGGTGGTTTTGTTTCATCCCTTCGTTATCAACGGCTCACCACAAAACTGTGAGACTAACGAGATCGAGAACTGTCACACAATAATCCTCGATCGATTAACTTTCCTAGACCATGTTCCACGCAAGGCCCGCCAGTCGCCGTTTCTCTTGGCAATTCTTGATCTGGGCAATGAATTTCCAGGCTTGGAAATCTTCTTGATATTAGAAACTAGTTTTACTTACCATTGCCAGGAGAAACGGCAACTGAGTTGTTACGGCCGTTTGCGCGCCTATTAATATAAGAACGGCGTTCTTCGTTAAATTTTCAGTTTTCACGGCGTTATCCTTATGCTAAGAAGCCGTGACAATCGAAAGAATACATATATTGGAATGGCAGTCATTGATTTTGCTAAAATATGACGGTTGCCCTAAACTACATGTACGTATCTATTTAGGAAGAACTATATACGCAATATTAAAACAGATTGACTCTACTTTGGCTCTACCGCAGCGATTTATGTGAGCGCCTGCTGCACAAGATTTTACTCTGTCTCATGGACATATCATCTGATCTCTGCCAAAGTTATTTTGTGCTTTGCCGCAAGTCGGAGATCTTCCAGTACCAAGACTCTAGAGGCAAGGGCGCCCCAACCCTACTTTAATTACATCTTATCATATAGATATTGCCACCGCAGTACTTTTTGCCCGGATCGGGCGTACGTGGCTAATATTTCTTAACATAGGGCAGCTCTAATGGGATATCACTCACTTTCTCACTTACTAAATATCAATCTGTCCTAATCTAGTAGTTATCACTCTGATCTCAATCATGGCATATCACTCACTACCGGAAAGGCCAAAAAAATGGATTTTTATTGAAGCTGTTTTTATAAAAAAGTAATCTAATGAATGTTATAACTCCACCGCATGCATGCAAAACCAACAACTAAACCAATCTAAATAAGAACAACGAATGGCAGCCGGCTAGAAGCATACGTATACTCCCTAGCCAGAACTCAACAGACCAGAATAAACCAAATAACAATCCACACGAAAGAAACCCAGATGCAATATCCCCAATCACCAGCGCTCGCTCACACACTCGCGCACACATCCACCGGCACTCATCCGCCCGCTCATTCGCTGACACTCACTATTTAATACTTGGGGCACTGACCACCAACGGCAACCCAAATCAACGCCCCGTTAACCTTAGTGCACTTCAAGTCCGCCTTCATATTTCCATCCAATCCACAGACCACATTTCCCTCCGTCGCACATGTCTCACAGGCCCTCCTCGTCGCTTGGAACGGCTTTCCCGACGGGCATCCATCGACCTGCTGGGGTGGGGTGAAGACACCGCACTTGTCCGAGTCGTCAACCGGCACCCAGCTCAGGGTTGTGCCAAAGGCGGTACAGATCAGGTCCGTGACGCGGTCCTCATCGCGGCCGCAAACGACGTTGCCGACGGTACTGCAAGAGGAGCAGCCGGCTTGGCCGGTGAAGGGTTTACCGGAGGGGCACTCGGGGACGGGGGCGGTGGTGGGGGAGGTGATGGGGCTGGCGGCGACGAGGATGCCAGCGAAGGCAACGAGGAGGAGGGAGAGCATGGAGAACATCTGCATTTTTAGATTGGAGGAGTGGGTTTTTGGAAGTAGAAGTTTTTGTAGAGGAAGATGGAGGCAGAGAAGTAGATTGAAGACAATTGAGAATCGAGAATCTGGGTTGATCTGAGCTGAGAACTGAAGGTGAAGATGAAGATGGTTGAGAAGGATGAGGAGGAGGGAAGAGAATTGAGGTAGGAATTGGAAGTTCTTTATACTGAAAGATTTCTGTAGTAGAGCAGAGAGATATCCCCCACACACACTTCACGACCTACAGATTTTCTGCGATCACCATTATTGTCCCGTCAAATCATAAGAATACACGCTAGACGTCGTCAGCAGATATCATTACCACACCTCTGTGCCGGCAAGCACCTCCATTAGAAATCTACTCTAATCGCAATATTCGGTCATAATGAACAACTGAGTAATACCGAGTGAAGTATTTGGAATGTTCATGACATCAAGTGGATGTAGGCGGATTTAGGTATACAGGTCGATATTACTCCTAAGAAAGAAAGGAAAAAGGTTTTGCAGCTTATCACGCAGTTTCTCCAATGGACGGGCTGCTCCGTAACTCACTTGCAGTACATGTATGATACAGCAAATTAGGTGAAATAAGTAAATAGTAACATTACCGATCGAGTTAGACACCCCGGCCATGTGGTCGAAAATTTCCCCAGATTTATTCTTACCCGGTGCCGACGTATGACAGTACATATACCGCCAGCCTTAGGATTGGTAACGGGGGGGGTCGTGCGTAAGTACCCAATCTTAAATTTACCAGCCGAAGCTATCCCCATGGTATTGGTATTGGGTTATCTGTAAGACCTATATCGAGAATAGTGCATGTAGAGTGTGTACATGCATTACCAAGAATAAGGTTGTCATTGGCGGCTGGTGCGTGGCTGTGAGTAAGGTAAGATGTGTGGCTATGACAACGCATGCATGCTCGGGATAGTTTCATGTTTATTTGCGATTGGAGCGTAACGGGTCCGTGAGGTCAAGTAATCACAAAAAGCGAGAAAACTGGGCGTGTGCAAAGACTTGCTAGTGTCTATTTAAGGATATCGTCGAGTGATATTCTATGAGGTAATTTCTTGAAGGCTAGGAGCTCTTCGATCCCCAGAGAGTTTTGTGTGAGAGTTGTTGAAAGTTCTCTATTCTTGGATATTGATGTGGGCTTTTACCCAACAAGGTGTTTATATTGTGACCCACCAGCCAAGGCTGTCATTCATTGACTGAATACATGTATATACTGAGTTATGAGGCCTGCTAGGAAAACAAATCCAGAATATTAAGGTCCATTATACTATATGATCGATCGCGGAGAGGATTCTAGTCAAAAGTCTTTGGCGGCATAATTGCTTCCAGCATGTACCTCTTCCGTTGCCCTGGTCTGAAAAATATCTTCGGTTGCCCTGGTCTGGAAAAATATCTTGCATTCGCGATCATTGGCCTACCTCCCGAACCATACCATTAGCCTATATTATATTATCAAGTCCTATGCTTTGCGCAACGAGCGGAGTTTTTCCGGTCCTATTAGAAGCCTTTTAGCTGCACGGGTTGAACAGGAATTCGAGCTTGGACAAGAGTTCCTGCACGCATTATTGGTTGAACGATTGAAGTCTCTTCCTATAACATGAGCTACGCGTCCTGACCAACCCGCTCGATTTTCGGTTCAACACGCGCAGTTAAAAGATTCTATTATTTAACCCATCAACCATAAATATCGATGATAAAAAATCACCTACTGTTCATCGCTAATATTACTTCTCATAATTATAGTAGTATGTAAGAAATACCAAGCCAGATCTGCACTTATAGGTAATTTTTCGGATTAATAGCTAGCACACCCAGCTGCAGCGCGAAATAATACGAACCCCCATGACCAGGAAAGCAAGAAAATCCTTACTCCAAAAAGACAATAAAAGCGAGTATATAGTGATGCAAAGGCACTGGTACAGTCACCATTCCAGAATATGCTTCGTCGTTTTTTCCTAAGGGTTTTTTCCGTTTTTTTTTTCTCTCCTACTAATTTAGTAACAAATGTCGAAGTGAAGGTATTCATCATGCTTTAAAGCCGAAATAATAAAAAGAAAATCATCGAGTGCATACCGATATAGGATCTTGGCATCACGATGACTCTCATGAGCTGACTTGTGGCAGCTATATCAGTCGAAATATCAGAAAGTTACAGCCTTCTAGTACATGTAGAAATGATAGTGATATGACAATAGATGCATATGGGGTACCTATATTATAAGACGTAATTTAAGTAAGGTTGAGCTAAGCACCCTCACCTCTGAAGTCTTGGTACTGGAATTAAAACTGTCAGCAACGCACAAAATATCTTTAGTAGAGATCAGATGATATGTTTATCAAGGATCACGGTTTAATTTTCACCCGGAAACTACTCCCACCACCGACCAGTTTTGACACAGACATTCTGTTTGCATGGGGCCACATACAGAGCATTCTGCCGCTAGATCACTTTCCTACATCTTGCACCGTCTGTCATTGGCATTTGAGGAAGAGCTGGTGCCAAGCAACACAAGTGCCCAAACCATGATATGGCAGCTAGAATGATATTTCATGTCCGAGCCTACATACACATAATTATCCATCTACATCTAATGCTCCGTCGACTCAATCACCTCTGGATACCTAAACCCAGCCTGCGCCCTCACGGTATCCATCGCCTCCATAACCAGCAACGACTCCTCCAGCGGTATAGTCTCACTCTCCAGCTTCCCGTCCCTCAAACACCTCGCGGCCTCATCCGCCTCCCAATGCATTCCCTTGCCCGCAGGCACTGGGCACTCCACCCTCTCAACACCTTTCCCGGCCACAACGATCGAGTATCCCGCTGGCGCATAGGCCGGGTGATCGACACGGATCTCGCCGAGCGTGCCTTGGATCTTGATGGCGGTGTGGTTGTTGTCCTCGGGGTCAGCGGCAACACGGATGCTGCTCGTGGCGATGCCGATCGAGTTGGGGAACTTCACGATGACGGCGTTCTCAACGTCGACGCCTGTGCGCTCGTATTTGGAGATTGTGCCGGTAACGGTGGGTTTGGATTTGGGCTTGACGGCAGCGGGGAGAGTGTGGTAGAGGGTTTGGTAGACCCAGGTTAGGGAGTAGACGCCGACTATGGGGTTTACAGGTTAGTTGTGATCCTTTGGCTTTTGGCTTTGTTAGAATAGATGGTGACTTACGATCTAGTAGTACTCCTCCGGCAAGATCAGGGTTCACCTGTGGCATACATCAGCATCTTCCATATCTGGCCGTCACTCTATTCCAAGAGCATCCCCGATCCTAACTCACCATCCTATGCGAATCATCATATTTCTCCTCCGGTGCCTGCGCCATACTCAGATCCGCAAAGACCCTCCTAACCTCTCCGATGCGTCCCTCCTTAATCAACGCCCTAATCTGCACACTGATCGGGAAGAACCTCGTCCACACGGCCTCCATCAAAAACAGTCCCTTATTCCTCGCCAGCTCCACCAAGATCCTGGTCTGCTCCGTATTGACCGTGAATGGCTTCTCACACACCACGGGCTTGCCCGCATTCAGCGCCATCAGGCATTGCGGAAAGTGGTGCGAGTGCGGCGTCGCAATGTAGATAATGTCGACGTTGGGATCGGCGATGAGCTCCTCGTAGCTTCCGTAGGCGGTGCCGTTGGGCGCGCCGACGTCGGAGAGAAAGGTCTTTGCCCGCTCGAGAGAGGTGGCGGAGGCAGCTGCTTGTACGATGTGCTTGATGTCGGTCACGCCGCGGGTGCTGGGGTCGAGGACAAGGTCCTTGGAGAATTCTGAGACGGATTAGAGGTGGTGATGCATGAGATGACACTGAGAGAATATACCTCCTGCAATCCAGCCGGGGCCTGTAGCTAGCTGTTAGCTTGGTGCTCTGGTAATTGATATCTGGCTGTGAAGAATGGCATACCGAGGATCCCCCAACGAACAGTGTATGGCGCAGACATTATCTCAAGAAGTTGCTGGTAAGTTAAAACGGTATAAATAAAGCAGTACTTGAATTCATTATACGGTTTGGGAGCCCCATCTCTATTTATATCCACTGCCCCTCACTGGCAGCACTGGCACTAGAGGCGGGGATCCGGGCGTGGTTTGTCGTCTGTTTACGCTTTACCCGACGCCCAGGGAAGCTTCTCGCCTAAATGCGGGGAAACCAGCCCGAGAATCCGATACTGGCTAACCATACCGTAGTGCCTGCAGCTTGGACGTCATCGGAGGGGAGCCCCGGGGCAGCACTCCGGAGGGGAGGTTTTGTTGTGTTCCGGGCTTGAGCTTAAAACTCTCTGGGAGATCGGTCTTGTCTCCGTATGGGTCATGTGTGGAATAGATGCAGCTGGTGGGGATGCACAAGTACATATGAGTATCCTTGCAGATGCTCATCATGAGGTTAAAACCCGGATGCTAGTGCTTAGCAATTGGTTTCGGACTTAGGGACTCGGGTGTTTAATGATACTTTTTATGATATCAGCGCAAGTCTAGATTCCTATGGGAACATATCGCTCGAACTCTGCTCGCAGTCTCTTTGCAGGGTACAGCTTGTTATGCTTCTTGGAGTGTTCTTTTTATCCCTCTCTCGAAACATGTGGGACCGGTCATTGGCCGTTTGGCCTGAAACGGTAGTGACTGAAATCGAAGCACGTGTTCAATTAGGAATCGACAATAGTAATTTTTTTCAAATTTAATACGTTATCTCAATTGAGAGTACCTACATAACTGCATGTACTATGACATTTTGCGCAAACCAGTCAGTACAAGATAAAGGGACGAGCACCGATTGATCTTCCATGACGCATACCCCAATGCGCAGTATACATCTAAGCCACAGCATCCATACCACTAAGCTATCGAAAAACAGAAATAAAAACGGCTAGTTGTCATTCTAGCAGAGTGCCACAGGTTACACCTTAGTATAGTTATGAGTGAGTGAGAGATGGTGTTTGGGGGTTATTTTGCGTCTATTTTGGGAGATAAATGGTTTTTCGGATGCCACTGCCCTTTTGACGGCTTTTAAATAGTGTTATCTCCAGTGCGCGGCCCTTTTCGTCTCTGGGTATCATCACGGAGTGGATGGGTTCGTTTTTGGGAGTCATGACTGATTGATAATTCATTAATTGTTTGCAGCTCGGCCTGGGGCTGACAATATCTGACAAGTAGCATCAACGAAAACAAGGAAATAAGATACCACAATACAATAATGCAATACAAGTCTCCAAATACAGTTTGTTTTCTTTTCGTTCCTCCCTTCGTCAAGCTGCCCTTAGGTTACCCACCCCATTTCTAGTTCTCTCAACTCGCTCACTTCTCTCTAGGCTGTCGGAGCCAGGACAGCTCGAGCTGCTCGGAGGTTTTTTTATACGACGACGACGAATGTTGTGGGTGAATGTTAGTTTCTTGGGGCGATGAGGATGTAGATGGTGTATATGTTGATCGTTCTAAGAGTCTTTTCAAATGAATTTGATCTAACTGTTTTATGGTTGTGGTGTTCACTAGTATATGTGATGAGTTGGGGTCGTGACCCGGAGGTGCGGACTTTCTTCTTCCTCATCAACATGACGCGGAATAATCTCCCTCCTGTAGTTTAGGCTGTTTCTCAGCTAAATGTGTTCCGTATTCGATACGGGATTGACATTTCCATAGGTTTTCTGTTGGTTGTTATGCCGTAAACAGAATCGTCTGCGTTGGCTTGTTCGTGCATAGCGTTTGATAACTGGTTTTTCGCATCTCTCTGTATGCCGTGATTCACCTTGGGTATCCCATTAACATTCGCAAAGTTACAGTAACGTACTCCCTCGAAAAAGAGGGATTCCTGTGCTCTATCGCTTCGAGGATGAGGGACATTGGGTATATGTTTCAAGTAGCAGTCTCCACGATTGGTTTCTAAAAATTATTGTTGCCGATTCTTGGGTATTGAAATGATCCAATCAGTGAGAATAATGTGATAATGAGGCAGAGGTGAATAAGGAAGTAGACCGCCGGCCACGGACAAGCCGAACGTCCATAGAGTACTTCGGTATAAGAGGAGGTATGCGACATTTCGAATAATTATAAGTGCCGTCACCCCCCCCCCCCCGCCCCCAAGGCCCTCCGCAATAGCTCCACATCCAATCACCGCCTCTCTAGCTCAATCTCCACCCACCTCTCCAACGCTATCTGCTCCTCCTGTACATACCCGCCAAACAACCCCGGACACGCCTCCACCAGCACACACGCCACCAGGTGCACACACACCGGCACATCCCCCTCCCCTCGCATCCTACCCCCCCATAATCCGCCTTCTTCACCCATCCCCATCACCTCCCCCGCTCCACCCCCGGCGCCCCGGCGCCCAAACGCGGCCCACGCAAATGCCCCGCAGCTGCACCACCACGCCGCAGGGCGCACCACGTGTACTGTGGCAGAAGAGGACGACGAGACGAAGTATGCGTATTTCTTGCTGTGTGCGGCGGGGCGGCAGCGGTGCACGCGGCGGTGGTCGAGGAGGTCGAGCGCGGGGAGGAGCGTGCTCGGGAGGAGGTGGGAGAGTGCTAAGAGGAGGTCTTGGGACGAGGGTGGGAGGGTGTGGAGGGTGTTGGGGCCGGGAGATGCGGGGGTGGGGTGCTGCTGGTGCAGGGTGGTGAGGAGGGTGTTGAGGAGGTGGCGGGGGGTGGGGAGCGACATGATACTGGGGTTGGTGGAGGTGGGAGTGAGGCTTGTTGTGGGGTTTGATTAGTAACCACCAATGTCTTCTGCCGGTGGCAGGAGAAGTCCCCAGGCGAAAAAACTGTGGTCCTTAATATTAAACAGTGCGTCTTACACTTATGCATGTATTAATATGTATAAAGTATAAACAAGTCGATAACCGCTGGTTCTGACCCTCAGTCAGGACGAGGCGGGGTGCTAGCTCAGCCTAGCTGGGAGGAGGCAGCGCCCAGGGTTAGGTGTATGTCGAGGAAATGACCGGAATGCAGGAAACCCCGAGGATGTCAAAGCCTCGCCCCTTTGCGATGGATATACCCGCAGTTTCCTTATATTCAGAAAAGGAAGATATATGGACTGTCTGCAGACAAGAGACATTGCCTTTCCTATGTCACGAGCCCCCCATAGAGTTAAAAGCAGCAAAGGAAACAATGTGAACATGGGGTTGGACGTGGCCCAGTGGTATAGAGCTCACACTCTATACCGAACTCGTGAGCGTTCAACCCCCCCTCCGGACCGGACGTAGAAAAGATGTAGCAACCGAGGCTTAGGCGGGGTGTTGTGAACTTTTTTGTTCTTTTTTTGTTTTGTATAACTTATTGATGTCGAGCGGGTGTTTTTCTTATTTTTATTTTTTACTAGAGGTTTTCCCGTTTGTTACCAACCGGAATCATTTCATGACGCACCATCTCAATTTATTCTATCAATTCAAACCAGGTTGGTGAATGGAATAAAGCCTTACGTTTCTCTTTTTTCCTGCTACTCTGGCCTGGAACACCTTTTTGCCTTTGAAAATACTTTCCCGGGCGGAGTAAACAGAACAGTCATTCCATTGAAGGGCTGTTCCGCCATATTCCAGTACTCCCTTAACGTTCTATGTAGGAAGCCTGGGTGCAGGGCCAATCATCACCCGCCATTTGCGAAATTTCTTTTCGTCCTGACCTTTTATATATTAGGAGATTAGTAGATGATCAATTGATCAAGGCTTGAACCGATCAGCTGATGTCTGGCCTATTCAGTCTCGTAGAGGATGTACGCAGTAGAGTGATGAATACTAACTCCTATAGTTTGCCCCTGCGACCCGATAATGGACTAAACTAGTGGTATAGCTGGGCCGGGTCTCAATCTTTCCCTCTTACTTCCAAGGAAACCTCCAATAAAGCCCAAAGCGTGCTCGGTTCTTTATAAAGATAGTTTAAACCCCACAGAAAACCAAAGGTTGGTCCAAAATCTTGGCTTGTCCACTGACAGATCCACTGTGGCTATATATGTGCCATAAGGTTTTGGTTAGGCATCAAACCGGACGAAAAAAAACCAACGATTGTTCACCAAAAAGGTTGAAGCGAATTGTTGGTGTCGGCACTGCGGATCTGGATTTCAATGATCTCCTCATGGTTTAATTACTAGATGTTATCATCAAGGAGCTCCAGGGCGGAGGACTAGCGGATGAGAATAAGCTGGTAGATAGCCTCGAGCTAGGTGAGTTTAGGGTTGTTTATAGCTCTCCCTATGATGCGTTCGTTCAACTATCTATATCTTTGAGTTTAAGTAGAATGGAGTAGACTTTCCTCGAGCCTTCAGACGGCTATGAGTAGAGGATGAATTATTGAATCAACTATATCTAAGAAGGAAACCGAGTGATGTTTGATGACACAGCAAATACTGGCCTTCCTCGTGGAGAGGCATAGTTAAAGTTGAGCGTATTAAGAGGTTATTAACTAGTTTGGTATTCCTCTAGACATGCGATGTGTCGTTTATAATATCCTAGGGGTTGGTTGAGAACAGACATAGAGAGGGTTAGGTGGCTCCGGTTCGTCTTGGCACGTTAGTGTCAAGTACCACTCCTGGGCGTTGCAAAACATGGGCGAGTGGTCTAATCGGTAGACTGCTCGTCGGGTTAGACACCGAGTGTTTGTGCTCAGGGCGATGGAAGGCTCTGGGTTCAAGCCAGGGGTGGGAGTAGTAACTGGAGTTAATCGCCGGTTGCAGTACTTTTTGTTCTTTTTTTGTCGGAAGCAGAGAAAATAAATTAGTGGTACTCGGGGTTTTTTATTTACTCTCTAGGAGGAAAAGGCGTATTTGTAGTCTTGCGACAGATGTTATCTTACAGATCCCCGGGAACGAACATATAACGGGTCATCAGTCATATCAATCTAAAAAAGTATAAAACTACACAAAAAAGATATCCAAAAACTCGTCACAACTCATCGTCATCTGTCCCTCCTGATGATTCGTTTATTTCCGGGAGTTCCACGACTGGACTCTCTTCCTTCTTTGTCCTTGCCGGCTGCTTCCTTGCCGGTGCCTCTGCCTTGCCTCTACCTCTACCTCTTCCCCTACCTCGCCCTCTTCCACCTCTCCCTCTCACCGTGGGCTGCTCCTCCTCCTCATCTTCCTCCACCGTATCCCCTACCTGCGTCTGGGATTCCTCCGGCGTCTTTATCAGTGTAAACGCTTCAAACGGCTTTCTCGGGGTGGTAGTTCATCGTCGTCAATGTCACTCCGATCCGACGGCACGTTGGGGCGTATATAACCCTCTTCAGAATCTTCCGTATCCTCTGTTTTATCACTTGGCGGCGGTGCAACGGACTTCCCTTTGTCGACCTTCATTTTTACGAAACCATCGGAGTCTGACTCGCTGGGCGGGGCGACGGGTTTGCGTTTTCTACTCGCTATCGTGGCCTTTGGTTTGTCACGGGATGCGCGGGTGGGGGCAGGAGCTGGCGGCGGCGATGGACTAGGTTCTGGCTCGGGCTTGACTTCTACAGATCCTTGCGGTCCAGCAGGGCCTGGGCCTGTGGGGGTTCCGGTGGCCTCCTCTAGCGCACGGGATAGTTCGCGGATCTTGCTCTTCTTGGAATTGAGGAGCAGGGCGAACTTGGAGAGGAGCATCTCCTCGTGTTCTTTTTTAAGGTCTACGAGGGTGCTGAGCTGTTTGGTAAGTTTTTGGATCGCTTCTTCCTGGCTTTTTAGCTGTGATTGGAGGTCCTTGAGCTCGGACTGTAATGCTTTGTCAGTAATTGCCGTCTTGCGTGGGATGAAATACTTACAGAGCTATCTGAAACGGCACCACAGCTCTCGATGGCCCATTCGAAAATAGGAATGTCTTCTTCTACCTCTGGGAGCTTGATGGCGGCGATACGCTGCTTGATTCCACCAATATCTTGGCGGATAGTCAGCTGTTTCGGCGGAAATTAGCATCTCAAGCTACTAATATCCGAGCCGATAAAAAGCGCATACAGTTATATAATTCTTATCTACTGAAGCTGCCATCTCAACCCCCCTGGGGACCAGCTGTGGCTCCGTGATTGGAATCTTCAGCAATACCGAAAATATCCTCTCCAGCTCTGCGACACTGCCGGTGTAGGACTTGGCCCGGAGCTCATCTAGTTTACTCTGTTTCACTACTCCCGAACCGACCAGTCAGCCACTGCTCATTTCTTTCAGGCGGCAAAACGAGACAAACATTTGAATCCAAAAGCTGACTCCCCGTCAGTCGCGTGCAGCTGTAGGTTTAGCGGCGAGGAGGCATTCGTGGGCGTGGTGTGGAGAAGTATATATTGGTTTTCATCTGGCGTGTCGTTTCGTAAGACACGCAAAAGTGTCCCCTTTGCTTGAGTCGCCGCCATCTCCGTCTTAATTTCGCGTCGTAACTGTTTGAGGAGACGCGACGACAACAGTGGGTTGGAATGCGTCGCGCGCGTTAGAGGTCGGAGTCATGGTGTGCACGTGATGTTACACTAATTACGTGTTTCGAGTGAGAGATTGTGCAGCGTTAATTACCACACGATATTACATAGGTATCGTCATAGTCGTCAATCATTATGCACGATGGCACTTTCTTGCTTTCTTGATGCCGGATGGTGGTTCCTGCAGAGGGCTTGCTGCGGAGTTAAGCTTAAGCTTATCTCACTCTGTGGGCCAAGGCGGTACGTTTACTCCTTAGTTACATGTCCCGTCTGCAAGGCGTCACGGATTCTCCGCTTAGTCAAGGCAATTGAGGATGTCGTGTTTCACTGCATACAGCATACAGCATAGCATGGGAGAGAGAAGAGATACATTGCGGATTATTGCCTCTAGGGTTCGGGGGTTTTGGTATTTCGGAAATGTTTCAGGGAGGACTCGGAATGTCCAGGAATCCCGAGTGTCAGGATGAGCCTGCGAAAAACAGCTTATGCCGCCGAAACTCATTCCGGTCATGCGGGTAGGTTTTTCGAGCTTGGGGTAAGGTACTTAAGTTCTCTAGACCTGGGGGGGGGGGGGGGGGGGAGTGGGGAATCGGGGTAGTTGGGGGCTACTTGCGAGCACTGCGGGGTAACTATCGGACAAGTGGTATGTCGATGAGTACGGATAACAGTAGATACGCACGATACAGATGGCCAGAGGCAGTAAGATGAAGTGCTCCTTAAATGTCGCAACATAGAGTAGCTGGAGCTCATATAGCTTGTCGGGATAAGGTTTTTAATTAACTATCTCAGGCAATTGTTGAATCTCTGATGCGCGATATTGCGCAATCACGTGAAGAGGGAATTTATCTAGGGTTAGGGGACAGTGTCAGATTACCGTAGTCCGCATATGGCGGTAATCGTCACTAGTGCGTCAGAGCGTCCAACGTAACCCCATCATCTCATTTTCAAGGCCCAAGGGAAGGAAGGGCAGAAGGACGGGGACAGGGCAGCGCAGGGAAGCGAAGGGAAGTTTGATTACAATCTGCGATAGATGCCTATCTGTGTGTGAGTGTATTTGTAGGATTATGTGAGTATATGTGTGAGCGAGTGAGTGCTTGAGTGAGTGTTCAACCGCAGTCCGGGACACAAGGAAACAGGAAACGGAGAGAGACAAGGCGGGCAAAGGCAGGCAGGCAACTAGGGGACGTTACTCTACAGGCTACCTATCTCTGTATCGATCGAGAAACAAGAAACACGGCCTGTGAAAGGGATGCTGTTCTAAACAGCCAGACAGACAGGACAAACAGACCAGCCACAGGGTCCAGACAGACAGAGTCCCATTGGGGAATTACCGTCATCTTAAAGGCCATCTTCTTCTTGACCTTCTTCTTCTCATCTCCACAAACCAAAAACCCCATACTCGCACCACACATCACATAAACCTCCCCCCATCCTCGTGTTTGCTCTCTATTCTCCTATTCGTCTATCTACAGTCTAGATAGCTTGCATTTGTGATTGTGGCTTGCTCACTCGATGATTTGAACTACATGAGCTAATCTACATACACTTCTACTTACACCACCACCACTCTACAACTGCTGCAGTAGCCATCACATCACATTCCTCCCCCACCCACAAGCTTTCTCCGCATTATTCAACAACCTCAACCTCTCAACACTTCCCCCACATTCACACCACACCACATCGCTCACACACCCTTACAAAAGGTACACAGGCTGAGAGAGAGAGAGAACAAGAGAGACCACACACCTACCCATACTCTCTAATACATGGACACTCAAGATGCTCCCTCTTTGCCCTCGCCACAGAATACAGAAGGAGAGGTTGAGAGATCCTCTACCACCAGTTCCGCTCCTCAAAAAATGCCAAACTCAACGTGCTCCTCCCCAGGTCCCTTAGAATCCGTAGACGAGCTCTACGCCAGCTCAACCTCCTCTGCCTCGCCCGCTTCACCCAAGCCCGCCTCTCCAGTGTCTCAGCGCTCCATCTTCCGTCCGCCCACCGAGTCGCAGTCGCCGTCGCCACGTCCCCCACCTCGTGCCTCACCTGCTAGAACAACCGAGGACCCCCGCTCAGTACTGTTTGATGATCATGTGGCATCCGCACATGTTCCGGGCAGTCTACATCTTGCGCCAGATAGCACCATCGAGCGCCTCATCGAGCGCCAGGGTGCAATCATGTTGATTCGTCAGCTTGCATCTGACCTAGCTCACCGAGACCGCGAGCTTGTGTCTGTACGTCGGCGCGCAGAGGAGCGCGAGAGGGCGCTCAAGCGTATGCTAGTGGAGGTGGAAGTCTCGAACGCTAATATTGAACGTCGGCTTGCCACGGCAACGTTAAGCAGGGAGGACACTAGCTATACTGAGAATATTGACGAGATGATGCAGCAGGCAATGAGCGAGGAGGACACATTCAGTGTTGTAGACGACTCATTCAGTGAGCGTATAGACTGGGATGACGCTGCCGGGGATGACCTGATCACGCCAAAAGCAACGATACGGGCACGTTCGGGAGTACGGGACAGCGACACCTTCTCGATCACATCGGCCGGGTCCACGAGTCGGCGGAACTCTGCGCTGCGAGGCTGGAAGGAATACTTTTGGGGGCCCAAAGGAGCCCAGGAGGAGTACAACAGGGGCCGACCCGCATCACTATTGGCTAAGCGGAGAGGTATCACGAATGAGACTTTTTCGCCACCGCCAGGCCTGGATCGAAATGATCCAGATAGTAGGGCGTCGAGTAGAGCGCCGTCGATATATAGCCCGACGTCACCGGGGAAGCAGGGGCGGGCAGCAAATTTCCAGATTTCTTCTACGATACGGGGGCCTGCGCCGCCGCCGTCGTCGCTATATACTTACCCCCATTTCGCTTCCGACCAGTCTCACCCTACACCGCCGCATTTCCATACTGCCTCATTGTCCCATAAAGACGGGGGTGTTGGTGATCCTGCCGATAATCTGGCAAGAAGGCGGACATCTAGCACAGTCGCCGCCTGGGCCCTGCGCCTCGTAGCCAACGCCCCGCCGACTGACCAAGAGAATCAGCAATATAACCCCAAGAGTCCGCAACAACGTAGTGTCAGCGGTCCCGCTGAACCCTCAGACCGCCGTCTTAGCGCTAGCTCGATTAACCGCGAAGACCTGCAGCGCATCATGGCTAAAAACACGGCTAGGGTTCAACCCAGTAGTCCCCGCCGGCGCGCCCTCTCCTCGGCATCTAACGGTGGCGCACCACCGGCTAAGTTCTTTCCAGCGACAGGGGATGCTAGCGCTAGTGGAGCGGCAGTGGGCCCAGTGGAGATGGATACCATTGTACCGCATGCGGTGCAGCCGCCAACGCTATTACAGTGCTGGAATGAGTACTATCCTACAGACTACCTGACGGATAGGTTTGGTTTTATTTATAATAAGGATCGGAGGAATAGGACTGAGGTTCCAGCGAAGTCAAAAGGGCCAAAGGATGATGAGGAGGCAGAGCGCAGCAGTTTTAGCAGTGCTGACATAGAGTTTCCGGCCACTGTCACCACTTCCGCTACTGCCTCCTCTGCCAATCACACGTCTAATGAGGAGGGTGTGGGCAATGATGCTGCGGACCCAAAAACACCAACAAAGTGGCAAGAACTACTCACTCGGCCTCCATCACCAAGTGTGGGTGCATCCAACGTCTCTCCCAAAGCGTCAATCAATGAACCACCTGCAAGTCGCAGAGGCAGTCTCGCAAAGCCTAAACCACAAGCTATGTCAATCCTTGACAAGCTCAGCACACCCGCACCACCCACATTCTCTTCGGCGCCCCTTGCCATACGCTCCCCACTCCACTCAGACCCCACCAACGGCACCGTCCGCCTACTCCTCGGCCAGCTCAGCGACCTTCACGATACTCTCCAGCGCGACCGTTCTACGAAATGGAACGAATTTTTCCGCCATATCCGACGCGACCGTGAAGAAGCCCCAGAAGGCAGCGGTGTTGGTGACGGTGAGCTCATCGGCATTTCTACCCTCGGTCGTGGCGGAAAAACCCGCTGGAAGGAGTTCAAGTCGCTCGTACTGGGCGGTATTCCAGTTGCATACAGGTGGAAAGTGTGGGCGGAGTGTAGCCGTGCTACTGCCTTAAGAGTGCCTGGCTACTATGAGGATCTGCTAGTGAATGGAGCCGATGACCCAGGAGTTCTGGGACAGATCGAGATGGATATCAATAGGACTCTCACGGACAATATCTTCTACAGGAAGGGCCCAGGAGTCGGTAAGCTCAAACAGGTTCTTGTAGCGTATAGTCGTAGGAACCCCGCAGTGGGGTACTGTCAGGGTATGAACATGATTGTAGCGAGCTTGCTGCTCATCATGCCGAGTGAAGAGGACGCATTTTGGGTACTATGTAGTATTGTGGAGAAGATACTCCCAAAGACGTATTTCGAGACTAGTTTGCTTGCGTCGAGGGCGGATCAACAGGTATGATTCCCCATTGTCTTGTGCTGTAGTCACAGCCTCTCACTCGTTCCAACGACGCCGCTAACTCTACCACAGGTGCTAAAGCAGTATGTCCGCGAAATCCTCCCCGCCCTCGACTCCCACTTGTCGAAGCTTTCGGTTGAGCTTGAAGCCCTCACCTTCCAATGGTTTTTGTCAATCTTCACCGATTGTCTCGCCGCGGAGGCACTCTTCCGCGTTTGGGATGTTGTTTTGTGTCTCGTCGGCTCTCCGTTCCTGTTCCAAGTGGCTCTAGCGCTACTCAAGTTAAACGAGAAAGCACTGCTAGACTGCAATTCCGCTGCGGGGGTTTACAGCTATCTTAACGGGGAGATGACGCATCAGGGCATTAGTATCGATGGACTTATCAGGGAGAGCGATGCAATGAGACATGTGGTTAAGAAAGTAGATGTAGAGAGACGTAGAGAGAAGGCCGTCGAGAGGGAGCTGGCAGATATGGCAGGAAGTGAGGCGGCCCCTGACGATATTGCTGCTGCTATGGAGGACTCAGTTAAGTCGCAGGAGCCTGTGGTGTCTCCGGACCCAGCTGTTCCCCCGGAGACGGTTGTTTCTCCGGACCCGGTGGTCTCGGAGGCGACAATCACGCCGCCGCACCCGCTTTCGCCTGAGACTGCGCCAGTGGTGTCTGAAGCAGAAAGCCCACCTGCACCGGCTAAAGCGTTACCGGAAACGGTGGAGGAGGTGGGGGAGGTGGGGGAGGTGGGGGAGGTGGGGGAGGTGGTGGGAGAGGTGGAGGAGATGGAAGGGAAGCCGATAGTAGTGATGGTGGAGGACGTGGACTTGAGTGCTACTAAAAGCCTTGAGGTTTCGGTGTCTTTGACCCCCACTCCCGAACCCGAAATTGAGAAGTCGGAGAGCTCGGTGATGTCGCCTAGGTCGTCGCCGATGCCATCGGCTGCTGCGGCTGCAGTGTTGTTGTCCGCTATGTAATGTGAAATGGGGATATGTGAAAGTGTGCTTTTTATACCTTTTTCTATCTTTTGACATTGGTTTGGGTGGGGCGTTGGGATTTATCTTTTTTGTCCTGTCTGTTTTGTGTTTGCGTAGGGCACTTTGGTTATATAAAGTGGTATTACCGGTGTTTTTGTATCTATTTCCTCTCTCTCTCTTTTTTTGTCTTCCTTTTTAGTTTGTTATATTGGGTGTTTTTCTTTTCTTTATCGTTCTCTCTTTCCACTCTCTAGGGTCATTGGTTCAGGTACTACTTGGTTTATTGGTCGATTCTAAATAGTGGTCGGCCGGGGTTTTTTTCTTGTCTTTTCTCATACCAATTGCGAATATCATTTACGGAGTTTGTCGCTTTTTTTTTTCTTTCTTCGCTTTTTTTGTTTATCTATGCTGTCTATCAGTACTGTCTGTGGCTTGGGTCTGGTTAGGTTATGTTATGTTAGGTCGGGTTTGGTTTGGTCTCTGGTTTGGTTTGGTTTAATTTCGGTGTTTCCTTTTCCCTTTTCTTTTTTTATTGTTCTACATACTACTTGGTCATCGTAGATGCGAGGGGATGTCAGACTACTTACTTAACTTTACATACATACATCTGCATGGGAGAAGGAGAGATAAATTATACTCTTTTCCTTTATATTTTATCTAGAACAAGGGCGGGGGATATAGCGTAGAGGAGAGTGGTGATGGGGGGTACTATGCATGTAGTATGTAGTCGTATATACAACATAATATGTTATTTACGGGCTTTCTTATACCAAGTGCTTTTTAGATAGTACGGAGGGGAGGGGAGGGGGAAGAGCATGGGGTGTTCCATGGGTTCGCTTCAAGGTGGTTTGAGCATTCGAGAAGTGGCTAATAATATGATTCTTAGATTTTATATATCGCGGCTTCAGTGAATAATAGGTCTATAAATATTAATTTTCGAATTATTAGGCCACTATCGTGGTGCGAACTTTGAAGTCTCTTGAATCCAAGAAGGTTAGATGTTCTCCCATGCCTGCAGAGGGCGTTACTAACCCCCACGCCAACCATTAACCTGGTCCAACGCTAGCTCAACAAACTACGAACAAAAAGAGAGTTTGAATAAATACATGATAATCTGCCTAACAGATGGTTTCGTGGTGTAGTTGGTTATCACACAAGTCTAACACACTTGTGGTCCCCGGTTCGAGCCCGGGCGAAATCATTCCTTTTTTTTCATTTTCCCCTCTTGAATCCGCGGACGTTCTGAAGTGGGGAAAACTTTTGCTGTTTGAGATTTTGGTTGCCAGGAAGTTATGCAGTGATCCTCACAGGGATAGATGGCGGGTATCTGTATGTATGCTTTTCTTTTTCTGCGTTCGGATCGGCGGGTGGCCAGGTTAACTGTTGGGTTTCTGGTACTTGTATTGCCTTGTGGTCTTTGTATCGGAACATTTGTGGGTTTTAGATCATTACCCTTCAAACCTTGGGCCTGGGTAAGAAGAGGCAGTGGTTGGGGGGGGGGGGGGGGGTTCTGTGTGATCGCGTAAACTACGGCCCCCGAAACGAGAACTTGGATCATTGACACCCCCCTTCGATCCCTCTCCCCGGTCAAGACCCTGTTAGACATACTCCCATCCTAGGGCATGAGCATGAGCATGAGCATGAGCATGGTGGTTCTTGGATGTTTCAAATAGCGGTTTTGAGCCTCCCCCTTCCCCACCTCCGTGTGTTAAACCACGGTCGCTACATAGTGTTGATTTCAAATAATGCCAGAGTGGTTAGAGTTTGACTGCACACGTGCGCAAGACCTGGATTTACTGTGGTACATACCACGCTCCTGGCGTGGGGTGTTGCGGCGCTTTTCGGGATTTGGATTTGTGGTCATAATATTCTTGGAATCCGTAGTGTTGTGATGTTGGAGCGATGTTATATCATGCTCTCCCAGGGTGTGTTTTCGGCTGTCGTTTCGTTTCGTTTCGTTTCCCGACTCTACTTTGGCTGTATAGCTGTGTGTAGTTGTGTTTGCGCAGCTGCAGCTGAGAGTTTGCGGTTGTCTCTTTCTTTAGTGTTGTCTTTGCGGTAACGTCTGCAGCTGTTTTATCGTCGAAAACCTTTACTGTCGGTGGGGTTCGCTGTCGATATAACACGGCTAGATCACTTCTGTAGAGCTACAATATATATGTAGCTAGCTAGAGTAGAGCTACACACGCATGCATCACCGCGCCGCACCCGCACCCGCATCCGCATCCGCTGCGCAGGTGTCAGTCTAGAGTATGCACCCTCCCTCCCTCGCAGCCACGCACATGGCAGCTCTGTCCCACCTCGGTAGGTACTCCAGGCACTCTACGAGTCTAAGGGTGGATGTAGGTACTCGCGATAAAGTAGATTTCCGAGAGAGCGCCTCGATCATTGGCGCCGTGTGTGTGTGGAGAGGGTGCACTGGCTTACATAATGCGGCCCCCAACAGTCATCTCTGGGGGCCAGGAACGTGTGTGCCTGGTGACCGGGGTGCTTGTTGGGATGATGACTGACATCACACGCACGCCGCGGTACTGCACAAACGAGACGGCTCTGCTGCTTTCTATCCCCCTGGGCGACGACCACTGCTTGTTCTTCTTCTTCTTCTTCTTCTTCTGCACCGTAACCACCGTCACCGCTACCACAACCACAACTGCCATCGTCACCGCCACCACCACCACTGACAGCAGGAGAAGCAGAGATAACAGCAGTTCCAGGACGAATCCAGAGATCAGAGAGCTTCACTTAGCAGACCATCGAGCAGACACAGCCAGTCAAACAAAAACACAAAGACAGGAGATACTAGCTAGCCATGACACAGCCCTGGGACTACATCGCCGTACTCCCCCCCCCCCCCCCCTCTTCTACTCCAAACATCCACTAACAACCCCCCAGAAAGTCGTCAACATCGGCGACAGTGGCTGCGGCAAATCCTCCGTTCGTCTCCCCCCCCCCCCCCCCACCCCCTCTCCCCATCCCACCCCCTCCCGTTCACCACAACTAACACTCCCCCCTAGCTCACAATCCGGCTCTGCGAAGGCCGCTTCACCCCCACACACGACGTCACCATCGGCGTCGAATTCGGCTCCCGCATCATCCCCTGCGACCCCACCTCCACATCCCCCAACCCGCCCAAAATCAAGCTCCAAATCTGGGACACCGCCGGCCAAGAGTCCTTCCGCGCCATCACGCGCTCCTACTTCCGCGGCGCCACAGGAGCCCTACTAGTCTACGACATTACGCGGCGCGACACATTTACGCATGTCCAAGGGTGGCTCGAGGAGCTGCGGGGCGCGGCGGAGCCGAACATCAGCATAATACTCGTGGGGAACAAGAGTGACCTGGCGGATGATGGTGAGGGGGGGGGAGGGAAGAGGGAGGTGGGGGTGGAGGAGGCGAGGGAGTGGGCGAGGGTTAATGGTGTGAAGGCGGTGGTGGAGACGAGTGCGAAGACGGGAGAGGGCGTGGAGGAGGCGTTTGTGGATGTGGCGTGCGAGATTTATCGGAATATTAGGGACGGCGTGTATGATCTGAATGACCGCAGTCATGGCATAAGGGCGAACTCGAATACGGCGAGGGCGAGCTTGAGTATGGATGAGACGGTGAAGGCGAGGGGCGGGTGCTGTTAGCTGTAGTGGGGGGGGGGGGTGTACTTGGCTAGTTACTTTTTTTTTGATTGTGCTTGTGTTTTTTTTCTCGTTTTCTTTTTTTCTTTACTTCTTTAGTTCTGCGGTTGGTTGGCCGTGGTAGTAGAGGTTGCGGCAGCGGCGGCGGTAGCGGGAGAGAGCTCTTGCTAGCTGCTGGGGGAGCTGCGATTCTGGTTTCTTTTCTTTGGGCGCTGGGATAAGGACATCATTCGGGGTTGGGTTTTTTTTTCTTCTTTTGTTTTTCCTTACATATATTTGGCTTGCGGTACCTAATGATCACCATACGTATGGGGGGCATCTCTTTTGTTACCGCGCACAAATCTTTTCATTTTTCTACAAAGGTCAAAAATACATAAACACATAAATACATACACCATTTCAGAGCTGATAACCATCGCCGCGAGAGAAGAGAAAGACCAAGAGAGAGAGAAAATGCAAATCCGTTTTATTACCGTGCTGATTACTTACCATAACGCCTCTAGCTAAGTTAACTGTTTTTGCCTACAAAGGGGTGGGCTGCTACTTCCCCACCTGCTACAAAAAAAAACCACAAACCAATCATTACCCTAAAAATCCATCTCAACGCCCACACTCGCCCCATACCACCCCTTCACCCCCTTCGCCCCCCCCTCCCCCAGAAAGCCCGCAATTCCCCTCTCCCCCTCCTCCAAATCCTCCGGCCACTCCACTTCCACCCCCAACCCCTTACTCCCCCCCGCCTTCTTCCCGCCAGGCGCCCCCTCCAACATATCCCTCGCCGTACTCCAACTAAACCGCACCACCTCCGCTCTCCACCCAAACACACTATCCATCTCCCCCCTCAGCCACTTCTTCGTCTTCTCATCCCCCGGATACCCACTCCCCGCCGCCGCCGCTCCCTCACCCCCAACCAATACCTCCAGCGCCTCGTCCCTTGTCACCTTCGCACACACACTCGCCGCCGACACAATCGGATACAGGCTATCCGCCTTCTTGCTCACCGTGACCCTTACCGTCGGAAACCGCTTCTGTAGCTTCGCCTGGTAGGCCGCGGGCGGGCCGACAGTGTCAACATACACCTCGGCCACATTGACGCCGCGCTCCAGCACGCCCGCGATTAGCGCTATGGTCGCGTCCAGCGCCTGCGCATTCAAATTGTACGCCGCGCCGCGCAGCATTCCGGCCGAGATATCCTTTGCGGAGAGGGCCTGCGTCGCCCAGCCGATTGCCTCGTGGAGCGGGGAGGCCGGCGTGGTGAGGATGGTCATGAGCGAGGCGCGGAAGGCGGGAGTGAGCTTTTTGGAGTCGTCGAAGTTGTAGGAGGAGAGGAGGGGCGCGTCGGTGGAGAGGCAGTAGGCAATTGCGTAGACCATGGGGCCGAGGACGGGGCCACGACCAGCTTCGTCCACGCCGAGGATGACGGGAGTGGTGGGCGAGGCGGCGACGCGGGTGGGGATGGGGGAGTGGTAGGTGTTCGTCGTGCCAATGGTGAGGGAGGCGCGGTCGACGGAGGGGAGGGTGGTAGGGAGGATGGCCTCGGTGGCGGAGGGCTCGGGAGAGGGTTCGGGGGAGCCTGTGGATGACATTTTGGTATGGTGTTGTGGGTTTTGAGGTTTTGAGGTTTTTGACTGGAAGTGTAAGTCTAGACTTTCGGTGCGACGCGATTGATCTTCAGACAGGGAACGCGATTCCCACGTGGCAAGAACCCTAACCCTGTACGATAAGGATTCCACGGCCAAACGCACACTTCCAAATCCACAGTCTTGAATTACTGCCCTTTTGTGGGCCGGATATGTCGTGCAGGTGGTTGTGGGTTAAGGGCCAATGATTGCTGTGTCACCTTTTTTTATAGCTGGCTGGCGGGCTGGGCTTGGCAGGGGTAATAATTGTCCTGCAACTAAACGTGACCACGGTGCCTATTTATAAGGCAGTCAAGATAACACTTAGTTTTATTTAGGCCGGCAATCTTTACCAGCGCATATTGTTTGAGCTATACGCCGCAAAACACGGCTAAGGAACATGTACTGATTCATCTGGGTCCCCCATCCGCCCAAGATAAGTTAAAAGTCCCTTCTTTCCAGGGGGTTGCACTCACTACATGTATACGTATTTAATGTAGTATCGTGGTCCACAAGAATGAGCGTCCTTGTGTTCTTGCCTCGAGGACATGGCCCGGAGACTCCCAATATCAGTGACCCATGAGGACGCGGAGGTTCATCGAGGATAGTATGTGTCCTTGCCTCGAGGTACCTCGAGGACAGTAATGGATATTATATAGGGCCTAGAAGGGCCATATCTTAAAATATAAGCACTGTACAAATGTTATTAATGTTATATATAGAGAGAGCAAGTACAGTTCAACCATACCTGTAGAGAAATATGACTAGCCTCGGGGAACCTCGAGGACACGCCCATCATACCTCGGGGATAGGTAGGCAGGGACAAGAGTTGACAAGAACAGAGCACCTTGAGAACAGTTAGAAATCTTACTTGTAAACCATACATGCACTGATGTGCAGCCACTCCTGAGCAGACAGCATAGTCGGCAATGGAACAGAGCAGTACTTTCCCTTAATATCGACGGTAAGAGTGAGTTGGCGGAGATACGGTTCAAGCTCAACGATCATGTTTATTGGTAAAACGGAATGGTGGGGTGGCTTTCTAGAGCTGGCTTTTTGGTCTGCTCCCGTTAAATGAAGATGATAGACTTGAGTGATTGACAAGAGGGATAGTACTTTATGCCCTATATATAGCTAGATGGTGTATTACTGTCCTTTTTCTTAGTGTCCCGCTGGCATAGTTGGAGCTTTGTTACATGTCCTTAGCCGACCCTAACCCTTATGTATACATGTCTACATGTACTTGAGCTAGGCGCTGGGGTGCCTAAAGGTAAGGTTCTCAACGAGTGATCGCCTGTGACCCAATCCACAGCCCGCGCGTCCCGCATCACACTCCCGTTCCCACACATCAAACCTAACCTAGACCCGCCCCCAACCCGTCTACTTTCATGCTTCCAGCGGACGTAGCTCCCACTGCTACACTTTCAACCACACTCGCTCCCTTCCACACTCCCGCAACCATCCCTCGCCTGCACCAAATTCATCACACGACCATCACCAACCTCAGATGGCCTCTTGTTCTCGTCCGAACAGCTCTATATCTTGAATATCGCCTATCCTTCAGGTAGTGCAATACTAGTGTGTAGTGGTTCATCATACACAGGAGGAGGATAAGTAGGATACGTATCATAACATCCTCATCCCCATCTCATCTACCCATCCCCATCCCCATCCCCCAACTCCATCTACCTGTTAGCCACAACCGCCCAGTTATCTACCAACCCGAGGAGCCGCTATGTCAGATCTATCTGATCCCAAGGCTATCCTTGAAGTCGGAAGGTCTGACATACTGGCCTCTGGGCGCGGGTGAGTGGTTGGTTGTGTGGTGTACCTGCTTGGGAGAGGAAAATTGGTTAGAAACTAAGGACATAGAGCATCACCTACACAAAACAGCCTGTCACAGAGAGCGTGCTCTACCAGTCTACAGAGCCTTCTACACGAGCTGAAAACCGGAGGAAAATACGTTAACATAATTCAAATTCAAAAAAACTAAGTCAAAAAATAAATTTCTTTCCAACATAAAAGCACAGCGAAAAGGAGAGACATCCGACTCTGCTTCTTTATATCCAGCCACACAGTGTTCCCACCAAGCATGGGAAGTTCGGGTTATCGACCTCGACCCCTCTGGACGATACTATAGCCAGTGGGCTACAGCGAGGGATGGGATTGTGCCTTTCTGATGCTGTTATGAGAGGGCTTGTATTGGAAGCGGGAGGGATTACTTGTATGCCCCTACCAATACCCGAAATTCACACTGCACAGCTGAATCCTTGAAACTACTACAAAGAAAAGATGTAAAGCACACAGCGAAAGCCCTACATCCGGGGAAAGCAATACTAACTGCCTGGAACAGCCAGTTTGGAAAGCATTGGGGTCACCTTCCGCTATGGATTAGCAGGGCTGACGGTACGGTTTACGCCAGAATAATCACGAGCTAAAGCTTTGCACGGATGTGAATTCTATTCCATGATCATCACCCCGCAAAAGTGTCTCGATTTACACACCGAAGTCACGAAGGTCCCCCGCAAAGAAAGCATTATGCTACCCTGTTTCTCGGCATTTTAGTATGCCCATCCCGCAACATAAGCATAGCAATACACTTCAAAACCACTGAGCCTCCGGGAATCAAGCAGTCCCGTAGAAATAACAGCAGCTTACTGACCAGCTCAACTACTATTAATGCCAATGAGTCGATTGATCAATTGATCAATTAACTAATGACAATGTTAGTGTCAGTCATGGGTTATCACTCGACCCGATCGAAGCCACACTATGAGAAGTATGGCTGCTTTCTCGGCGATTTCTAATAACTGCATGTAGTATAAAGGAGGAGATCGAAGTTTAACTCACGAACCTCTCCAGTACAAACCATTCAATTCCTACAGGGCTTGTCTCCATCACTCATCGAATCTATTAATGTGTTCGAATTTATTCTTGCTAATTGCCCTTTGGTGAGGTCTAGAGGTTGTACTGGACTAGTAAAACATAGTTGCTATAAACTGGCCTCCGTCCATGGACCTAGTCTATCTATTATGCTGCTTATCCTCTGCATCGTAATTGGTTGTTTCGGCTGGCTCAAGTCACTGAACAATGATTTGCAACATCTGTGCGCTACAATCAACTAGCTGAACCCAATACCAAAACCTCGCCTCAAGCGTCTAACAATTGGCTATGGGGATCAAACTATTTTGGCTGTAATTGACCGGTAAGAACATTCCCAACCCGCTGCGGATCATTGGCTAAGGCACTTTTGAAATTGGCCGGATTTCACTAAGGCAAAATCTACAATCGAGGAGATAGGCTTAGCTCGAGATTCTGGATACGTATCCAAAAGATAGAATCTGGGCGGAAACGTGGCTTTGGTGGCTGCTTGGAGAGGTGCTCTTCTACAGCATCTACATATCTGTGCGGATTTTACCCGTGATCTATAATGAGAAGCAAAGGTATAACTCCTTACTAATTTCCCAGCCAGCAGTAAGATTGGAGTCTATAGCTAAAGGCGTTCTGTCTTAGACATGTCGTTTCTGGATCTAGGATTGAGACTAAGGCCTGAGGTGGTGTGTTCCGCAAGTAACTAAAACGGGTGCTTCCTGAGCGTTGACATTGATCTACGACATGGACAGGTATGATGTCAAAGTCATGCATGCATAAAGCGTTCATGAAGTGCTGGGCTGTGTGCTGTGTGCTCGGATAATGAAAGCACATACGAAAGACCACACCATAAACCAGAGATAAGCAAGTTGACAACAGACACCGAGGCCCATGGCCAACAAAGCCGCGATAAACGCACACACAACACACAGACAAACACACCACACACTTGTAACCGACACCTCCTCCCCACCATAACGCCCCCGGGCCCCGCACATGGATTAGGCACTGGCTACGATTGGACCACACGGATATATTACCCGCTCACAGATGGATGTGCGATTGCCGAGCTGGTCGTCGAGTGACACGCCATGTCCACCGTCAGATTTTGCATCTCCCCGCGTTTTTTTCTCTCGCTATTTCCCCCGCAATCTTGAATATTAGCAGTGGTTTAGCTGTAGTTACACGATGTTTGTTTACTTCCTTTTCGCGGAGGTCTTAGAGCTCCTCCATATATAGATTACAACGTCATGTACTCGATCATTACAACGTCAGGTACTCGATCATTACAACGTCAGGCACTCGATCATTACAAAAGAGCGGAGGTGAGAATATTTTTACTACAGCTTTCACCGGTACCGGCCGCTGCTAGAGTACCAGCGGCCTGCCCCGCTATGCCCGTTGAGAAGCGACATAAACGACTCGGGATATATCTATAGCTTGTCGGCATATAGGTATTTGAGTTGACCGCATCCCCGGGAACTCCCCTACCTGAGTAGCACCCACTGCTGCAACGAGGCCATATTTCTTTTTCCCTCCACAGGGAAAAAAAAAAACGAAAAAAGAAAAAAAAGAAAAAAAAGAAAAAACTCAACACCTGACAGCACCCTCCAATCGTTCTGCACGCAGCAGACAGCGACCGGCGAACCTACTAAGTTATACATATACATCCATACAATAGGCACGGCAAATCAATCGGGGGAGCTTCCCTCCACAATTGCAACGGCGCGGCATGCCTTGTGATCGATATAAACGAGCTACATATAAAGTCCGCTGAGATCTAGGAGAAGAATGAAAATGAGGTGGCGGGGAGTGGGGAGGGACTTTGCGGCAGCACCAGCGATCACTCGAGGTGGGTGGCTTGATTTTCTCTCTACATCCCGCGCGAGTGATGTACCATGAGGTGATCTTATCACGTGGTCTAATCTGGTCTAGTTTGGTCTGTAAAGCAACGGTATCACGAAACGAATGTCGTAGCTGGAGCACAACATGCTGACATCGGGGAGGTTAGGTGGAAGTAGAGTAACAGTTTGGGGAGAGGGGGGGCAGCATAGTACGAAACCTAAATCCAAGAGCGTCGCGCATACAAGCAAAAA